TAGTAGAATTTGGAGGAAATTAACAGCTCTCCGTTAAAAATAAAATATTTTAGTAATTTCTTCCTAAGTGTTGGTCCTACCAACTTTGACCCAAAAATAAGGAAAAAGAAAAACTCAATTTTGGTCCCCAAAATTTAGGGGTATCTTAGTCGAGTCATCATCAAACTTTCTTCAACGATTTTAGTCCATCACAAATTTTTGTTTCATCATTTTTACTATTTTTAACAGAAATTTTAGAGAATTAACATAAGTCCATATCTTATCAATTTTTGACTCGCACATTCCTTTGACCAATACTTTAATTATTAATATATATATATATATATTAAAAAAAGTGATAACTACAACTTTTTTTACCTTTTCTTATTTTTACATATTTTTTTTTTTGCCGTGATTCATTTTACAACCAATTCTATAACCATCACTCGCATGATTACCTTCTATCATCATCATCGTTACCAACACATTATATCCCTTTAAGACAATCACATCAAGATAAAATTACTATCAACTTAGGGTTTTGTTGTTAATTAAGTTTAATTTAGTCTTGATAATGAAAATGCATAGATTATGTTGAATTAAGTTGTATGTAGATTTGTATTAAATTCGACTACATAATAATTCTTTTAGTACTAATTTTTTCAAGTGTTGGAGTTGGCGTTGAATTAACTCCCGGGAAATGCAGCCCGTGATAGTATTGTGTTGAATTAATGCTGGATGACTCATATGACTGTGTGGACCTTCTACTTCAGGTCCGTCCTGTTTTTGTTGTGCTTGTTGAAAAAATATGATACACCAATTTGAAAAGTTATTCTCGGATACGTGCACTGAATTTTGTTGCCAAAGTATTTACAATCTTCAGATAATGTTGTGTTTTGCATTCATCATATATGTGAACTATCTCTTTACCACTTGCCATGTTGCAGGGGAGCTTTACAATATAAAGAATACAGGTTAAAATGGAGAAAAGAAAATGCAAGTATTTAAAAATCATCTTGATACTTGGTTGCTTTCAAATATTTTTTAGTTTTATAACCATCATAACAATGTACAGGGCCTAAGATTCTGAATTTGTTATGCCATATTCAATAAAGAACTCTACGGAATTTGGGAAGTGTTCAGATTGTTTGCTGCTTCTCCTGCTTCTTGATGAATGATGCTTTATAAAAGAATTATAATTGCACCTCCTAAGCCTTTAGTATTTTTAACATCCGGTAGTCAAATCCTGCATATTATAGAAAATTTTGGATTTCGATACTAGTTGACCAATAAGATGAAATTCCTGCTGGTGCGAGGCAGTGAGCGAATGTTTCTGATCTAAATGTTATCTGAGACAAGAAAGAGCTGATCCAAATGAGAGGAATTCAAATACAACACCTCTATGCCTTGTTGTGCTTACGCAGAATGAAAAGATAGTATCCAACCTGTTAGAAAGAGGAGAAGATCCTAATATGACTGACTATTTGAGTGACTGGAATGACTCTATTTTTTCCTTGAATCAAAGTTATATGAAAGTTAGTTTTTATTGACATAAAATAGGAAACACTCCTGAATTGAACGTTTAGTGTTTTAACTAAATTGTATGTTTATAAATCGTATACGTATAAAAATTTTGTTGTGCTTATTCTTCTTTCCTCTTGTTTACAAGTTTATTTCCTCTTTGTTATTTGAAAAATATAGATAAATGTTTTGGAGTAAAAAAAAAAATCTGATAATGTTATTACGCGTTAGATGATGACAACTGATTACTACAATGATAATTGGTAATGCAGTCAGGGTTCATTCCACTGGAACATGCTGCATAGAAGGGGTCCTATGAGTCGGTTAGTCGTCTGCTTCTAGTCACTTCTCAAATTGAAGGCTAAGATGATTGGAGCTTTAGCGGGGTAATGCAACATGTTAGTTCTTGACACAATGCTGAGCAATCTCACTGTAAAAATAAGATCGAATGCCAATGTCTTTTTTACGGTGGGATTTTGGCGCCTAACATCAAATAGTATACTTATACTGGCATTGGCCATTGTAGTAGTAGTAGAATTATAAGACCACTCTTGATGACTGATTTCATTCCTCATTTTAACGATGTCAGATAAATACCATCTCGATACTGCATTTTCTTACCATTTCAAGGATTCAGAATTTTCTTTCCTACTCCTATTTAGAAACAGAGTATTCAAAGAAAAGGATGGAATCAAAAACTGGTATGTCATTTCAATGTAGACCTTAACTTCTTCTTCTTCCCTTTTAGTTCTTTGAATTTTCTTCGGTAATCTTTATCAAGACGTGTTGCAATTTTATTCAGATTTCCGAAATAAGTTTTAGAGGCTAGCAAGTAATGGAGATAAATCAAGGGCGGATCTACAAGTAAAAAATCTTTAAGTTAATATTCTCATTACCTTTATAGATTTTTATTTAATTGATTAATTAATAATTATTAATTTATTAAAAAAAATAACTTATTAATTTAGAAAAAATAAAAAAAATCAAATTATAATAGCTAAGAGACAAAACTCGAGTTTTTGGATTATATGATTTAATTATAACTTATCACCTTATATACAAATTTAAAGGAAAAAAAAATATCTTTATATGCATATTTGAATAAATCTTCGTAATTTTTTCATTCTTATTTTGTTTAACATTACAGTCAATCATCAATAAATTAATACTCTTATAAACAAATTTTTTGATTTCTAAATTTATTATTTAATTGATAAATTAATATCTATTAATATATTCTTACATTAATAAATTATTTTAATTTAGAGACTTTTTTTCAATCTCTATAAGTACTGGGAGATAAAGTCAAATCTGTAATATCAAATGTTTATTTTAGGAAAAAAGCAAACTATCTGTATATTCATATTTTAATAAATCTTCCAATTGTTATTTATATTTTGCATAATTATTAATTAATTTTGTTGAGGGGATCAATATTTATATAGAGGTTTTGTGAAAAATTATTGCTTTAATATTTTGTACTGGTCCCGATCTATAAACCGGAAAAAATTATTAAGATATAAAATATTAATTTATAAATGTTTTATCGTATATAGGCAGGGGAAAAATTCTTGAGACCTTTTCACGCCTATAAACTAACTACATTCCATTTATGTAATGTTCACAAGCCATATCGAATGTATTTATACACCCCAAAAGAAACTTCAAATTATAGATCAATATTATTTTATTTTAAAGCAATGGTTAAAGAAAATCAATTTTTGAAGTTATCATAAACTACAATTTTCATGATTTTGAATTTTTTCATCTTAACTGAATATTTTCTTCCATTATTGACGAAATGATCTAAATTTCCTTCAGATAACACAAAATTTTAAGTCTATAACCTTTATTTACCTTTGTTTCTCACTTTAATCTTTCACATACATTTTTACATATCAAAAACATTTGTTTAAATTTTTAAAATAACTCAAATTCTAAATTTGAAAGATTGAAAATGCATAATTGGTCTTTTTTTTTAAGAAAAAAGTAAGAAATTGTTAAATTATAGGATAATCTACTCAAATGGTCCTTTATATTTGTCAAAAAACTTAATTTAGTCCTTAATATTAACAATTGGTCCATTACATTCTTGTTTTTCACTAATTTGGTCCTTGTTATTTTTTTTTTTTGTGACATTTTACATTCGGGGATTCTCGCTTTGACCATTTCTGGGTCAATTTAACAGGATTATTTTTGGTAATGCTTAATTTCATTTTTTCAAAAATATAAAAAACAAATTTTAATTAAAATAATATTAAAATATTACATTAATGTATAATTAATTAAGATATTTTAAAATTTAATTTTTTTAAAAAAATCTGATTTCCTCCTTTTTTTTGTTTTAACTCGTGAACTCCACCTCTACTGGTTCTTCTTCTTTCACTCTAACAATTATGATTTTTCGTCTCGGTAAAAATATAATATCCCATTAACAATATTTGTAAATATTTTCTCCTCATCATGAGGTATTTCGTGGTGATTAAGGATGTGATGACGGGGAGTACCACACACGCCATCATCAAGGCGATGGTATTTTATTGTAGTCTTGTGATGCCAGATATCTCGAGATAAGCAGAGCGAGATACTTAACACGAAGAGTTATTGTTCGGGCGATAGTCATTGGTAAAACGTGGATGTGTAATGATGAATCTTAGACATACTTGAATCGCATCAAATTTTTTGAGGGAATCATCGGAAGTATTTCCAGATAAACTAGTTCTTCGGTGATCATGAAAGGTAGGTAGGTATTGAAATTTCTATGTGGAGACTGAAAATACTAGTTTGGTCCAAGAGCGTACTTATAATTTTGCTTTCGGGGTGCGACGTCAATGCATGATGCAAGAGCTAATAATAATATTGAAGGAATAAATTACCCAACATACTAAGATTTTGTATTAAGGACCAATAATATGTAATAAAAAAAAAAGTAAAACGGCAGTAATCTTCAAAGGACTTTCCCTGGATCACGTATGGATTTACTTCCCTCTTTTAATATCTTGCTCGTGTTACGTACATGGTTTAGATTTAAGCGTGTATACAGAATATTATGAACTGGTATCCAACTGCCATTGGTAAAAGGTTACTAGTTTCTTTCATCCCAAATAATGATCATATATATTGTTGAATTGAAATGATGCTACAAACAAGATAATAATTTTGGATAAAGTTATTAGCTTTATAATTTATTAATATTGTAGAAGATGGGGAGAGACTAATTTTTTTTATTAATCTATTAATACTGTCAATTGTCTACTTACACCAATATATTAAAAATCTCAGGGATCAGGAGTATATATTTGACTATTTTAAAAAAGAAATAATGCCACCAACGTATTACGATTCTGTAGATGGTGCAAAACTGCAAATTTAATTTAGGGAATGCAGCAACATTTGATTTGAGCTGCTTTCGTGTTAGTTCAGGAGTTTTTGGCTCTATTCAAAAATCCTTAATTGTAAGCTAAAAGAAGCAACCAATAACACACAAGCAGAGACTCTCGAAATTTTGTTCCCAGAGGCAGAAAGCTATTGTGTGGAACTTTTGAATGTAAAATTTCTCATTGAGAGATTAGAAGCTGACACGTGTAGGATGTGACCTGAAGGGACGGCCAGGATTAGTTGCTTTCACCTGCCCAAAATGAACTCCCTGTCATTTTAGTTAACCCGCAGTAACAAAAGATAAGACTGAAATGCCAACTTTTTGGCGCCTTTCATCAAACAACTGGCACTGTGTTGCATAGTACAGTAGTGCTGTAACACCGCCATTGATGATTTCTTCATTTTCTTCATTTTACTGTCCTTTCACTTTCTCGTTACGCTTGAGCCTTCCTCTGAATCGTTAGAAAATCTTGACCGAGAATTTCCATTCCCTCCACGCACCTTTTCCCTGCCGAATCTTTCGAATACTTCCAGATTTTAGCCTCCTTTAACCAGTTTTTTGGAGCTTTGATCGGAGAGAAAGAAGCTATCCATGGCATCTGAAGGTTAAATTTCTCGAAATTTAGCACTTATCTTTCTTACTCGTCTGAATCGCTTACCTAATCTTTCTACTGGTGGTATTAATGTTCTTGCTTGTATGATTTTCTTCCGCAGAACGTCGGAAAGGTTTTCTCGCGGCGGCTTCTTCCGGGTGTATGAAACAAGTGAAGAGTATGAATTTTTGTTTTACTGTTTTCTTTCTTTTGTTCTTTGGTGTTGTTCTGTATTTTTTTTTTTAAGTATTTTTTTTGAGTAGGGCTAATAATTAGGTCTAATGGGAGAATTCGCTGAATGATGATCGTAGGGTTTGCCAAGAGATTACAAAATCTAGATGAGGTGGAGGATGCGGAAGGCCGAACCGCGCTTCACTTTGCCGCTGCCGGTGGTCACACTGCCGTGTGCGACCACTTGATCAAGAAGCTCAAACTTGGTGTTAATGTCAAGGATGCAAAAGGTATTTGAGTTTAAAATAATGGAATTAGTAAGCATCGGTTTTCAATTGTTTTTGTTTCAAGTGATAATTGAATTTCCTTAGTGGCTTTACTTGTTGCTTTTGTCTTGATCTATCATTCACAGGTAACACGCCGTTGATTGTTGCAATTGATAAAGACCAGACTGCTACGGCTTTGTATCTTATTGAAACCGGTGGTGCGGATATCATGATGTTTAATCAGAATGGTCTTATGCCCTTGCACTGTGCTGCTTTGAGAGGTTCTTCCTCACACTCACGATAGTCATAATGGTGGAATCTCTATAATTAATTCCTTAGAGTGCAGTTCTTTTAATGTTAATTTCCTAATTCTACATAGCTATATATGGCTATCATGTGTTGATTTCATTAGAAGATTTGGCATTCCTCAGCTATTTCAAGGAAATGTTGTAACAATATTCCATAATTTTCTTAGGTAACACGGAAGTTTTGCAGCTGTTGATCTCTAACGGTGCTGTAATAGAGACGGGTTCTAAATTTGGGACACCACTACAGTGTGCTGTAACTGCTGATAAGAAAGAGGCGGTGAAGATTTTATTGGATAACCTTGCAAATGTCAGATAAACCCTTTTCTGTTCTGCTTATGATTTTTGTTTTGGATGCCACCTTGTGTTCGTTGTTAATGTTTCGTACAGTTTTCTTTTTAAGTAGTTTTACATCAAAAGATTTATGTAGAAATACATCTGGGAACATGTGTTTGTAAAATATAAGCCACAATCCTTGGTCCATACTCTGGTTCAGAAATTTTTCATTCTAATTTCACATTGTCCCTCTTGATAGAAAGTAGAAATGAGCTCTGTTTTCTAGTTTGAATGTGCCTTCAGCCCAGAATGTACCTTACAGATGGAGCAGATTGCATTTCTATTTGGGTAAAGTTTTGTTGAACTGTTTGCAATTTTGGGGGGTTGAATACTTCTGCGTATCTGTATCCTGGTTTTTAATGGTAATATCTGTTTGTCCACATTTGCAAGATCGTGATGGTTTTAGCAAACCGGCTTTTGCTCATTATTATGTTTTATCATTCAACTGATCTTCCCGTCTACTGTTTTCTCTTTTGCAGCCAAATTTGGTTGCAGGCTCTTTTGCCTCCCCGCTCATGCTATCAATTGCACATGACTCACTTGATTGCTTTCTCCTGTTGCTTGAGGTATTGGTTGTAATTCATCCATATTTAAAATTGGCATTTGCTTCAATGTGTATCTTTTATTTTATATAATAACAATGAACGATAGAGAAGATTAGAAGAGGGATGAAAGGATTAATTTTTTTATCTTAGTAACAAATATATACATATAGCTTTGAATCTTTTGATATTGTACCTAGGCTGGAGCTATACCTGACCTTCCTTCAAGTTTGAGGAGGACTCCTCTTAACGTGGCCGCTTTCTTTGGGAAAACAGAGATTATCAAATACTTGCTGAAATCTGGGGCGAATCCTGATGTCACAGATGCTGTAAGAAACCTACTCAATCTTGTCAATTTGTCATTATTAATGATACTCTAGTCCCGCTTGCTCTTGTTATTTATATAAAGGGTAAAGTTTTCTTGAAGTCTGTATATCCATGACCTACAGTTATAAAGTTTCGTGCCTCAACAGTAATTGGTGGGTGGCGACATTTCTCAAGTAGTTTTAAACTGTGGCATTCATCATTTTCTTACAGACTTGTTTGCAAGCCTTTTGTCATGGAATTTAATCCTTGGCATTTGAGTTGGATGGCCTGCCTTTGTTATCTGTTGAGATGTGACCGAAGGATTATGGCTCCATGCAGTGGTCGTAGTATGAGTACTTTAAATTAGGCCTCCGTGTTGTTTGTTACTTTGTTTCTGCGTGTATGTCTCTTATATTCTTAATCATCTACATGAATTCATTGTTCTGCTTTGTTTCTATTGTGTTCCTTTCCATCATGTTGAAACTTTCAATTCTCTTATTCATATACCAAGTTCATGTGTTTCGTGATATGATACTCAAACTTAAAGAGTAAATGAAGACTTAATCCTTTCCTCGACTGATGTATATGTCACTTGGTGCCTGTATTTTAGTATGGTCTGACAGCCTTAGAACATGCTGCTGTCAATGGTAAAGTCGAGGCAATCAAGATACTATTTCCTGTTACTTCTCGGATCCCATCTTTTCCAGACTGGAGCATTGATGGAATAATGGTGTCTATTTCCTCAGCAGATGGCAGAAAAAAGGTTATTTATATCTTTCCTGTTTCCCATATTGTTTTGTAGCCTTTGCTCTTTTGCATGTCATTAATGATGATCTCAACCATCAAAAGATTCTGCAATTGCTCAGGATGCCACTTCTAATCAGTTATATTTGCTTTAAAGCTTAATTTCTTGTCCTTTTTCGAAGATCAAACTACATGCTTTGTATAAGTCATTTCATTTGATGAATTGTTATTGTTTTGTGTCAGTTCCAGGAGACTGTTTTCATTTTTCTTTGTTTATCTTTGCATGAAGAATGCACCCTTATTGCTGACACAAGCTTAGTCTGTTTCAGTTGCTTGGGCTTTTTTACTGGTGTGATTATGTAAAAGCAATAGGTTGCTTATGAGTTATCTTGTTTTCTGTTTAAGCTAAGTGGTCCTGTTTATTTCAGATAACGTCGAAGATGCAAGAGATTTTTCGAATTGCAAAAGCCAATGGGCTTGCTGCATTTAAGGAAGAGAATTATGCAGTTGCATGTACTTGGTTTTCTGCGGTAAGCTCCTGGTCCATTTTCTGAAAGCCACTTCGTAATGTCATGTTTTGTTTTACTCCATTTCAGAGTTTATATTGAAATTAGGTTGGTCTTGGACAAACCTTTTCCATTTTAAGTAATTACCTTCTTTAGAAGATTTGAGAATTACAGGCTCCCATGCTATGATCATGATATTTTCCAGTTTGCCGGGAGTTCCTCCTTTTTTCACCCTGTTAACTGGGAACATGGTGTTGTTTTGCAGGCTGTTTCTGCAGATCCTGATGATGCCAGTGTTCTATCTAATAGGAGCTTATGCTTTTTACGCTTGAATAATGGCGATCTTGCTCTAGCTGATGCTGAGAAGTGCGTTTCACTGAAACCTAACTGGGCCAAAGCACACTACAGAGAAGGTGCAGCGTGGATGTTTCTTGATGTATGAATGTGGTACAAATTCTGAAATTATGTCTCAGAAAATGAAACTTAGTAAATATTGCTGCTATTGGAATACAATGTAGTTATCTTATTCCTAAGTCGTTTACTTGCTTCAGAATTACTCTATGGCAACAAAAGCATTTGCTGAGGCATTAAAGCTGGAACCAGATAACGTGGAACTCAAGAAAGCTCATGCGTACGTATTTACCCTGTTTATCTTTTAAGTGACACAAAATGCAAGCTGCATCCATGTTTCAAGCGGGATAATCATAATTGAGAACTTGACATCTCATTTCCTGCATTCTAATTGGGGATCGACTTTCTTTACAGGAAAGCTCTCTTGATGCTGAACCTGGTGTCCATGTCCCAGAGAATATGAGACTAGTGCACTTTCAGTTGCAAGTTCCGAGAATGAATGCTGTGTGTTAAGTATTCGCTCTGCGAAAAGTCTGTCCAACAAAAACGAAGTTATTGTGCAAAAGGTTGAACTTACCTCCTCATTTTGTTGTTATGTTAGCTTTTGTTTTGGCCGAGGAGGTAGTGTTACTAAATGTGGTTTTTGGGAGAACTTGACTAAACCTGTGTGTTATAATGATGGATGGTAACTAAGTTAGGACAAGGTAGTATTGAACATCTTGCTGCAAATCTATATGACAGGACAGCTTGGGGATTATTGAAAAACGATGTTGAAATTGTCAGTTGATGCTACTGTTAGACGTTTAATCTTACATCTTTAAAACTGTGCTTCAGAATTTAAGCAAATAATGAGATCAAATCTAAAGGGGATAAAATCATCCAAATAGATCCAGAATCTCCCCTGTGAATTTCACCCATGCAAAAGTATTTGTTGACAATATGGCAATTGGCACAAATAAAGGAGAAGGCCGTAGAGTAGAGACGTCAATAAATCGATTATCAAACCTGTTAAGGAGTGCTAACATGTTGATTTGCTCCTGCCTCCAACTCTCTCCACGGAAGTTGCAACAGTTTACATACAATGGCTAGTTCAGTTCCACTGCCGAATGTTTATGATCACTCGAAATTTGAAATTTAGGTTTTATGTAGAATATCAAGAGGTTAGTGTTTTTAAGTTTATTATAATAATTTTTTTGGTTATAATTTTATATTCCTTCTGTCCCATAATTATTATACAGTTTAGATTTTCATTTCTAGTTCAAATTATACTAAAAATGAAATCTCAAACTAGACAATAATTTTGGGATAGAGGGAATAATAATTTTTAATTCTATATCTGGCTCACGAAAATAATCCTGATAGTAAATTGCGAATTTCACTAATAACATAATTCTCAATTTACAATATAGAATATTTTTCTAGAACGATATTCATTTGTAATATCTAACTAGATGCTTGGCCCAGGCAGATGCCCGAGTGCCCCTCTATTTTAATTTTGTGTTAATAAATAAATGAATTCTTAATTTGAAAAAAATAAAATAGCTACACATTTGGTTTTTTCTCTTTCTTAGCCAAAAATAAAAATAAAAATAAAAAATCATCTGCCAAAGGAAAAAAAATATTGAAAAGTACAACGATGCAGAAATCATACAAAAAAATGTGGAGTAATAAAAGGGATAAGTTTATGGGCAAATTTAAATGCTATTTTAATTTGATTGATAAATGATAAATGTTAGGAGTTAAAATTGTATAGCTATTTTTGTAAAATAACTTTTGTTTCTCCGGATAAGAATTTTTTTTTCTTTAAAAAACGGATGACACGTGGCAGATGGTTAATGCAATATGGTGCATTTGGAGCCAAAAATTTTTAATAAGAAGTTGCCACATCAACATCTTGTATTCTGCTTTAATAGGGTAAAAGGGATAAGAAAAATTTACATAAAACAATTTCGAATTGGTGTCATGAATGCACTAGAACGAAACATAATAATTTCATATCCGTTTTTGTTCTCTATCCATTCATAAACGATTATCTAATTTATCATTCTAAAATAAATCCAAAACAATTTTGGAGAAGTATGAGTATAAACATTGTCAAATCCAATTTGGCACAATATTGATAAATTGATCTCAAAATGAAATTTCAAATATAAAATCTGGGCCAGTTGGCCCAAGTTGAACAACACGCAACAACCCAAAATACGAAAGGAAGAAAAAATTAACTTCCCCAAAATTGTTTACAGTAACGGGTGGTTTAGAAAAAGTTCATAGCTTGCACGAAAATTTATCTTTTGTGATAAGTCAAAATCTCCATATACTGATGCCATTGGTGTCACTGGAGAGGCATGAATCCTCTTTCGTGTGAAGTAATTACTTTCCTTTTCAACTATCGATATCTGTTTAATTGCCATGTGAAGAATGGTGATTGGTTTGCAAGGTTAGTTTTAATGTCTCGTATTTACAAGTGTGTTTTGATTCATTCATTGTGATCATGTCTTTGCCTTTCAAGTGTTTGTGCTGTATTGAATTTAGATCATATTTGTTTTGATGTTTTCTTCAGAGATATAATTGCTTTTGAAATTAATTAATTAATTAATTATTTTTTGGTACGAAAATTTATTTATTTATTTATTACTTTGGTTAAAGCTTTTTTTATATAATTCCAGTAATTAACAGTCTTGTCAAATTTTAGGACCAGACAGACTACAGAGATTTGATGACCCCCCGTCACGCGTCAAACCGTGATTGAAACATGATATAATAAGTGTTGCATATCTTAAAAATGTGTTAAGTTGAAACTAGGCTTGTTGTCTCTCTTTCTCTTTTTGTAACAAAAAAAAAAAAAAAGACATGATTTACCTTACTCTATATATCGGAGTTGATCAAATGAAAAAGAAGATTATATTCTCCTCGAAATTAGACCAACCAAAAAGGGATAGAAATCCAGAAATTGATGAATGGTCAGCTGTTTCAATTGTTTCCCGACACCTCTTCGAGCTATCGAACAAATAATGCTGGCACTGAGACCTTAATCCAAAACAATCATATAACACCATGTTCCCGTTGGGAAGTTTAATCAACGCCCAAGGATCACAATCAAAATCACCCCTTAAGGAGTCAATCAAGGAAACTTTGCTTTGACAACATTTCGTGACAACTATACCAGGCCCAGAATTAATTAGCTTATTCATGGAAAGTTCTTGATGATTGACGAGCTAGGGGCGAAGGAATTTTAATGTGAAAGAACTTCTCATCAGCCACATAAAAAACCGTGACTAGGCCGTAAACCCGATTCACCCACCAAAGTTTTCCACCCAAGCATATTCCAGGTGATTTCGATATTTCTTCGTGGGCAAATAAGGGGACATTGAGAATTTTCCATGAAGAAGAATTTTTTACTCCATTAATGGTGAGAATCTCCGTATGAAGATTCCGTACGTTGTTTGACCTGTATGGGCATGTCTTGAGTAACTTGTATCGTTTGTTGATAGGATCAAAACCCAAGCTACACGTGCTTCGCTGATCCGAACCAATGTTCGAGTCAGGAAATCTCACCATCTCTCAAGTAGTAATGTTATACAATCACGATTCTTCGTATTAGTGAAAAAATAATATCCCGTTGACAATGTTTGTACACGCTTTATTCTCCTGCCCGTGACTTACTTCGTAATGAGTAAGGATAGTGCTAAACTCGCCGTCGTCAAGGCGAAGTTGTTTTATTACGACCTCGTAATAACCGGAATTCTCGTCGCAGCGGCTAAAGCAAGATACGAAACACGAAGAACAATTGATTGGCCGGTAGGCATTGGTGAAACGTGGATTTGTAATGATGGATCGACATGTTTTAGAGAAACACTTGAATCGTATCAAAGTTTTTGAGGGAAGCCTCGGGAGAGGATTTCTAGATAAAATAGTTCGTCGGGGATCTTGATAGCTATAGGTAGATATTGGAATATAACGAAAAATCGGCAATGTGGAGATTGAAGATACTGGAGCTTTACAGTTTTGATCCAAGAGAGTATTTATAGTTGCTTCCGGGTGCAACGTGCAAGAGCTAACAATATTGGAGGAATAAATTGCCAAAAACGTTGTATTGAGGACCAATAATAATTTGTGATTTTGTGCCCCAAAAAAAATAAAAATAAAATTGTAATAAAAGTAAAACGAACTAATCTTCAAAGGCAGAAGCTTAGTGACAAACTTTCACCGGATCACATATGGATTTTGCTTTCCTGTTTAATTTGTTGCTTGTACGACGTACATGAGTTAAATTTAATCAGCTCTCTCTTTTCTTATATATACTAGATGCTTCCCCCGGGCGAATGTCCGGGTGTCGCCTGTATTTTTAAATTGATTAAATAAAAAATACGAATCATTCTTAAAAGAATAAAAAAATCGATTGAAAAGATAAAAAGTGAGTTATTACATATAAATTTATGTTCAAATTTACAACATTTAATTTATAACAGTTAACTTATGCCCGGGTTTACAAAAATCATAAACCAATATCTACAACAGAGGAATAAAAAAAAAATCAAATTTCTTTCATGACAGCTTATTTTTTCTCTGTTGTGGAAAGAGATGAATTGATAATTGATGTCAGATTTTACGTAATTGATTTAAAGGCCCGAGTGTGAGAGAGGAACGGAATGAAAGCGATTATTTGAAATAGGGGGTTGAGAAGACATTACTGGTGTTTCACTTGATTTAAGGGGATTTCCTTACATTTGATTTATCAACTAAATATTGTTGCTTTAAGGGATTAGTATATACCTATAATTAAGATATTTTTATATAGCTATAATTAAGGAATTTATGTATTTATCTATTCTATCTTCTTTTTTCTGATTAGTTAGAATGCCACGTGTCAAAAATGATTTTGTACTGAAAATGACTTTTGGCGGAAAAATTTTCATTGTGGTGCTAACATTTATTTACTGCTTTAATTAAGTACTATAGATAAGAGTATAAACTGATCCAACTACCACCGGTAAAAAGGAAACTAGTGTTTCTTTAGGGAAACCAAGGAAAAAAATATTAAAAAGTAAAGGAAAAAGAAAAAGAAAAGAATCTGTAGAGTGTTACTCCTCTATACTATCAAATTAAGCTTTGAAAATATAATTACGACACAGCGACACGCACACGCCCTCTAAAGTTGAAACTAGTCTTTCAATTCAAGGATTAAAAAACTCATTTCAAAATTTTCTAAGCTATTTTTTTTTTTGCATTATGAAATACTCCTACGTGTTACTCTTATTTTGGATAAAAAAGAAAAAGAGCATAATTACTCGTACGATAATATTCATTTTCCTCCCTTTCAATACAATCTTGTCGCATTAATTTTTAATGAGGAGCATAATTTATCGATCGGAAATGAAAATTGTTGTACACCCCAAACAAAAATAAAACAAAAAGCAACAAAAACCAGCCCCCACCACGAATCCACGCGACCCCACACGCATCATATTCATCTTTTTAGTCCCGGTCATCGTAACTGACACAGCACCAGTATCATCAATTTAGCGTGTCATTTTGGCTCTGTTTTTTCTCTGCAAATCTCTGAATCCGCCATTGTTGTTCTTCGAGTTTTTTTCCAACCGTGAAAGAAGTTCCGCCAAAATGGAAGCTCCTCCTGGTACTGTTTGGCTACTCTACTCACTCACTGAGGATCCTAAGCAGTTTTTCTTTATATTTTTGGCTTATGATCTTTAACTCTCAAACAGTATTCATTCAAGCTTTCTTGGACGCCGCCTACCTTGGAGACCTCCATGCAATCAAAAGTGCGTTGTTTCTTACTTTTAATGCTTCGATTCTTATTTTTTTCGCTGAAAAAGTATCCTATCCTATCTATGGAGATTATTTAGTGCTTCTTGTTTTTTATTTTTCTTTTGTATTTTATTTTTTGGGCAGGGTTGGTGGCTCTGATGAAAAAGACAGTTGAATCCGAATCGCCTAATGCACAGTTCAAGGTTGAAAATGGCGGAAGGTTTGGGGACATTTCTTTTGAAGCTATGCAGGATCATGACGGGTTGAATGCCCTTCACAAGGCTGCATCGAGAGGGAAGATTAAGATGTGCGAGTACCTAATCGATGAGTTGAAGTTCAATGTCAACGTAACTGATGCTGAAGGTGTGAATTTCTATTGGTTAAATTCTTGCCTTTCTTTGCTGTAAATGTTATGATTTATTAACCGCTGCCTTCTGAAACTTCATCAATTGTTTTGGTGTTCCGTTCTCTCACCGATGGATAAACAGAGTTTGTTGTTCTGATGAATAGTTAGCGTTTTCTCTATTTTCTGTCAAGAATTGGGCTATGAAACTACGAGCTATCTTGTCATCCAAATCGTAATCAACCTTAATTTCTCCACCTATCCAATCTAATCAAAGTTGTGTGAAACTAACGTTGAATCTAGTTGTTATACTTACCATTATGAAATGTCTGTTTAATTAATTCATCTATTGAGAGGTACTGTGAAAATTGAAATGATGGATGTGGGAAATGGACTTGGCTAACAGTCAGGTATGCATGGCTAACAGCACCATGTAACTTTCATTGTATATTGCACAGGGCAAACACCCTTATTCGAAGCAATCTTGGGGAAGCATGTGTCTGTTGCTAAATTCCTGATTGAGAGAGGTGCAGATGTTAAAAAGACAAACTACAAAGGGTCCACGCCATTGCATTATGCTGCTGAAAAAGGTTTGGGATTCTACTGCGGTCTTTTTGAGGCTTTTATGATGTGTTTATTGTATTTGTACTCCCTATGTTAAATCTTACAATAATGCGTTTCTTAGGTTCCTTGGAGTTGGTTAAGTTCTTGATCTCCAAAGGGGCTGATATACATGAAATTTCTGAAGATGGGTCACCGCTACATTCTGCTGCAGCTCATGGAAGTTCCGAAGTGTTGAATTGCTTGTTGGACCTTGGGGCAGATGTAAGCCAAAAGAGCATCCATTATTACTCTACTCTTGTCCTGTTTGATGGGTCCTGCACCCATTGTTTTGTATCTTTGTGCATACATGGTGTCAGTCACGAACTTATTCATTCTTTGAGGTATTATTAATTTCACAGAGAGTATGTTGGTTTGGATTTGAAGCATCTAACTCACCTGTATAAGTCTACCTGATCTTTGCCATTTCTTTATTTGGAGAAGCTTTTGACCTAAGGATATATGTTTGTTGTTTAGCCAAGCAGTGTATATGACTGCTTCCTGGACCCATGTATGACGTTTAAAACATTCGAATCTTGAGCCCAAAGATGCTTTTACAATTGGTTACAAATGGTTATATTCTGTCGTTTAATATCTGACTTTTCCTGGTGCAGCCGAATTATATCTCTCCAATTGTTATGTCTCCACTTATGAAATCTATGCTGGCTGAAGCACTTGACTGCATGGTCCTGCTACTTAAGGTGTGCCCTTCTTCTCTTGTGCGTGTTGAATCTACCAATCTGAGTTGAGTTGTTCTCAGACACTAGCATAGGATTTGCTTGCCAGGTCGATGAGATTTTGCTTTGCTGTGCTGTGCTCATCATATGTGAAAAATTTTCTGCTTGGCACTTGTCGTATGTGCTCTATATGAAGCTTTAGAACTCCAAAGAACTGTAATGTACAGGTCAAAATTGCAGAGACAATGCAATTAAAAGATTTCTGCTTGTTATGTCGTATAAGATGAGGATCTACGATAAGAAAATGTTTGGATTATACTTGTTATGTCATATTCTGTGAGGAATTACTATGATTAATGTGGAAACTGTTCTGATTGCTTGTCGCTTCTCCTGCTTATATTTGATTGATGGTGGTATGCTGGTATTGGCTTTATGAAATAACTGAAAGTGAACCCTCTCAAGGCAGCATATTTTGGCATTGCGCAGTCAAATGCTGCATTTTACAGAAAACTCTGCATTCTTAAATTTCGATTCTCATTAACCAGTAAGCTGAACTTTCTGCTGGTGCCAGCCAGTGAGCCTGTTAGATTCGATTTATGAATTTTATTTTGAGAATTCATATATGAATTTTATCTGAAAGGGAAAACGAGGAAGTAAAGCAGATCCAAACAGGAGGACGTCTAATACCACGCCTTTGTGTTATGCTGCATCTGAAGGAAAGTTAGAGATGATCCACAAACTTATGGCTAATGGAGCAGATCCTAATATCACTGACTACGTGAGTGTTACCAGACTGCCTCTGAATTTACCTCATCGAAGCTATATAGAAATTTAGTTATGCATTTACGTAAAGCAGAAAACACCCTTGAGTCGAATGTTTAGTTTTTTTTTTTTTTTTCTCTTTTAACGAAATAGGATTTATCATCATCTTTTGTAAGTGGTTTACCATTATGGATAGAAAATCTTGATCATAAATTTACAAGGAAAAAAAAAGAAATTATTGTTGCCAGTCTTCTTTTTTTCCTCTTATTTACAGTTTTATCTCCTTGTTTCTAAAGAAAAAGATAGAACATTATGGTGTAAAAAAACCTGATATCCTTACCACCATGTTGGATTAAAAAGAACTCATATGCTACAATGATAACCCTGTGGAACTGCAGTCAGGGTTGACTCCATTAGAGCATGCAGCACTAAATGGTTTCCATGCGGTGGTTGAGCTTCTGCTTCAACATACATCCAAAATAGGGTATCTTGATTCTGTTTGGAGCTGCGATGGAGTGATGCAGCATGTCAATTCAGAAGACGCCCGAACACATGTATTATGACGACAACCTTTAAACTTGTCACTCCCTTAATTTTCACAAGTTTATGTCCCTGTATATGCAATAAATCAGTAAGGGAACTCATCTATGCCGCTATGTTTCTTGTCACAGTGGAAGGAGAAACAGAAAGAGATCTTTGAGAATGCAGAAAAGGATGGAAAAGATGAACTCGAGAAGGGAGACTATGTGAAAGCGGAATATTTTTATACACAGGTGATTTCTGTTATCAAGAGTATGGCAGACTGGTCCATAATTTGTGATTCTAACAGCTTGCTAAGACGGGCTTTTTTAAGTTTGTCATTACTGTGAATGGTGAAGGATTGTAATTGTTTCATTTCTGAGACAGGCAATGAGGGCTGACCCGGCTGATGCAATAGTGCTGGGCTACAGGAGCTTATGTTTTGCTAAATTGCATGCAGACGATTTTGATGAACAGACCAAACAAAAACTAGCTGTGAATGCAAGAGACGATGCACAGTATTCTGTTGGCCTGAGGCCTAGTTATCCAATGGCGCACTATTGGGAGGGTCAAGCTTGGACACTTCTTGAGGTATTGTCTGAGGCACATACGATTTATTCTTTAGAAAGAGGTACATAAAGTTATGAATGCATGAGGAATTAATTACTTGTGTGCGCAGGAACATGACAAGGCAGTGGCTGCATTTTTTCGGGCATTGTCCCTTGACCCTTCGGACAAGGCGAGTCAGAAGGCGTATCGGTATGTAATCTGCAACCCCATACCTAATGCGTAATCTGTTTCATGGATGGCTAAAGTTCTGTACCCAAAGGAGGGAATCCTGCATTTTCCTTCAGTAACTCAGGTATGCTTGATGACAGGGATGCGCGGGCTAAAGTTGACAAGGCCAGCCATTAGCTAACAGTGGATGGAGTGTGAGGATTCTGAAAACTATGATTCGGCTGCTGTGAATACTCTGTGGGAAACAAGTTGCAAGAGTTTCGTGAATTCTAGGATGGCACTTTTATCTTTTTGTTGGTACGAGTAATATTTCTGCGTCTTATCAAAATCCAAACTCCAAGTACACTGCTCTCATCTTTATGTTGATGCTGTCGTTTTTTGCTTAAGCCTAATGAGGTTCCTGTATGCTACAGTAGTACTATATGAAGCTTCTTTTGAACATCATCAAATTGACACTAACATTTTAGTTGTGCTCGCTTGATATGTTCCTTGGCTCCATTTTCTCAAAGGTATAAAATTTTGTCCTGAAAATGTTGGTGATTCATGGCCCCTTGTTTAATGATTATGAAGTAGTTAGATGAAATATTTCCTCTGTCCCGAAATGATTGTCCTTTTTGAATGAAAATTCAACTGAACAATTGTTTTTTCGATGGAGGGAGTATATTTGCAGGTAGAATATGATTCATTAGTTAGTTAGGAGGTCTCCCGGTTCCAACTTAATTTTCAAAGTTTCCTTTTAAAAATTCATATTATGCGCCATGATCAAGCGAAGAAGTCAATGATTCTGTAGAATATTTAGATCTCCCCCTCGTTTAGCAAAGAGCCAACAAGCATAAATGGCCACTGAGACTGCGCATGATGAGGAAAAAAATAAGCAGTAACCCATTGAGCATCAGTCAGTAAGTCTTGGTCGAAGAATTGCAGAACTAACTGAATTTAAGCTAAAAATAAAAAGGACACTACTGATGCTTTACTCCACACACAATGTCACAAACACACACTTAAGCGCTTCGGTGCAGGTTTATCAAAAAAACACACACACACACACACACACACACAAATAGAGAATTAAGTGAAATGTGAAAACCACACCATTCAACAACATTCTTTAGTAACGAATTACCGAACTAACTAGCAATTAAAAAGGAAAAAAGAGCAAAAAGAGTCAAAAACCTCAATACAGATATTCTAATGCCAAATGCGACAAATTGATTCTATGCATTGCAAGAAGTCAAATGGGCTAGTGAAATAATATTTTCTTCAAAATATTTGCTCGGAAGCAGGGCCCGTCGAGATTTGTTTCCACTTTTTGTTAAACTTGTCAAATAGGTAAAGTTGGTGAAAAGGCAAGCCTTGAAAAGAATCATGCAACACCATCTTCCCATTAGGAAGGATACCCACAACAGGAGCCATCTCATTGTCATCCTCAACATCATCCATTGATTTCTCTCTTGGTAACTCTAGTAACTCATCCCTCCAAATCTCCTTCTCAATGTCGTAGCATAACAGCTCATCAGCCGGGCTGTCCGACCTTCCAACACATCTCGTTACAACTATACTGGGTCCGAAATTGATTAAAAAGAAATTAGAATCCAATGGATTGATGTCGATAAACTTCTCTTCAGCAAGGCTAAAAGCCGTAACTTGACTCCATTTCCAACGCTTCCAGCACAGAGAGCCACCTAAGCACGCTCCTCTTTTGATTAAGCTTAGAAATCCACCATACCTAAGTGCAGGTTCATTGAGGATTCTCCATGAAGAATCGACTCCAATAGTGAGAATTAACGCATAACCGCTGTGTGTGTTGAGTAACTTGTAACGTTTGTTGACGGGATCGAAGCCCAAGTGACGTGTATTGCAATGGTAGGATATACTATATCCGGATCCGGAGTGGTCAAGTCGGGAAGTTGCACCATCTCTCGAGTGGCAATGTTATACAACCAAGATTTCTCGTGTAGATAGAAACACATTAGACCATCCACGACGTTTGTGTATTCACTTCCCCCATGATCAAGAGTAAAGGATGTGACGCGGCCACTCTCAATATTGAGCAACCGTAAAAGGGTGTAGTCGCTTCGGATGTCGTAATATCGAGGAACGTGAAAAGACGAGAGACTGGGAGAATCGTAACCCCGGTAAGCCTCGCAAAACCTTGGGTTCAAGATGATGGATAGCCAAATTCGAGATACACACATAAATCTCATTAAGGATTTCACGGGGATCCATTTGAGAACTTCCCAAACCAAATCCTCGGGCAACATTATCATCGTATTTTTGCCTGTAGGAACGTAATCCATATCAATCGGTATCAGAAAGTGATTTTAATGTTGCTCTCGACTTCAATCGACAACGTGTGGTTCCAGTAACTAAAAATAAAAATAAAAAAGATAAAAAAAATCCTAAAGCCTTTTCTAAATAATCCCAACACCAATAGCCAATACGACGCTACTAACAAGTATAGCATGAATTGAATATGCCAATCCAATTCTAATTGTACAAGTAAATCGAATTTATTCACAATTTTAGGCGTAAAAATAATAAAAAATGGTGTGAAGATTTTTATTTTTATTTTTTTTTGCCAAATTCAATCGGCCGGTATTATAATCTGTTTTAGGGGTGTTAACTAATCGGGTATACCCGATTAACCGACCGACCCGATGCTTCTTCGGCCCATTCAGTTCGGGGTTTCAGGGATCGTGTAAGGAATCGGCCTTAACCGAAATGGAGGGAGTCTAATCGGATAAAGCTGAAGCCAAAACACGTGGAACAAGTTCCTTGTGTGCTCATTTAAAAGTTTGCCTGAAATATAGAGCACATCATGACTTGGGACAAAGTAATTTGGCTGTTGAGGGTGGGAATAGTGAGAAAAAAGGGCACATATCTACTTGGAGTTTGATAAATCTGAAATTACAAAAGCTATTCACTACAAGAAAAACATCATTTGCCCACGAACATGTTTGTGTGTAATTTTGTCTTGTAGTCCATAGGTAATCCAATTTTCCACGGATTTACCCACAAACCCTGATACGTGGTTATATGCTCCGTTGCTAATCGTTTTTTTACGGAAGAAGGCTTCCGTGGATAATTTATCCACAGACATGTTCATGTATATACCGTGTGTAAATATTGGTGGGTTTTAGGTAAAAACACGACCACTTATCCACGACATTATGGTAGATACTCCGTAATTAATTTCCACCGATACTCGTAATTAATTTCCACCACCATTTCGTGGATATTTTGTAGCCCAAAGAGTTAGTCTCGTTGTATGGCTTTTATTTAGTTATTACTAGTATTATTCCTGCGCGTTGTGGGGCAATATAATATATTATATATTAGTTTGATAAATGAAAAATGCATTATTTTGGTTTTGCTAATAATGGGATCAACCGTCAAAACAAACCAAGCCCAAATCAAAACCAGGTTCATTTTTCGTTTCCATATCCAAATATTAATAACTAATCATTGAGATAATATATAATTATGCATTGATTGAAACTTTATTTATTTAGATGAAATTAGAGTTTAAAATTTTAAAATCAACCCTGATTAAAAAACAACCAAAATAAACCTGCAAAAAACCACTAAAATTTTACCATATCACAAATATTTTAATGTTAAATGCACCAAAAATCTCTACGAAATCAAACAAGGCCAAATCATAGCCAATTCATTTTCAACATCCAATTCTCTTATCCTTTTGTTGTGTCCACCTTTTAGAAACATATTTAGAAACGTTGTTCATAATTCTCTCGTCATTCAAAATGCCAAAAAAGAAAAAAAAAATTCCATTTACCCCAGTTAGAACCCTAATGTCAAAAAAAAAAGATAAATTAAACGCTCAACTATAACTTTTAAGGCAACAATAAGGGAAGAGATTGGCATATTGTCACTTATATATATAGACGTGCCGTAGGAAAGATATTAAGATTTCAATTAAAGCGTACAATTTTTTAGGCCATATAAAACATTAAATAAATGTTTTTTAAGCCTATCCACGTGTGTTTTTCTTTTTCCCGTAAGTGATATTTTATTCCTAAAAACTGAAGATAAAATATATAATATCATTATTTAATTTCTTTTGGTTGACGAAATAGCATTCTTTTACAAAGGTATATAATTAAACGAAAATATGAGTTATTTTTCCTTTAATTTAATCTGATGACTAATGCAAGATAGCAATGGGTTTTAGGGGATCATATTACCTTTGCTATAATGTAGGAAATAATTACTGTTTAAGTTTGTAATTCGCTGAAACTATTTGTGGATTTTGAAATTGATGATTCCATACGTATACATATTTAGTTCATTGTCATCTCAAATTATCTAAAATTGTGATTTGGATAGGATCAATTTTGAAACTAAATTATTTTTGTTGATAAATTTATAGAGATTAAGGTGATAACTTTTTTTGACAACATAGAACTCGGTTCCGCAAATTGAAGTAAATTAACTGTTTAGGAAATTGATTTTACAATGAAAGCTCAAACTTCCATTTAGGCACTTTTTTTTAGTATTTATGTCTATTAAAACTATGCAAATGAGCAACAAATAGCTGGTTGGCCTGATAATCGTATTAGTTTCGGACATCTCTTTATTGGAAAAACTCTCATTTTTTTCATCATCAAATCCACACCGGAGACAACAAATTTGTCTCATTCTGTCATCAACAAAATATGTTACAATTCATTCATCATTTTATAATGTCAAAACGTATTGAACAACCATTAGTATATTTTCCAAGCTACTTTAGTATCCCCTGAAACAGAAAGCTTCTGTTTGTTTGTTTTTTTGGATGGTTTTTTTAGATTATTTTTATAATAACTGTCCCATCTCAGTTTACCTTTTTACATTTTCAATACAAAAAACATCTAAAAACACACACTAAAAAAATGAAACAAACATATTTCTTGACAATCTACTATATCATATGACAGCTGCATCCCAGTGCATCAGCAAAAATTTTTTTCTCTCTCAATGGAGAACCCCTTACCTTCAAAGGAGTGCATAATTTGATAATTTGAGCTACTATTATGAAAAAAGAGAATTGTCCAAGGTGGGAATACTTGGGAAATCGCCGCACACCTAAAGACATCATCCCTTGGCACATCCATGGTGGAAACATACAGTATTTTCAAATTAAATTATAGAAGAAATAAGGTTTTCTAAAAGAACCAATCCCAAACCAAAACTTCTACAAAGCTCTTGAAATTTTCCAACGGCAAGAACTTTTCAAGAAATTGTGATACAATAACTTGGCCTCAATCAATGAAGAACCAAGACTAAGTAGGGCATTCGATTGTGATTATCGGCTACATACATGAATTTGATCATTTAATTTAAAAAAACGTATTTAGAAGTCAAATATGAAAGCGACCGATTTGCTCAAAACATGTACCCAGATGAATTCTGATCACAGTAGAAGTGAAAAAAAGCTATATATGGTCACTTTAATTAAATGCTGGGAGAAAGAACAATTTGGGGGGTAGAAAAACTTTTTTAAGCATAAGCAACATATCTGTGGTCATTTGCATAGTAGAAGAAACAAATAATTTTTAAAAGGTTGAAAGAAAGACTAATACCAAATATTGTGGGATTGTAATATTTCAAATTAATTATATCTGATAGGAACCATTATCTTTCAAAATCATTATCAGCATTATCATAAATAAATGTTTTCTTTTTAAGAATTAATATTTTTGTTACTATCGATACCATAGTTTGCAAACTCGCGATCTTGAATCGTAGGATCGTCCGATCCTACGATCCCAAGTACCTAAATCGATCTTGTATCGATCAAACTCGAATCGAATTTTGCAATGGGATCGGTCAAGATCGTTTAGGATCATAGGATCAGTTCGAGTTTACTAATCATTAATTACAAAAAATTAATTGAATTTATTGAGATTTTTCTTTTCTCTTATTTCTTTTGATCTACATTCAATTGAGGCTAATATTCATTGAAGAAACTTTTATTGCTAAAAAAAATATATTTTAGAAAGTTTTTCTAATAAAATGAAAAAAATAATTATAAAAGAAGAGTTTTCATAAAAAAGTTATGAAAAAATTCACATACGAAAATTAAATTTACATAATTCTTTTCGTTTAAATGTTAAATACTTTATTTAAAGATAATTAAAATTTAATTATTAAAGTAATTAATTATATAACATGTATAATTAACTTTACGATCCTATTATTCCGATCATACCAATACTGTTTACGATTCAATCCTATAACCCCATTTCGATCCTACATAAAATCACGATCCTGCAAACATTGATCCTCAGGTTCTGTGACATTCTTGGTTTTTCTTTTCTTGAAAGTGTTCGTTGGGTTTTTTTTTTTCTCGTTTTTTGTGAAAGTGATCGTTAGGGTTTATATCAAGTAGGGAAACTCGTTGTCGTTCTCGCCGTCATATCGGAGAATCTTGTCTAGTTGTCTTGGGTTGTTCGGCAAATTAACGTCCTGGCGCAACTAAACTAGATCCATCATTCATCAACTTCATGGACATTTCTGGATAACTATGAGCTAAGTTTGGAGGTAATAGGTTTACGGTTGCTGAGTTTTCTCTTCAGCAAATATGAAATCCCGTGATTTGGTCACCAGTATAGTTTTCAAAATCACGATCCGAATTTTAAAATTCTACGATCCTGCGATCCAAAATTAAGAAATCGATCATGAATCTTATAGAATCCTTTTTTGTAGTGGGATTTTATAGAATCCTTCAAAATCCTAATCTATATCATAGAATTCTACGATCCAGCGATCCTATTGATTTTATTGATACTTGTACAAATTATTGATTTTGTATAAAAAAAAGAGAAAAAATGATTAGAAAAGATATAAAAAGTAAAATTTTGAGTTGATGATACTTATGCAAGAACTAATCTAATTCTCCTCTATAAAATTAAATAAGAATTGAACTAACAAATTGAAACTCGCAATTTCAGAATTATTATAATAATTTAGATGGTTTCGATCCTACCGATTTAGAATCCAATCCATTCCAATCTTGAGACGCCAAGATGATCATGTGTGAAATCTCGATTTTCAAAACATTGGTCACCAGGCCATTCCACCCAGCAGAAATACCACCCACGCAAATAACCTCTGCTGACGAAATTGTGCAATAGTTTGAATGAACATAAAAGTTTTGCAATGTAAGGAAATTATAAATACAGAGGGTTTTTTTTTTCTTTCCATTCAAATATAGAAAAGGCATGGATCAATAAAAGTTTTGCTGTTATCAGAGGCAATTTATTCACTTGAATTGATTTCAATTAACGCACTAGGCCTTTTACAGAAATTAATTACTGATGAACTCATTTGATTTCTCAATTACCCTCAATTTCTCCGTAACACTAGATCTCTCGATACCTACTAAAAAAAGCTGGTTTTATATTAAATTATGTTTAAGAAACATTTCTCGTCGATTAATGTAAATAAGATGTGTATACATACTACATTCCCTCCTCTTTTTCTGAAACTAACAAGATGTAAATAAGATGTTATATCGTTTTGCGCCAAAACAACAGTAATTTGGAGATTGCGAATTACAATAACGCTTCGTCAAAGAAAGTATAGTTAAAAACATTTGAGATTAGCAGCTCATGTCAATGGAATAATGAACGTTATGATTCACAAGTTCCTGGTCTATGTAAACAACTAGTAGTATTTGTTTTGGTACAAATTTTTATGTAATTTCCAATTAAACATGCTATAGCTGGAAGATTTTGTTAATTTCCATTGAAATATAGTGATGATTTCCAATATTTAATCTCCCTCGCAGTTGTTCTTGAAAATGTCTTTGTTTTTGTTTTTCCTTCGAGGTGGACTGGGAGGTGCCGATCAGCCCCATAAATAGAGCCTGTGTGGCCCAATATTGGCCCTTACCGTTTGGGCTAACACTATAATACGGTGGCTCTATCTTTGGGTATTATACATTTCGCCAAACTGGATCCCAAAAATCCTCACAAATCACCGCGAAACCACTCTCGGTCATCGTGATGCCGACCGGCGGCTACTCCTCCTTCCCGGCGTCATCTCCCCGGCCAGGTATATTCACCCGCGCCAAATCCAGCAGCCTATCATTCTTCGCCACGCGCCGCTCATGGAGGGAGCTCTTATCTCATCCGTCTTCGTACTCTCCGCCGTACCCCCTCCGGGAGCTCACTTCTCGATTGAGGCGCAACCTAAACTACTTCCGGGTGAATTACGCCATGGTCATACTGTTTCTACTGTTCCTGAGCTTGCTATGGCATCCAATTTCGCTGATTGTGTACTTGATCGTGTTCGTGGCGTGGTGGTTTCTCTACTTCAACCGTGACGAGCCAATCGTGGTGTTCAATCGGATGGTGGACGACAGGTTTGTGTTGGCGGCGCTCGGAATTGTGACGATTGTTTGCTTGGTGTTGACTCGGGTGTGGCTGAATGTGGTGGTCGCCGTCGCAGTCGGAGTTGCGGTGGTTCTGTTGCACGCGGCGTTTAGGGCCACGGAGGACCTGTTTTTGGATGAAGATGAAGCTGCAGAAGGGGGATTGGTTTCGGTTGTTGATAATGCTCCATTGCGTGGTGGATATACGAATCCATTTTGAATTGTGATCTAGTTACAGTTCAACCTTTTTTGTTTTCTATGGATAGAACATGTTTAGTTGTAAAAAGGGAACTGACTTTGATCTCAATATATAGACCAGGGAGCAACATTTCTTGTTTTCTAACTCCTTGTATCTTTTCTTTACTGGTATTACCAAGTTGTTTTAGCTCTAAGGTTTATTATACTTTGGTCAGTTCAATGTGCAGGCGTGATGTTCTAGATTTGATGTTTTGGCACTTTTGAGTACTGGATTTAGAAGCTCTTCAAGACATTCTAGAGTACTTTTCAGTGGGAGAATATCTCCCAAAACATGCAGCTGTTTGGATTCTGTTGTTTGTGGTATAACGACATTCTGGCTCGATAACATTTATACCACTTCTGTGAATTGTCTTGTTCCAAAATTAGAATACTGATCTTCAACTAATCCCATTTGGTTTGGTTTGGTTCAAGTCAAACACAGCCATATTGTTCTACGTTCGAAACAGATCAAATATCGTAAGCCATTTCTGTTTTCTACGGAATGTACAATGTTGCTTGTGCCTGAGCATATTACCAAGTGAAACGCCAAACACACAGAAACACCAAGATCACACGTGTCTAGACCGGGAAGCCACGAAACTACAAAGTAGAAAGATCGCCAGAAGCACCCGTCAAACAGAATCAGACAATATCCAATAAAGAGGGTGAGGATCCTTTGGTTGGTGCTGATGAGTTGAATTTACAATTCCACTGCCTAAACAAAGAAGAAACACAACAGAAAATGACACTTCAAAATTCAAAACTCCTGACATATATCTTCATGACAAATATTTGTACGCACAAGCAGGTAACAACAGCATGCCATCTCATTAGCAGCTGCAAGCCAAACATCGCAGCGGAGCTTATGGGTGAAGACAACTCACACTGCGTATGACTTTTTACCTGTTTATACGCTAAGTTCTCATAATTTACTGTAACATGTAAGTAAATGATTTCCACTTCTCTTTTGAACATGGCCATGCAACTACAACTACTGCGCAATGAAGTCTTAACTCATTTTCAAAAGGAAAATGTATGAGCACCAAACAACAGATTCAAGAGACTGGCAACTTCCGACCATAAGCTAACACCATCACAAAATCCTTAGCTGAGGAACCAATTATAGCTGGAAGTTTCTCTGAGGTTGTATTTTGAAGCCACAGCCCGACAAGCTCATTTAACGGCAATGTAGGGACTAATGTCCGACCCATGCACCTAATTTCCACCTACAAAATTTACAGACAAGCGCATACAATCCATATTGATAATGATCCCTCTTAATACCGTAAGAAGATAAATCCTCCAATGATCAATGAGATATATTTAAGCCAAAGTTAGGAAAACAGACATCCTCCATACCTCATCTTCATTAGGAAGGTCTAATTTTCTCATCAAATATTTTTGGATAAAAGAAACTGTTATGCTCCCATCTCTGCAACAAATAAAGCATGTTAGAAGTGAGGCAGGTGGAGTTCAATAGGTTCGCTTGGAATCAACCATCAATATGTTCAACAATGCAATACTAAAGGAAAGCCAAAAATTACATATGTCCGCTGCACTGGTTTGACTTTTACCAGCGGAACAATAAGTCTGCTATTTTATCAGGTTAATTAAGGACTCACTAAACAAAAGAGAGTAAGTTGTAAGCAATTGGCTTTTTCATGGTAAGCAATAGCATGAGCTCAAACACCAGAAAAAGTTATGTTCAAATCAGCAAAAGAGAAACAGGGATGGGTTTCATAATATCTTATCAGATGTAAACTTCCAAACTCAAATATCATGTCTGATCCATAACAAGCAGTATAACTGCATGAAAAAACATGCACTGAGATTTTGAGTGTATGTAATGCAGGAACGGCTTTTGTTTGCATATATTCCAAGGTTGCAAATTGAAACCCTATGGCATAACACCCTACCAGCGGCTAGCAACAATCTGTAATGGTAAACATGTCCCCATGTAATCTAATGCAGAGGAACTTTCAAAATGGAAGAGAAATCTAGCAATTGCAAGGCAGGGATGGTGCTTCCAAATATGCAGTCCTAAACATGCATAAACCAATTTTGTGTCTTGTGAAGTGAAATTCAACATTTGAAGCTAAAGACAATTAAGGTATAGAATGACCATAACAATCCATAAACACAAACTGATTGATCACTGGGCTAAAATAAAATTAAAAGGACCTACTTTATTCTTAAGTAACTAGCGGGAATCTGAGGCAGGGATGCATCTCCTTCCCTGAAACATTATTAACTAGTCAGAAATTGGAAGTTCAGAAAGCAGCATGTCAAAAATATGTTGAAGTATAATAGAGCAATATAGAGTCTCACAAATCTTTGATGGCCACAAGCGAAAACCAAATTGGATTAGTTCTCTTCTCCGATCTAGCAGTGACACCATCCAGCACAGTCTGAGGTGAGACGTTTGTGTCTCCAAAAGCGCTAGCAGGCTTCTTTTGGCGAATTTTTCGCGATTTCTTGGGTCTGTCTGATTCTGGCAGTGAAGACTCAGTGCTATTCTTTTCATCTTGGACCTTTGACCTCTGTAAATGTTCTTTGCCTTTAGTTTTACGGCCAGGTCCTTCATGGTCACCAGAATGGAGAGCTTCTGCTTTGTTAGCAGATTGTTGTGAAGTAAACTTAGAGGACTTGCTCCTGTTTGCAACTTCCACAAGGCAATTTAATGGTTTCCAAAGATCAACTTTTCCTTCCCAAGTTTCAGCACCATTGCTTGTATCTTTACCAGTTACGGAATGGCTGGATGGATCGCCATTAGCAGAATTCTGCATAATATAGTTCAACGATTACAACATGCATAAAAGTGCTAGCATCTTAGAGAAGAACTTCATATGACACAAAGTTGAGGAAGCAGCATTGATTCTGGAAAAACGTGTCCCAACCTGTCTAAAATTCTGAGCGAATTTATTCAGAGTTTCAGGTGAACCAGAGCTCTCAGGATGCTCTTCTGAAACTTCCTCTTTCTTCACAGGTTTCTCAATTGAAAAACTGGAACCTCTTAATGATTTTCTCGCAATAGATTTTGATCTTCTTCCGGTCATGCCACTTTGTGTGGATACCCTGGGAGTGCTAACTACCAAAGATGAGAGTGATCTCTCCTTTCTTCTCACTGGTAAAGTTATCGAGGGTGGAATTTCAGGTGCCTTCACCTTCCTCCTTTTATAAGGGAAGATCTTTGCCCGCACATCTTGCAAGTTGTGATCAGGCCTGAAAATCGCAAAACCATATCAAGGTTAGCCAGTTGCTTCCAAGTTTTTATCTTGTATAGCATGAAGGAGAATGCGGTTGGGGTACTCATTATGAGAAACCCATAGCTATGACATTCCTCATCCCTTCAGATAAACTTTCTCAGTGTAAATTTAAGCTTTATCCTAAGTATTTGGATGGTCTCATGATATGAAAATTTTTTACTGCACACTCTTCACATGGTAGACAGACCAAAATAAGTTATCATGTCAATGAAAGTCTTCCGCAACAACTCATGTCTAAAATACTCCCACTTCAACAAGTAAAATATCCAATTATAAACTCTTTTATGAGGATTCAATATTAAGTAAAATTAGCACTCTGACATGCCCATCTGCATCTCAAAGAGCAGGAAAAGAGATTGTAAAAATAATCCTTTAAACAAAAAGAAAAATCCATGCTTTTCACTTATCAGTGTCAATTGTTGCACATGCATGTAATCGTCTTTACTTCAGGATGGTAAAAGGACAACCAACAAAGTTACATGTTTTAGCCGGTGCTGTATATCATACTCAAAGTGCTATTAAATACTAATATATTGAAATGACATCATACTTTTATCAAAACTGAGAAAGATGTAACTTCAATTAGCCAGAAGCTTCTCAAATTAATGACCTGTTCTTTGTTTCACTGGGTCGGTTCATTTTCCTTTACTTTGTTTCCATTCCACATGGCAACTAGAACCAAATACAATATGGAGAAGAGCTCACACTTCAAAAACTCCAAACCTATAATTTAAGAACTAAGTGACCATGCATGCATGAAATGCACGCAAATAAAAAAACTAAATACAAAAATACACACACCAGAATTTGTAAACAGTACCTCAACTTCTCCAAGGGGACACAGCCCAAGTCAATATTGCAAATGGGGCAGCATTCCACTTCTTCATCGGACAGCTTCTTGTAAATACACTTCCTGCAAACTGAATAGAGGCGCAAAACGAACAAAATTAAAGGCAAATTTTACACCACAAAATCCCCATGAAGATAAGATCCACCGGAAAGCAGATGACCATATGACATAGAGACAACTCAAATAATCGCCGCATTTGAGTAGATTATGAGTAAATGAAACACAAAGGCAAAATGGAAGACTATCTGACACCAAGACTCCAATTAACACACAACATTTGGGAAGATTTACAGGTAAATGAACATAATAGCAAAGATAGTCTTAATATGAAGTGATCAGATTATCCAATCTTACGTCCAGACACAGGCAATACTCTTACACATTGCACAAATATATACAAAACAAAGTGAAGTCAACGTGAATCAGCAGTTTACAATTTCATGGCGATTGGAACATTTAGGGGGTTCAGCAAGAAGAAGATTAAAATTCGCGAAATCATCCCTGCGTGAACAATTAAATCACAAAAAGACATAGCAAGATATATCCTGTTGCTACAGGGATTATCCGTGCCTCAATCATACTCGTTATACAAACAATTTCACACCACCCCAAAACACACACCCAATTGCAAAAGTGAAGGAGAGAAGCGAATTGGAGTCAAACCCATAATCTATTTCAAGCAATCACAGCTAAGAAGTACCACAAAATCATAACCCGTCACGTAACATGAAAATCTCCGAAGACCCAGATCGTCAACAAGACGATTACCGGCAAAACAAGACAGATCACGACCAGATAACCCAAATCAAGACAACCCAATTCGAAATTCAAACCCCCAAATAACACAAAACTCAACAATACCCAGGAAAAACAAATGGGAGGCGGAGGAAGAGGAGAGAAGAGCGGGGAGGGCGTAAGAAAACTCACACGTATGAAGGCATTCGGAAATGGTAGTGGCGTCCCTGAATAGCTTATTACAGAGAGGGCATGTCATGCATGCCGCAATCGTTTCTCTCTTCACCTTCACTACCTGATTCGACATCGTTTTCTTCCTTCCCCTTTTATTATTCTCCTCTTGGCACCAATTATTCAAACAATACTATACTACAGTCGTAATTACGAAAGCAACTAAATCAGCCGGGAAGTCTTCCTTCTTCAGCTCCGGCCGGCAACAACAACATCCACGTAAGTCACCTCAAAGCGGCGGTGCATGTTAGCCGCCCCCCAACAACCCACAAAACCCAGAAGAGACCAACAAAACATCAGTTTACGTTCATTCCTCCCTCAACTGCCCGGCCTGCATTAAACCCATTCCACAATTAGAAACCCACAAACACTACTAAATCTACACAGCAAAACAACAACAAACAAAACGATTGTTCATCATGTACGCATCTCCCAAGACTGCGTGCTGGCCTTTGTGTGTGAACATACATATACACAAATATAGATGTGAAAAAAGAAAGAAATATATGAAGAACACCGACCTGCAAATCTGGGAACAAAAGTGGGGGAGAAATTAGAAATAGAGTATCGGAGACGAAGGAAGACGGTACGTTGGGTTTGGGATTTGGTAAATCGGGGGAATTTGGCGTTAAATTAAAAACCGGGGATGATGATCTATCTGGGTCTCACTTTTTTTTTTTTTTTTTTTTTGCCTTTCTTTCTTCGGAGTCGAAATCGAGAGAGATATATGGCCAAATTATTCATATATTTTTAATTGCTTTTTATTTTATTTATATTATTATATAAACCAGAGAGAGAGAAAGGGGACGCGTTCACTGTTTAAGAGTGTAGTAGCATGAAATTAAATTAACCACCTAAGTAAGCTAGTAATAATGTGGTAACTAGTATTAGTTACTTTTGGTCTTTCCTTCTTTCGCTTCCTTTTTAGCTTTTATTTTTTACAGCGACCTCGTCCTTTTCACGTTTTACGGCCCAAGACCAAATTAGTTATATACTACGTGAATACGTACCACGTCAACCTGGAAATAAGAGGCGAGAAAATGAACAATAATGGTATTTCATTAGTTGAATTTAAAAATAACATCACTACTATGAATGTGGTTTTTCATTTTTGTAAATATTTCCTGGTACATGAATAACTAATTCGTTGAAGCTCAAACACATTACTTAAAGTTAGATCACCGTCTCAAATAATACCTTAGTTTCACAAATTATTTCTATAAAATTTACCTCATTACATTTTCAAACTAATTTAGTATATATTGGAAAAAGTAATCTCGACCAGTGACGGAACTAAGGGGGAGTCAAGCCGCCAGGGTGGTCGATCAACCCTCTGGCCAGTTGAAATTTTTTCAATTTGACCTTCCGATAACGGTTGAATAATCTTATTTTTTACCTTATAATTTGAAAGTTCTCGTTCTATCATTGATCTCGACTATTCTAAAATATTGTTCGTTTGTTATAAAAAAATAATAAAAAAAAGTAATACACTTTAGTGTGAGATATTGATATTTCATTTTGAAACCAATGTAACATATTGATGCTTGTTTTGTAGGAAACTTGAATAAGAAAATGAAAAAAGAAACACGTAGTCATAGTATGCTGAAAATGGAATTCCCTTTTTTAGAAAGACCAATTCAATTTTTTTTTTAACTGAAACGAATCAACCGAAATACTATATGTTAAACTTATTATTAGAGAAATATCATTCTCAGAGTATTATTTTATAGGCCTTTCAACCAGTAGTAAGTTCAATATATTCTTTTGGACGGGGTTGAAATTTGGAAAGGTGTGAGAAAAGGATACGAGGAATGGAGGATAGTAATAATATGTTGGAACGAGGGAAATGGTGATAAGATGCGCCGGATTGGGTAAAAGAATAGTTTAACTATACACGAAGAGAGAGATTATAGTGCAGTTTAGTTTTGTGGGGGGTGGTGTCTGGAAGAAGTGCGTGTGTTTCGCGTGGACAGTGTCAACAATATTTCAGATTTTCGGGGGTATTTTTGGCCTTTTCGGCAGCTAAGAAGAAAGAATCATTGCGTGACTATAAATAAACCCAGCGCATGTTAGCCCCCTCCCGCATACGTTTTGACTGCACCCAAAGTCCCAAACTTCATTATTCCTTCTTTTTTTTTCTATTTTTTTTTTTTGGTAAATAATATAAACAAACAGACTAACGCCTCAGGTCACTAACTACAGGGAGCCCTAGAATCATGATCTAATATCACTACAATATTAGTTGGGCAAACATCAAAAAAATACAACCCCCATCCCTATCTAATGCCGCCTTGGCAAGTACATCGGCACACAAATTTTGTGCTCCCTAGACGTGTGTAGGAAGCACACAACCCAATTGTTTTGCAAAAGGCTATAGATTCCCCTTAGTTCGGGGTCTAATGGAACCACAGATTGGCCCCTCCTCCCTTCAATGAGCTCGATGAACCTTGCAACATCCCAAGATCCATCCGACTTGAGAAACTCCACCACGGGCTTAGACTTCCAGTTTTCTGGGATTGGATTCACCACTACGTCCTCTAATTTCCCCACATTTTCAATCCAGTTGTCCTCCCAATTTTTTTCTAATTTTAAGTTCCCTCTTCAACTTTGAAATTGAGCTAATTTTAGATTAGAAATGTTTTATTCCATTTTTTTAATTTAATTTTCCCTTTTATTTTCGAGAAGAAAAAACAAAAAAAAAAACCCCATATTTTAAAGGTCACATTTCAATGTCGAACTATGCGGAGAACTGGCTCTGCTTTGTCGCACAATTTTTATTAAAGTAATTGTCTCATCTCCACATGTATATTTTACATCTCTAATATGATTCATTTTACATTTTAAATACGAAAAACACACACTAAAAAATTAATCAAAACACTCTATTTTTCAGATTAAAAGGGGTTCGTAAAATTAATTTATTCATTAAGTAGTAATTAAGTGGTTGGGGTACATGGCTTGCTAGCTAAGCACATCAGGGTTTCCCAACTAACCAAGACAAGGTTGCGGCGATTGATGAGCTGGCATTTTCCCTCTTTTTTTCCTTTTTTCTTTTTGGGTTTATTTATTTATTTTTGTTTACATTCTTTTTGGTTTATTGCTTCTTACTATTTTTGAGTGTTGTTGGTTTGGACATCCGTTTACATTCCAGTCTATACATGTAGCCGTTCTACGGTACTAGGCTTTGGGTTTGGGCTATTACTACTTCAATGCTAGGTGCCCACCCACAATGTGTTGCTACTTCTGTGATTAATTTTAAAATAAATGGAAACATTGTTTAGCAAGGAAATGATCAAATTACGTGTACAAACCAACAATCCCAACAATATTATGACTGAATAAGTTTTTCAATAATGTAGTGATTCAACAACTAGAAAGAATGATGGTGATTTGATTAATGTTCGTAGAACTATACAGTACATACATATGCATCCTTTATTTGATCAATTTGCATGAAACTGCAAGTACTCGATGTGTGTATATATATATATATATATATATATATATATATAATCAATCATGTATTTTATCTCATTAAAAGTAATTTATTTTATGAAATCAAACGCGATGAACTGAACTTAGAATCATTTTCACCACGTGTTTGGACTTGAATCACATATAAGCATTTTAACTATGGTTGTTCTCCATTCAAGGTGACGTTTTCTTTTTATCTTTGTTTTCTACATCTTTTTATAACTACAAATACATTGTAGTACTTTTTCTTCTAAAGAAAGAACTTTGATTAAAAAGCAACCAAATAATTAAGGGGAAGTTATCGGAAATTGCGGAACCGGCTACTCACACATAAAGGGGCTGACTATATATACATAATCAAGATTGATGGTCGAATATGTATGACATAAGGTTAATTGTAACTATTCTTAAGGGACTTTCTGGCTGGCCGGAATAATTTAAAGTGTGCATTGCATGGGTGCAGCACCTAAAATTGAATGGAATGGTGGTATATGTTGTGTGGGAAAGTGGCGGAGCCCATTGACCTTAACACCTACCCTTCAAAATTGACCAGAAGAGGAGGACTTCGTTTGGTCCAGGCAATGATTTCGTAAAGATATATATATACATGTTGTTTCCAAGTCACTGAAACCTTATGATACACGCGTGCTTACTGCTTACCCCCCAATTTTGGATTTATTCCTTCCCAACCTCCTTTGTCAATATCCCCCCAAAAAAAAAAAAATTTAACCTCAAAAAACATTTCTTTGCCGTTTTGCTCTTCTTGGTCATATCTGCAAAGAAATTAGATTGAGTTGGTGCTACTCACTACTCAGGTATCAGGTTATGTGTTTTTGTCCATAAATTACAAAGTTTACGTGGGAGTGAGATATATAAATTTCAAAAAATCATAAAACACGGAAATAAATATGGCCCGTTTATTTAATGAACGAAGAGTAACACAAATCCGGACTCATAACAAAGAATTAAAGCTTGTCTTCTGTTTCTTATACTTTTGTCTCTCAAATTAATCCCGTCATATCAAGGGTAAAGATAGTATTACAATACTGCAGTTTATCAAATTTATTATTTCCCCTTCGGCGACAAGTATGCTGAATTGCAGGTTTACATAAGAAAATTATGCAGCCGCTTTAGATATTTGGGGTGAGGTATGATCGCGCACAATTCCTCATTGCCAATAGTTTCTTTTAGGGAGTTTTCTGCTCAAAAATTTGATATGCCCCGTACAACTAGAATTTTGGGCTGTTCATCCGGGATTTTGATCCAAACAGGACTTCGGAAAGGGATCGATTCCTCCCCGTTCTAAATTATGATGGTGGAGCAATTTCATTGATTTCTTTTAATTTCATTGCATTTTGCAAAGTTCTTGCAACTCTAATTTCCGTGAGAAGGCTTATTGCTTTTCTTTTCTTTTTTTTTTTTTTTTTTTTTGACAAGAGGCTTACTGCTTTATCAGAGCATATGGAATCGGCAAACTTCGTTATATACATAGATTTGTAATCGGCTAATTGCTCTTTTAATCCTGACATCTCGCGGGAGCTTTTTGGCTTAATTGCGCAAAACTTTGATTTTTAATATTGGGTTGATGTGCCTTCAATTTTACCCAGAGAAAGCAGAGATAAAACATGTAGATAAAGAGGGAGGAAGATGGCCTTTGCCCGCGTAAGGATAATTTAGGGAAAAAATATTATTACTTTTGTTTTGGATGCTAAAAATTATTTTAGCATAATCAGTGGCCATTTCAAAATTAGTATCTAGTTTAAATTTTTATTTTTAGTTTACTTTATACTAAAAATGAAAATTCAAAATGAATAATAATTTCATGATGAAAAGAGTAAATTTTTTGTTAGACTATTTTTATTAAACTAAGAGAATGATAATAATGCGAAGAGGAAATGTTCAAAGTTCAATGGCGGACATTGTCCATTGCCCGCCACCGTCTATACTAGCCAGTGTACGTATGCTCTAACCAATTTGTGTAACGTTTTGATGGGTTATGGTGTACAGTAGGCCCTCGTTATATCTCTCCCCTTTTCTTTTTTTTTTTTCTTCTTGTTATTTTTGGAAGTTTGTGGACTTTAGACTGAAATAACAAGAAAAAAGGTTTATTACGAGTCAATTAAACTTTTGTGTTTTTAGTTTTTGAGAGGTTTTCCTGAGATTATAAAACCCAAAATTAGCAAAGACTAGTGTAATTTGAGATTTTATAATATGGAACAAACGGCACGTTTAATCCATTTACTTGTGACTAATAATCCCTCTTTTATTTTGAACGTGACAATATCTAGTACTACTTCACGTTTTTTTAGTGTAACGAAGTGAGCCCTTTTTGTTTATTGTTCTTTTTTTACTGTCCTCAGTTGACGAATACATCAATCAATAATACAATTAATTACTGAATTTTTAATTTTCTTTTCTCCTCAAACGGTCCAAGAAAAAGCACATGCAGAGCGAAAACAAAACAAGATATACTTTTGGAACAAAATGGACCAAATGTGATGAATGCTCAAATAAGGGGACCAAGCATCAATATCCTGATTTTGTAATGTTAATTCTAGTACTGTCGGATTTCAGGCAACTCTTTGATATGCATCCACGTACGAACTGTAAATCAATTTAATTAATTAAATTAATGAACGGTATTATCTCCCTGATTAGGGGGAGTTTTCCCTTCAATCTGTCGTTCTAAGCTCTATGATCTGCACCTCATTCAAGAATGAAGCAACCAAAAGAACAAATGTAGATGTCCTTATTTTTGATAATACATACTACATAGTAATATAATCATAATTCATGACCCGACAAGACCTTTGTGCCTGGCGTAGGACATTATCGATAGGAAAAGAGAAGCACTAGCAATTCCAGCGAAGATGACTACCTGGGTATAAGTAACAAAATCAAGAACGCTTCGGTAAGGAGAAAAGGATGCAAACTGTTAATGCTGTAATAGGTCCCAGAAGAGAAACTCACCCACTTGAACATGTATCCATGGCCTTCTTTCCATGTATAAGGTATATTCATCCCAAAAATGGCAGCCACCAATGAGTAAATCGATAAACACACCGTCCCGGAACTTAGGAACAGCTCCAGCTACGCATATAAAGATTAAGGTGATTAAGGATATTTAGAGAGGGATTCAAAAATTTAATCAAAGTACGGCATATTCAGATGTCTCAAAGTAACGATGTTATGTAGAGGTAGAGTACCTGGATCAGCTGGTTTCGATGGTTGTCTAGCTGCGTCAAAAGTAACCATTATCAGAGAAAATATCATACAGAAATAATAGATTTCAGGGTGATTTAGTTCCAACCAAAAGTAAATGGGAGACCAAAATGTTACTCCCTTCGTCCCGAAATGGTTGTCCAGATTGAATTTTCATACGATCATTTTGGGAAAGAGGGAGCATGAAGGCAATATGAAATGAAAGGGTTGTCAGAATAGTTATCGGATGATTAGGAACTAAGTACCTGAATGTTGATATAATCCTCAGTGTCATCAATGTATTCCCTTAACTGTAAGTGTGTACAAAACATGTATCAGTAGTGCCCCACTATCAGCCAATCTCTTCATCCAACAAGTAATAAACTTCCCGGCAGAATTTGGAAAATTGGAGAATACGAATGGATGAATGCGGCAACAAGGGCGCTAACTTTTATTTTCTCACACATAAAGAAGAAATACTACGTTGTATTCATACTGAAGCAATAAGGACTGAACTTACTGTGGTCAACTTATTCATCGTACTTTCTATCTGCGAGAAGTAAGCCTGCAAGTACAAAATACACTTCAATCAGCATGCATAGGCATCAAACCCTACGGCAAAGGCGCATGAACGTTAGCCTTTTGAGCCAAACCTCAAGCAACATTTCGAGTTCCTCAACGTCATTTTCAGACTGAGTTGTGAGACCACTTGTCCTGCTAGCTTTAGATATCTTTGAACACAAGGTTGGAGAGGCAGGATACCAGTTTGGAATTCCTTGTCCACTTACAGGTGAAGCTGCTCCTGCCAATTTCCTGGACAAGTAAAGGTCTGCCATATCATCATCATCATCCAAAAGTTGCTCAAGTTCATCCCTGACCTGGACATTTAGATGCTTATGAGACAGGCTGACTTTATTTAAAAATAACTCCACAGCAAAAATTTTGTGTCACGCAGGCAGAGGAACAAACTAAGAATAACATTCAGGAAACTAAAATTTTGTTAACGTAATGGACATTGGGTCAAATTCAGCATTAGCTCATATTGACTATGACAGCTTCTAGCTGCTGCACATGTATGCGGCACCAGCTTGTGTAGACATGATAGGTTGAGAGCAGTTGTACAAACAATAAGAAGCCAAAAACTTTAAACCATAATTATACATGAAACTGTGGTAGCAGAGTTAATTTGTATTATATTATTAAAGGATGAGTAGTATTGAGCTCCAAAAAACAGCTCCAAGTATCATTAGATTCACTAATGACACGACTGAATAATAAACATCTAGCTCGAAAACAAATTCGCAATTGTTTCCCTGGAGACACTAGCTGCAATGTCTTTCCAAATCGTTTATTCGTTTAGATACAAGTTAGAAGATTAAGGCAAAGAATCATACTTTCTGAACTCTATTGGTCAATCTTGTCATTGCACTCTTTAATTTACGTACACGATCCAGGTTGCGGCTACTAATCTGCAAGCAATTGAAACTACTCTGATCACTTCACTTGCTGAATTGTCCATGAACCAAGCAGAAAGCAACAATTTTGAAATGGTCGAATGCAGGTAACTATATAACTTCCTGAGTTGTCAATACAAAGATCCATATAAACTGTAATAGGAACAAGAACACTACAATTTCATACAGCCCACTGGAATCATCCCAATCCACGAAATACTTTAGAAAGTTATGAAGCCAAAAAGCATTTAACTAGAGACCTTACCTTGGATGTCAGCTCATCTAAAGCTGGGTAAGCAGCAGTCTCCAATTCTCTTGTACGTGCATCAAGGAAGCTACATATACCTTCAAGAGCAACTTCAAGAGCCCGAAATTCAAACGGAAATTCTGCAGATTATCGGAAACACATTCAAAATTCAAACGGGAACTCCATAGATCATCAGGAAACACAAATTCAAAATTCAAAAGGTAACTCCACAGATCATCAAAAAGCGCAAGTTATGGAACCAAATGTCCAAAAACAAAGCTGAATGGCACTACTATTTTTAAGTCCTTAACTCCTCATATGGCAAACAAATCAATTCATGTTCAAAATACTAGTTCAACTCAAGAAGAATGTCGTTGAATGCAAACAAACAAAAATACAGAAGCAAATAAAATTTTGCAGACATACCAGTCTCGGAATCAGGCTCAACTTCATTCGGCGTCTCAGGACGGTCATCATCCTCACCTTCCCCTTGGCCAATAGCCATAGGCAATCTTCTTTGAAGTTCTTCAACAATAGGCACCACATTATCATCCAAGGGATCACGGAGCAACACCTACTTTCCCCACAATACACACAACAGACACAGAAGAAAAGGGACTTTACTATAGCAGAATTTCAGTAAGGTAAATATGAATTACAGTGTTAATTTTGCTGATGGAGGCACTTATACAGAGCACCCAGAAAAACGGACGGATTTTAAAAGACAAGTGAATATGGAAAAAGTAATTTCACCTCTTCGGTTGTAATAATTGCTTTGATGTGCTGCAAAAAAGTTGGGCATAGAAAAGTTAACCAACCTTCAAAACGTATTAACAAAATGTACTGGAAAAAAGGGTTCACCTCCAAATTAAGAACAATTGCCTTTTCTCGGCCAAGAATTGTAGAAGGATAAGACAGCATAGGATCAAGAATCCGAAGATCTCGGGCATTGATCGGAACTCTTCTTAATATAGCATGCCTATCCAAATCCAATACAGTTCCCTCCCCACTGCTGTCCAACAGAATCCAACTTCTAGAAACAGCAGTTTTCTTCTTCAAGCTATCGGCGGCCACCGCCCCAGCCGTAATAAAACCGTCTTGAGCCATGGTGACAACTTCCTCATCAATAAGGTTCACATCTCAACTGAACCCAGAAAGAAAAAAACTTGAATTGGGCTAGAAAAAAGTACACAGTAAAGTAACCACTCCTTACTGATAGAAAAAGGGGGAAAAAAAAACACAAAAAAAATGGCAACTTTACTTTACTAGTTTTGATATTTTAGTAAGTTTGGGGAAGATGAAATATTGGGAAATATCCAGCTTGAGGAATGAGGGATGGTGGTGAAAACTGAAAAGGGGGCGAACGAGTGATGGTAATTTGAAGCAGAATTGGGCTACCATTTAGCGGTAATTCCTTCAAAACGGCCAAATCCCAAGATAAGTAAATTGTAACTGCTGGTAGTTGTTGAATCATGGGGGGCTTTTCTGGAGTTGGCAGGTAGTGAAGTGAACGTGTTCGTCAAAACTTTTGCAACAAGAGAGAGTACGGTCTCCGTGGAATGGGTTAAAATTAAACTCAAGGGGTAATTAATTTCATTTTCTCCTTCTATCATCATTCATCAATCTATTTTGCAAGGTTCTAGTCCTTTAATAATTAATTATACAAACGGAAATAAGTTAAATAATACTAGCAGTATACACCTTGTGTCCAAGAATTGCTACAATCTATTTTAGCTCTACTGGTAATCTGGTGTCATTATAATAAAAGGGATTTAGTGATGTCGGGAATTGGGATTCTCTTGAATGGTGTAAAAATGGTTAACTGTTTAACTGTTTCAGTAAGGATGTAAGAATGGTTAGGATTGATTATCGTAATGATCTTTATATTCACACATTTAAATGCATAATAACACACACTTTTAACTCTCCTTACGATTGATTTTATTGGGGTGTGAGTGTGACCCTATAAGCTGTTGTCACTGGCCACTAACATATATAAAATCTTTTGTATGAGCCGTGATGCAATATTATTTACCACCATTGAGTAATAATAGTAAATTATTGGTTGATGGGTTAAATGAACAAAAAGATAGTGCTTTTCATATTTTTTTTTTTTAATGGAGGGGGTTTTTATTAGAAAAGTATACTTCCTCCGGTTCTTAATATTAGTCATTTGATTTGTTATAAGCTTTATCAAGTACACATTTTTAATTGACAAAAAAACCTTAAAAATATTTCATAACAATAAAGATAACACAACGAATGTGAAATCTAAGACAAATCAAAATGTCTTATATTAAAAACCGAAAGGAGTAGAAAACTACACACTCGAATAGTGGAAGAAGCGTCTAGAGCATGAAGAAAGCCGTAGTCTATTTCATGCACCAAATCATGCGATACCACCTCGATTCTTTTGTGAAATTAGTCCTCTGTAGCTGTTTATTTTCTCCTAATACTGATGCATTATGCTTGAAGTTATACTAAGTGATTGAGGGTTCCGAAGCACCCATAGAATTATGTTTGGAGATCAAAAGATATTTGTAATCTGTTAGACAAATTACTACTATATATCACAAGAACTCATGCATCAATGCTCCATGTTTATATAATTCTTATGAATGGACAAATAAAATAATCCCAATTTTCTTAGTATATAAATGGAGCTTACATTAGCTTTTCTGACTATATATTAGTATGTTAAACGGCATTTCCAACGAGATTTGTGTAGCCAACATTTGTGGACCATTTCCTCTTGAACTTGGTTACTTGACTTACTTCCATGGCTGCACTCCGCAAAGTACTGGATCTTTCAAATTAAACTTGGGCTTGTACTTATTTGTGGATCAGTTTATAAGTTACTACCTTTTGGGTTAAATCTAAATTATCTCCTTCATTGGGCTTGACGTCCTCCGTGGTTAACATTTTCATCATCATTGGATAATTGATGTTACAGTATTAACAAAGAAACAAATGAAAAATTTGTGGTCATCTTTAACAAATTTACTTTAAAATCATAATTTGCTATATTGTGCTAGCATAATGATCAACGAGACTAATCACTTTAAAAACTACATTTTACTCATAACTTGTGAATTGTCTTAAAAACTGTACAATTTTATTAGGGAGTTGTATACGAGTTACCTTTACTTTACTGTGACGTATTCCCTCATGTCCTTATTTTAAGGCATTTTGACTTTTTTTTAAGTTTCACCTAGTAAGTATTTTTAATTGACTAAGAAACTTTAAAAATATTTCATAACAATCAAAAGAACATAATGAATGTAAAAAAGATATATTTTTAAGAATTTTTTTTCAATAAAAAATACGTAATGCTTGAAACTTAAGACAAATAGTGGCAATTGATATCCGACATCACCTTGAGACGACGACCACTAAACATAGTTTTTATTTACCCGCCGGTGAAGGTGCTAATCAATACTACCATTCCTTATATTTATAGGTTCATTTCAACTTTGTTAGTGGTTATGATATTGACGCAATTGCTGATTGTCCATTGAAAATTATAGCCTATCGGGAGAGGCTATGTCGTGATGAATCCCTTGACGTCAAAACCATACCCATATTTACCACCAAAAAAAACCCCATACTTATAGCCCGACTTGGCCATGACTTAAGAATGCCATCATTATTAGTTCATGTCTGTTGGAATAATTTGCAGTTAGAATCATAACCGAATGGCCGATCAAATTTAAAGTACATTTGTCTTTCTATCAAAAAATTTTTAAAAAAATTGTCGCTCTATTATTCCTCCATTTAATCCAATAAAATGAATGAGTAATAATACATACAGAAAAAATTTATAATGAATTTTAACATGGAATAATATAACTGAATCTTAACTATTGATCATAGACGGTTATAATACAATCAATGTATGTTTTCCTTGTAATTTTTTCTATAACAATGCTTACTCAAACTGAATGATATTTATGTTACCTTATCTCTCTAAAATATTTTCCTCTCCCCTCTCACTAAACAATCTGCTACCGGAATTTTCCTCCTCCCCCAACCTCCTTAAATGGTGGTTGGGGGAGTTGTTTTTTTTCTCTAGTTCTACCTCCAACACTGAAACCTCTTCCAAATCCACCCCCTGCACCACCGCCAAAACCACCACTGCCTCCAAATCGCCCTCCAGCAAAGCGGTTACTGCCACCCCACCTTTCCTGGCATCCAAACTGTTGGAGCCCCCTTCTGCAGTCCGGATCCATCCTCTGTCGCCCTCTGCCGCCCTTCGCCGACCAGATCCATCCTAAGCCGCCCTTTGCTGGCCAGTACCACCCTCTGCCGCCCTTTGCCGCCCAGATCCACCCTCTGCCGCATCCACCTCTGCTGCCTTCGCCACCCCTCCCACTGCATCCCTGATCTGATGGAGTCTATGTCAGTCCGGATTTGGTTGTTTTGGGATTGATTCTTTACTGAGTGAATTTAGTGTGTCAACGGAACCGAGTCCGTTGGTCGAGTCCGAATTTGATGTGTGCTGTTCGTCGTTCATGACGATAAATTTGTGCTTCAATCTACGGATTAGTGATATATTCGAGTTCAGAATTTTATTCTGTTCCGTGATATGTCTGACAATAGAATTATGTCATTATAGGATTGGTTTTCCTTTCGGCAGTTTTTTTGGTCTAGTTACTAGTGCAGTGATTAGTACCGTGAGTACGTCGTTAGGACGGTTCAAGTACGTCATTTTGGATGGTCTATTTTTGTATCAAATAGTATTGGGTCATTTCCAGTAATCTTAATGGAGTATGTTTTCCTTAAAAAAAAAAACTGAACGATATTTGGGAGATAAAGGAAAAGGTGCCTCATTGTACCAAAAAAAAAAAAAAAAAGCCTCACTGACGTGTCTTTTCTTTGCTTTTGGTTGGCTTGAAATGCGAAACTTATATCACGAGAAACCCAAACTAAGGTCCCAAAGACAAAGTTAAACAAAGGTTTGGCAGCATATATCCTCGACAGACAAACATGTCCATTCGTGCTTAAAGTTAAACCCCAAAAGGTTTGGCAGCATACATCCTCTCTTATTTATTTAGAGTGGATGAAGTGTATTAGTAGTACTTCTAGTGTTATTTTTTATGTGAGGTTTTGAAGATGAAAGGGGAAAAGCCAGAAGGTCCATTTTGTTCACTAGTTTCCAGGCAGCCAATCATCGAACAATTAGTGGATCACATAGTCACACGCTACAATTACCGAGGTGACCACAAGTCGACAAGTGCTGAATCAGATGGAAGGAGGTTAGGGGGTTGTGTATTCTTTTCTCAAACGTGAAATTTAAGGGAAAAAAAAAGTGAAATTTTATTAAATACTCCCTCCGTCTCATAATTATTATCTAGTTTAGATTTTCATTTTTAGTTCAAATTATACTAAAAGTGAAATCTCAAACTGGATAATAATTTTGGGATAGAGGGAGTATATATAAATCGACGTCAACAAATTTTACAACCTAGTAGTGATAAATTAAATACACATTAAAACCAGAAGAAAAAAATTTCAAAAGTAAAATACTACTAGTACTACTACTACTGGTGTTGGTGTGTTTTCATTGATAAATAATACATTTATTTACATGTACCACATGTTACATGACATCGGAGTAAGACACTACCAACTACTACATCGGAGTGGCCAAAGGTTGACAAATCCAACACGTCACGTGAGATCGTTAGTCCAACTGGTTTTTAATAACATTACAATTACATTATTATTATAGAATAAAATCCAGTATGATAGCACTATGATTCAAACATTCATTTAAAGCTTTATTTACTTCAGAAATTCAAATTTTTGAAAGTTTTGATAGGTTTAATTAATGTGCTGAGCGACACATTCTACAACACGAATATAGTTTTAAAAATCCTTTTTTTTTTTTGAAAAAATATATTTTGGGTTGTGGCCGTCAACCAGAAGACACCTGGACACTGATTTTTTATTTTTGGGTTGCTGGTCATTCAGAGATGTGGATAGATAGGGAGAGAGCGGAATAAGTGCAAGAGATTATGGGTCCATAACCATGTACTTTCACCATTCCCATTCCATCTCAACATGTGAATGCTCAGAAACCTCATGCCTATGTCATTACCCTGTCTCATCTCCTTCTACACCAACAAATCCCCAATTTGTCTTTTTTCTTCTCCATGTTTTTCCATTGGTCTCAAGCAGGAAAAAAATTTATCCAAAAGATCAATAGATTGAACATCACATCTCAATTTTCTCTACATTGGTTAATGATGGAAAGACCACGAAAAATCATCACCATAAATACATTATGAGTAAGCTACATTCTTCTATTAGTTAGTAGGTAAATCGAAAGAAATCACACGCGTCGATGAAAATACAAAAATTGTAAATAAAAGAACAATCCTGATATATAAAATAGAAAATACGAGTTTCATATTAGGCAAAATCTGTTTCGAACAAGAATAGTAACTTATTTTAAAATTAGAGGTTATACGTCTAAAAATTCCTAATAAGACAAATTAAGTTAGCAAGAACATTGCCATTAGGATTGTATGATTATCTTATATGATTGAAATGAAAATCATAGTTCTAATCTAATCACCGCCTCAATTAAGTACCAAAACGGACTAAACAGTCGAGCCAAAAAGGAGCTACTTTTTAAACTTTTGTTCTGTCACTCAAATCACAAGTACGATGTATGTTATGTATGACAAATGTACATGTCCCACCATGGAAACGACACCATTCATCATGCTTATTTTAATGCTTGGCATCGTATTTCCCGCAATTATAAATCTCCAAGCCAAAAAACGTATCACTGCTAAAAAAAAAAAAAAAAAAGTAACATCAGTTAAAAAAAGAAAGAAAGTAGTAACTATATATATAAGCCAAATGCCAAATTTCCATTCCCCGAATCTGGAAAATTAAATTAAAAAATTAAAGAAAAAGGAAGGGAAGTTCTTTCCTTGCTTGCTGCTCCTCTTTCTCACAAGAAGAACATGGCACGACCTCTTTCTCCGCCTTCACCGCGTTGCATCTAAATCTCTATCTTTTCTTCTTCTTCTCTCTCTCTCTCTCTAAATTCCTCTTTCTCTCTCTACTACAATCTGCGTTACATCAGGCGATCTTCTTCTCTAATTCACCGGCGGATTCACGAGAAAAACCCTACCCCGTTCTTGTTCTTCAACCGTTACTTTGTGCTGGTATTAATTGCTGTAACTCGGAAGATGATCTGCTGCTTCGATAATAATTGGAAATAATCGAGCGACAGATGATTGGAAACCCTAGTGTTCAGGTATCTCACTTAAGCAGCAGAAATTGATGAATGATGAAGCTTTTTCGGCGATGCACGAGGATTCTTATCGTTTCCCTGCTCGTTGTTTCGGTGTTCGTCCCAATCGGTTTTCTGTCTCAACGGCTCAAGCACCTGAACTCCGACGGTATTTATTTTTTTTGAATTTGTTGCAGAGTGATGAGACTCAGTCGTTTGTTTTTTCCTTGATAGAAGAAGCTATTTGATGATTTCTAACTGTTCGTTTATATTACTCTGCAGTCTCCGAGGACTTTGTTGAAGATTTGTCCAAAATTGTACGTTTACTCCCTCTTTCGGTTCTTCTCTTTGCTCGAATTGTATAGTACTACTTTCTGAAATTGTTTTGAATAGTTGAAGAGTTAGAGGAAGTAAATAGTTGTCTAATTATCGAATTGCAGGTTTGCTTTTCTTGAGTAGTGATTAGTGAATTCGACGTTGGAAACTATCTTAATTCAAGCTTAGTGGATGAACTCAGTTAAACATATTTGGTGATTTTGGTTGCTCTATTTAGTTTTCAAAAGAGATTTACAACAGTGAGATGACATCTCCTATCCTAGAAATCTTGGGACTAAATTGAGATCAATAGGAATGATATAGGATTCTTGAAAAGTACAAGACCAGTTTTGGCTGTTCTTTACCTTTCCACTTTTTCCAGATTTTTTTTTTTTCGTGGTGATCATACTAAACAAGTAATGGAACCAATAGCTGTTATTTTCTTTTTCCATATTTTAGATTATTCCTTTTCTAATATGTGCCTTGAACTTTGTTCAGAAACACAGAACAGAAGCTCAAGCACTTAATGCAATTGAAGAGGTAATAATTACAACAATAACAAGCCATTGCTAGGAGGATCTAGATTTTACTTGGCCGATTATTTCTTCCTCAATGTTTATTTGATTTTTTTTTTTCTCTTGTGTTTAGGATGAAAGTAAAGGTGTGAAAGAGCCACCTCTAGAGGTTTTCAGAGATGAACTAGTGATTTCTGCTGTTAGTTTTGGTTCTACTAACGAGAACAATAGTATTAATGATCCAGGGCATTCCACAGATACTGACAGTCTGTTGGAAACAAATGGTTGGTTCTATTTACATGTAGTTTCAATTTTACATTCTTGGTAATCTACCTCAGATGCTTATGTGTGCTGGTGCTTCTTGTTCAGGAACCAGTCATGAACCAAATAAAGATAATCACCAATCGCAAACAGAAAAATCATCCATGTCTGGAGAAGAGGTAGGATATATAAAAACTTGGTCTGAATACTATGTAGTTTGGCCTGTTAGACTATGAGGCAACTGAATGCCCTGACACTATTTCTTTTTTATAATATTTTGGCTGAAATGAAAAGAAAATGCTAAATTTTCATTAGGGTGTCTCCTGTAAGGTGAAATTTTCTTGGCCACCAATGCGATAGTTGAAACTTAAGTGTTTGCACTGCTCTTGATTATCGAGGAGTTTGGTAGTATCTTAATTTTAGGGAATTATGTACTATAATAGCTTGAGTGACTTAGTTCTCTCGCCGATTTAATTTACATTTAGGTTGCCAAAATAGTTTATTGACATGGGGTTTAACTTCTTGGTACTTTTAACCTTAATTTGATATAGTGGCTGCTGTGGACTTTTGTGTTACAGATTTTATTAAAATAATAAATGTCATTCTATGTATCACTATATGTGTGGGAAAAGCTGTTAGAAATGACCTTTCTGAAAATGTGCATGGAAGTATTTACATGGGTTCTTTTTCTAGACGAATTTGATTTCTAATTAGCTGAAGAGTTCTTAAATAGAGGGATCTAACTGTCACATCCGGTATTCTGTCATTGCTTCCTAACAGTTTATCGTGAATAAGTATCATTTTGAAGTATCCTGTGCTGTCCCCTTATTTTTGTTCTCAATTTGTTTTAATTTGTGATAGAAACATTCTGGACCAACAAATGTCCAACAAGATCAAAAAGCACAAGCTCATTCTCATAAGGCGCGCGATGAGAAGGTGAAAGAGATGAGAGATCAGGTGATTAGGGCTAAGGCATACATAAGCTTTGCCCCACCAACTAGTAACTCTCATTTTATAAAAGAGTTGAGACTTCGAATAAAGGAGTTGGAACGAGCTATAGGCGAAGCTACCAAGGATTCTGATCTATCTAGGAAGTATGTTTATCCAACTATGTTTGTACAGAAAATTGGCATGTTATTTAATTTATTTGTTATATACATGTGTGGCATCAGACCTCTTCATCTATATGTTCATTGGTTCATCAACCCATTATCACAAGATAACAATTTGACTTGAAGCATCATTCCAGGTTGCAAGGGTGGAAACCATATGCTTCTATAGTTGATTAGTGCTCAAGTATCAATCTTTGTTGCTGCATATGAAATATATTCATTCGCTTTTACGTGCATTTGACATCTCAGGGCATTCCAGAAGATGAAAGCCATGGAGATTTCTTTGTTAAAAGCTAGCCGCATTTACCCTGATTGCTCTGCCATGGTGAAAAAGCTTCGTGCTATGACACACAGTGCAGAACAACAAGTTAATGCACAGAAGAATCAAACAACATTTCTTGTTCAGCTTGCTGGGAGGACTACCCCAAAGGGTCTCCACTGCCTCTCTATGAGGTTGACTGCTGAATATTTTGCACTGCAACCTGAGGAGAGGGAACTTCCTAACCAACATAAATTGCATGATCTGGATCTCTTTCACTTTGCTGTTTTCTCAGACAATGTCCTCGCTTGTGCTGTGGTTGTTAACTCAACTGTTTCGGCTTCTCAGGTAATAAGAAATCGGTTTTAGTTCCGAAATGAGTTGACTGTGGATGTTACGGAGGAGAAATGTCTACTTCTTTTGTGTACTGATGAAAATGAATTCATTGATTTTGCAGGAGCCAGAGAAAATTGTTATCCATGTAGTGACAGATTCACTCAACTTTCCAGCTATGTCAATGTGGTTCTTGTTGAATCCTCCTGGGAAAGCAACTATACAGGTTCAGAACATGGACAATTTTGGATGGTTGTCAGCCAAATACAATGCTACTTTGGAGAGGCAAGACTCTCGAGACTTGAGATATACTTCACCACTAAACCACCTCCGTTTCTATCTACCAGATGTTTTTCCTCTCCTGAAAAAAATTGTGCTTCTTGATCATGATGTTGTTGTGCATAAGGATCTAACTGGTCTTTGGAGTATTGACATGAAAGGTAAAGTAAACGGTGCAGTGGAGACTTGTCAGGAACGACAGCCTTCTTTCCGTCGGATGGATATGTTCATCAATTTTACAGATCCTATTTTGGGCCAGAGATTTGACGCAAGTGCATGTACCTGGGCTTTTGGAATGAACTTATTTGATCTGCAAATGTGGAAGAAGCAAAATATAACCGGTGTCTATCACAAATACCTGCATTTGGTAAGGAAATCATATTTTGCCTATTATCTTACTGCGTAGCTTATCCAGTTGATCGTAGTATATTCATAGTGGATAAGATTGTTTGTTTTTCTCTGTTATCTAAAATGTTTCGAATACGGAGCATCAGAGTTGAATACGAACCTGCTTGGCCCTATATATTGCTATAACATACCATCTCGTTGTTGGACCTCATATAAAGATTCCAACATTGTAATTTTGAGCAGGAAGGATGGTATTGTTTTTTATTCATGAGTTCCTTGGTTCTGATGTGGGCACATTAAGACACTATTAAAGTTAAGCCCCCCTGATATATTTCTGCTTGTGGATGATGCAGGGAAGTAAGAAGCCAGTTTTTAGAGCTGGTAGTTTACCCATTGGTTGGCTCACCTTCTATGGGCATACAAATCCTTTAGAGAGGCGATGGCACATTCTTGGGTTGGGCTATGACTCAGGTGTCGTGTTGAGTGATATTGAACAAGGAGCAGTACTTCATTTTGATGGAATGATGAAGCCATGGTTGGATGTCGGGCTTGAGAAGTATAAGAAGTATTGGAAGCGTTATGTTTTGTATGATCATCCTTACCTCCAACAGTGCAATATTCATCCGTAATTAGGTCCCACATTTTTCGAGTTTTAAACCTCACCCTTTCCCCAGAAGTTCTTCATACTGCAGGGATTAAAAAGTTGACCCCTCCATTCTTTATCGATTCTTTTCTACAGTGTAGATCCGAGCTTTATTTTTCCTTGCTCTTCCTTTGAGCAGTAGTTGTTAGAGATTCAGACTAGTTTAGCAATAACAGAAAGCATTTTTTTGGACATTTCCTAAGGGAAGACTTTAGTTCCGGGACAACGTCTGTATATAGCTGATTTTGGTATTAATGAGGTCGAATTCATTGGTTCTTACTTGAGTTTTGTACAAATACATGTACTGATCTTCTTACATCATGGCCAAGGGGAAGAAACTGAAGCAGAAAATGAAAAAGCGGGAAGCTTTTTTGTTTGTTTAGCATATACTTTCTGTTTGCATGGATCCGCATTTTGAATGGGCCTGTGGTTCGTTGATGATGGACCACCCGAATCATAAGCTTTAGGAAGTCCATGCTGCAAGTGCTCCTCAGTAATATTCGCATTAATTTCATAGTAATTTTCGAAAATTCACGAATTTGGAGTTTGGCGTTTGGTTATTTGCTCTTTACTATATCCTTTTTTTTTTCTCGGAAAAATACTTTGATCCAGTAAAAATCATGTATGATTACGATTGGTAAACAAGAGAAAAATCATTTACAACTCGAGCATGCCACTCCCACAAGTCAGTTCCACGGATAAAGTAACACGTGGCAAAACTCAGTTGGATTATTGAAGATGAGGTGCTATCTGCGTATCTGTGGTGTGTGGTTCAGTAATCAGACAGATGGAACTGAAAAATATATTTCCCCTGAAATTAGGGTGAAGCAAAAACTGATTCGCTTGCTCTAGCTCTGTAACTTCGAGTGAAGATCCTCCGAGCGTCCCAAAACACAGACAAAAAAAATGGCCTCAATCACTGCTTACGGTACAACCTCCTCCATGGCATGTGCTGCCCTTTTGCCCAAGGCATCTGTTGTTCGTGCACCATCAGCCATTGGTATGGTTTGTTTTTTCCCCTTCTCATTGTTTATCCAAAAGTTAAGATGAGTTTGATAGCTTACACCGGGAAATCTTAATCCTTTCGTTCCAAAATGATTGTTATATTAGTTGGGAGTAGTGATTTTTTGATTGATTTTTTTGCTTCAAAAAATTAGTTTTAAGAAAGAATGATATAATCTTGTTAGTCCAGCGACCAAGTTAAATGAGCTTCATGATGAGGTTGGATTTCGCGGGTTGCCCTTTTAGCTTTTAAGCTCTTCTTGCTAGTTTCAGTTTTGATTTTCACCTAATTGGTGTCATTTTTGGTTACCGTTAACTTGTCCAATTACTGTTTGGAAATTGATCCTGAATCTTGGTGATTGGAAGTTTGTAACAATGTAAATTAACTGTAAGAGCCTTTTTTCTTCGGTATGTGAAAAATTACTGAAACAGGGTTGCCAGTGATGTCAAAGATGGGAAGAGTGAAGTGCTCCGGGGAGGAAAAAAGCTCCGGGAAGGAGTCAAAGTTGGGAATGAGTGCATCATTGATGGCGGCGGCTTGTGCAGCCACCATGTCCAACCCGGCCATTGCTCTAGTGGATGAGAGAATGAGCACAGAAGGAACAGGGCTCCCATTTGGGTTGAGCAACAACTTGCTGGTTTGGATCATTTTGGGTGTCTTCGCTTTGATCTGGTCTTTCTACATCGTCTACACCAGCGGCCTCGAAGAAGACGAGGAGTCCGGACTGTCCCTATGAAATTATTCCTAATGTCATGAATTAAAAAGTGTAATTTTGTGATCAACTTTGTGTAATACTACTTCTTCTTCTGCGTGTATCTCTGAAATCTTGATTCTTATTGCATTTTGATGCTGCCATCTCTGCCGCTACAAAAAAAATTTGTTACATTACATTCGTGATCATATATAAAACATGGTAATAATAATCAATAAAAGACTTAAAATGGCTTGTCAGAGTTACAAGTCTAAGACTTATTTATTGAATTTCATATTATTTCTCACTATTAAAATCACTGGGAGATTCGACCACTACTCCTAAGTCCTAAAATCTCATTTCAGTCTCATTTCTTTTCACAATACAAAAAAAGAGATCAATTAAAATTAACTTATTTTAATACCAGTAGCTCTTATCACACCATGTTGCAAATATTGTTTGGTCCCATGGTGAAATTTCAAGCCACTACAAATTAGTGCATCACACACACAATAATAACAACTCGAAATTATTCAAATATAGTTTAATTGAGTTTTTTTTTAAATCGAATTTTTTCATAAAATCATGTAATGTTTCGGTTACAAAGCACTTTCCATTCCTATTTTATAAAACGCAAATTGCAGTAAACCTTCGTAAAATTAATAATGTTAACATCATCAAAAACTATTAATATAGTAAATTATCAAAATTTAATAAGTTATTAAATTAAAGAGTTTTCTAAAAAAGAATATTGTACGTAATTTTCTATTATCTTTACCATCCAAATCAATTGTGTTTGAAACAAATCTCAATACCACTTCTATATAATGGATTAATAAGCATGAATAACGCATATTTTACTTAAGTATATTTACAATAATTTGTTTTTTTAAGTTAATTATTAATTTATGATATTGACAGGATTTACTATATAAATAAAGGAGATTTTCTAAAAAAATTTAACGATTATATATATATATATTGAATAGTATTAGGTTTTTGGAATTATAATGGGAATTTATTGTTGTGCTTTTTTTTATGAGGATGGTGCGAGGTTCTAGATATACTAGTGATGTCTGGTCGCGCAATGCGCGACCCTAGCCCAGTCTATCTGTAGATCTTAGAAATATTTATATTTGAAAAAAATAAAATTTTGTATTTGGAGCGATATATTTTAGAAATGTTTGAAGGATTTAGAAATGTCTTATAAGTGTGATCATAGAAATATTTGTATTTCGCAAAAAAAATAAATAAATTGTATTTCGCCATGTATGTTTTAGAAATGTTTTATAAGTGTTACTTATTAAATAAATAGCGTAATCGAATATATGTGTTGGAGTAAATGTTAGATAAAATATAAAAGTATCCTAATAAATTTAAATATTAGTAAGATGATTTATTGACGTTCTCCATTGGTCGTGTCAAATCAATACTTAGTTTTGGAGATTTTTAATAGCTTTGTAATAAGGTTCATCCGAAGAATATACGCTTAAAACAAAATTGACACTTTGTAACAAAAAACCTAATTGATCAATTCAATTTAAAAAACCATTTTAGTTGAATGAAACATAAAGAAAAAATTAAAAAAAAAAAACGTGTCACGTAAAGTGCAAAGGGAGATTTAGTAATTTAGTTATGGTTAAACAAAAGGGCAATTTAATATTTTATACATGCCATGTGGCAATCATATGAGGTGTTTGAAAGGGAGGTTTTTGTTTCTAATATAGTAAGATATATATATATAATATCCATTATAATTCCAAAAACCTAACACTATTCAATAAACCCTAAACCAAAGAAAAAAAACAAAGACCAAAAATAAAACACTTAGGGGGTTCAGAAATTCGGGACTATCTCTGTTTGATTTCGCCCACCTCTGCCTGCTTGTGCTTTCGATAATTTTCTTCCTAATGCTTGAACATTGATTCACCGCTGTGGGAATCGTGTGTTTGTGGGCTGCGTTGGAATATCGTCTCCGCCACCAACTGGAAGCAGCTCTTGATCAATCCCACTCCGAATCAACATTAGGTAGAAGAAGAAGAGGAAATTAAAAAACAAAAAACAGGTTGAAGAATCTTCGGAATTTCGCTCCCGCGTCATTACCGCCATTTTCCGTGCTTCCGGAGCCCAATTAAATTTTTACGGCCCGAGGGTGAAGACGCGCGATTACGAGACTCACTTACGAACACAACTCTGGCCGTTCTCAATTATCTTTGGCATTCATAACTTTCGCTGATATCAAGCTAATTTGGTACGGGTTCTCAAATTGCTGTCTCGATTGTTACCTGAGTATCCCTTCGCATGTTGCTTATGCAAGTTCCCCTCATACATTCAGTCGAGCCGTGGATTATTTCTGTGTATGTGTGTGTGTGTGTGTGTTGGGGGCAGGGGGTGACTTTTGTTAGGCATGTGACGTCTATAACGTGTTTGATTATTTTCCAAATCATACAATGCACGTGTTTGATTCTGTTTACTAAGCTGTGGGAGTAATTATGTTTTGGGCTGTTGGTTTTTGAAAAGGTTTTAAGTCCTGAGCCTTCGTTATGCTTGAAGGAGTGAGAGTCTATTTTGAAAAAATCAATCTGGTGTACTTAAGAACAACTTTAGATAGTCATCTTTTCCATTTTGGTTTAGGTGGAAGCTGCACCACGGTGTTAAAAGTCTCCAGTTAGATTCAAAGGGAGATGTTCCGCTTAAGCGAAATTGAGCATACATTCAGATTGCCTCCTCATCGCCTCGATCGTCCTCTTGCTGAAGCAATCAAGGGAGAACTCGAGAGTCTCTTTGTAGACAAGGTATTGTCTTTAGTATTTTTTTGCTTTCTTGTATTACCTAAGAGGATTATCTGACTATTATCTAAATTCATTCTCTTTTGTTGTTTTTGTTTGTCAAGGTGATTGCTTACCTGGGGCTTTGTATCTCTATATATGATATTCGCTCTATTGATGGTGGCTTTGTCTTTCCAGGAGATGGTGCTTCGACATATACGGTATTCTTTTTGCATTGGGCTTTTTTTTTTTTTTGTTGGTTTCTCTTTCTATCACTTTTCAGTTGCCGTGTGAGTAATCTAAAACTTTTTTTTTTTACTTTGCCTCCTGCTCGCCTTTGAGCATTCCTTTTATGGCGTCCTTGTTGTGTGCTTCAGTAGTTCAATGCAATCCTCTGGTCTGTCTACTTTACTTTATATATTATTAATACCTTAATTTGCTGAATTTTTGGGTGTTGGCTTGATGGGTCTTTATGATCAGCGTGTTAAAGTTCAGTAGCCTTCTAAGTGGTCGACCAGTTTCTCAATTTAAGGGTGGGACTGTCTAACTGAGGATTGTTGTCGCCTTTCTTGAACTTGATGATTGTAAATTTTTCCTAGAGATAGAATGAATGACAGGTCATGAGAATAAACAAATATGCTTGAAGAGAGCAAACTGAATTTCAGTATTAGCATGTATAAGTGTTTCTTATGCTAGTTTTGTTTTTCTGGCAGGTCAAATTCAGATTGATAATTTTTTGCCCCTTTGTGGGGGAGGTCATCGCTGGAAGACTTATAGATTCTACCGATGAAGGTCTAAAATGTATGTATGCGAAATGCTATGTCTTTTGATACCTGGTTCTCTTGCTGCTGATACATTTATCTCCTTGGGGGCTGGTTATTCTTTAATTAGTGGATAAATATTTGTTAGATGATTATTAATAATTTCATGATTCCTGCTTTCATGCTGACAGTATCGCTCGGATTTTTTGATGATATACATGTGCCTGTATCGAAGTTGCCACAAGGCTCGTGTTCTGAAACTGATCCAGATAATAAGTTAGTATATACTGTATATTTTTGTTGTTATGAGATGGATTTTATTTGATAATCCACGCACTCATGCCATACAATTTATATGGGTGCGTATGCTCATTACAGGGGGAAAGTCAGGTGGATGTGGAATTATGGGGACGGACAAAAGTTTCCTATAGACAATTTAGACGAGGTTTGTTTGTTTGTTTTTTATATCTGCGTTTTGTAATTTCATGTCTACCATTTGGTTCATCAATTAAAACACCATGTTGTGTACTTGGAAGTTGATTTTTGTGATGCTTGAATGCAGATCAGGCTTCGGGTTCATGATGTTAGATATCCCAAAGTACCCCTTGAGCAAGAAAGTAGTTCAAAAAATGAGGAAGAAAGCAGTTCAAAAAATGAGGAAGAAAGTAGTTCAAAAAATGAGCAAAAAAGTAGATCGAAAAAACCGTTTGCCCCGATGGAAATCATGGTAAGTGTGGCATTATACATTGTCCCACCACCCCAAGAATTTGAATGTCGTGGAAGTGGCTTATTATATTCATTGCGTGTCTTTTGGTACTTAGCCAGTTAGTCGTTCAGATTTTTTGGCTGAAGTAATGCTTCTTTTAGAGTTGGGGGGCAAATAATGAATTTGCATATAACGTTCGTTTTGTATTGGCAGGGATTTCTTGATTGCGATGGTCTGGGTCCAATTTCATGGTGGGTTTGAGTTTTGCAAGGTTTTGAATTATGTTAGATGTTTGAAGATTTTGACGACAAAGTATCTGATGTCTGCGGCAGCAATTTCGGTACTCTGCGAATATGTGAGTGGATGAAGCAAAGATGTTATAAGACCCCCTTATATCCATTCATTCTCTGTTACCTTTTTAGGTCAAGTATTCAGAGTAGAACCTTTCAGAGTTTTACTGGTACTCTCAGTGTTTTAATCTAAAAACTTCCGATTCATGCTGTCTATGAGCTCTTTACTAATTAGGTTTCTGCAGTGGTATTTTTACATTCTAAAATTGATATTGCGATTTGTGAAGGGTCTTTCCGAAACCCAGGAATTGAAATGGATCCACAAAATTGGTACTCCGTATCAAAATTATTATTCAGTTTGAAATTTTACTTTTAGTACAATTTGAATTAAAAATGAAAATCCAAACTGGATAATAATTATGAGACGGAGGGAGTATTGTTTTTTTGTTGCCAAAACAATTATTGATAATATTGTTACAATCTGCCTTTAAAGTTTAATAAAGCCTAGAAAAATCAATATATGTCGTACAGCAATATACAGCGGTAATTTGAAAGTGGTTACTAGAAACTGGATTTAAACCGTAAGCACATACCCCTTATCAAACAAAAACGAAAACAAACACTACTTTCTAGTCTTCTACTATACTACTTTTCAAATTGGGAGATTATAATTTCTTTTTCTGAAAAAGATAGAAAAAAGAAAAAAGAAATCACGAGTTGGAAAGGTATAAAAAATTCGAGCTTTCCAGGTAAAGATTCTGTGAAAGATAGAAGAAGAAAAATGGCGACGTCGATTAGCAGTCCCAAGTTCAGTTCCACCTTCTCTTTTCAAACCCTGGCCCTCTGCAAAAAGCTTCCGATTCTTCCCTCTTTTCAGTTCCGGGACATTAACGTCGGCGGCCGACGATTTAGGCCCTCGTTTTCTCAAGGCCAGCGACAACGGCGGTGCTTCACCACTATCACCAGAGCCGAGTCCACCAACGGTGTCGGCTCGGAGCCTTCCCGCCATTACGACTTCGACCTCTTCACTATTGGAGCTGGTAGCGGCGGCGTCAGAGCTTCGCGCTTCGCTTCCAATTTCGGTGCTTCCGTTGCCGTTTGCGAGCTTCCTTTTTCCACTATCTCCTCTGATACTGCCGGTGGCGTAGGCGGAACGTAATGTTTCTAATTTAATTGTTTACCTCAATTAGTTTTATCTTCTTCTATATTTGCGTAATTTTCCTGCTCGTTGCCCTGTATCTCATTCGGTGAAGTCTGATCATTGCATTTTACGCTTAGTTTGTCCTCGGGGTTTCCAGTCAAGGTTTTTATTCATTTCATTCCTTTTTTATTTTGCTCTTGGCTTTTGGAGGTGTGGATTTATGTAGAGGAAGATTTTAATGCTAAATAAGGTGTTATTTGGTTGTAAAATGTAGGTGCGTGCTCCGTGGATGTGTACCCAAGAAATTGCTAGTTTATGCTTCCAAATATTCTCATGACTTTGAAGATAGTTTCGGTTTTGGTTGGACTTATGATACGGAACCCAAACACGATTGGAATACTCTGATTGCAAATAAAAATGCAGAGCTGCAGCGCCTTACTGGCATCTACAAAAACATCTTGAAGAATGCTGGTGTTCAGTTAATTGAAGGGCGAGGAAAGGTGATCATTTCTAGTGCCAAATCGCTTTTAAGGTAGAAATTTTGCATACTTGTAATGTGGATAAAGGATTCTGTTGAATTCTGATGGCTGCAGGTTGTGGATCCTCACACTGTTGACGTGGATGGGAAACTCTACACGGCGAAGAACATATTGATTTCAGTTGGAGGACGCCCATTGATTCCAGATATTCCTGGGAGCGAATTTGCAATTGATTCTGATCAGGCTCTGGATTTGCCTTCAAAACCTGAGAAAATTGCAATCATCGGGGGTGGCTATATTGCTGTCGAATTTGCTGGTATTTTCAACGGCTTGAAAAGTGATGTTCATGTATTTATAAGACAGAAGAAAGTTTTACGGGGATTTGATGAGGAGGTAGATTACTTGACTGGGCCCTAATCAGTAAACTTCAAGAGATATGATAAGCATGGCAGACAATTTCATTTTCTGATTTTGCAGATCAGAGATTTTGTTGGAGAACAGATGTCATTGAGAGGGATTGAGTTCCACACGGAAGAGTCACCCCTGTCTATTTCGAAATCATCAGATGGATCACTTTCATTGAAGACAAACAAAGGAGCAATTGAAGGTTTCTCTCATATTATGTTTGCCACTGGACGTCGACCAAATACGAAGGTTAGTGTTTTCTTCTTTGTGATTATCTATAGGGGATTGGGGCCCTTGCCAGGTGGCTAGATTTAAGCTTCTATTTACTTTTCCTGGTTCTTTCCATTTTGGATGTGATATTGGTTTTACAGTCTTAGCAAATATAGTGGGATATATGCATAGTTTTTAGTGTATCCTGGTTGTTTATTATCTTCTCTCAGAAATCTTGGATGCTTGCATACCATGTGTGGAACCCTTGCTTTCATCATGATTGGCGTAGAAGTGCATTTGCTGATTGTATATAGCATTGATTTATTATTAAGATTATAAGATATTAAATGCCATGGCAGAATTTAGGACTGCAGCAGGTGGGAGTGAAAATATCAAAAAATGGAGCAATTGAGGTATGTAATGCGTTTTCCTTTCTGCAGTCTTGCCAACAATCAGACCATCTACTGCAATTCCTGAATGTATGGTTAATTTGTGTTCAATCAGGTGGATGAATATTCTCGTACATCAGTTCCATCAATTTGGGCTGTTGGAGATGTTACTGATAGGGTAAACTTAACCCCAGTTGCTTTGATGGAGGGATCAGCTCTGGCAAAAACTCTTTTTGCCAATGAGCCAACCAGACCAGAGTACAGGTGCTCAGTATATCTTTCTGTTTGTTTGATGGGCTACAAACGTATGAAGAGTTCTTTGAGTTTATGGTATGATAAAGTTCCTGCATGGTTTTGACAATCAAAGGTGTTTTTGTTCCCTTGTATAGAGCTGTACCATCTGCTGTCTTTTCCCAGCCACCAATTGGCCAAGTTGGTTTGACTGAAGAACAGGTAGTCAAGTTGTGGTGTGACTGTTACTTTTAAATGTCAAATTTTTCTGTTACATTTAATGTAGAAAGGATCCGGCAGGCTCTACAAGAACATGGTGATGTTGATGTCTTCACAGCAAATTTTAGGCCGTTAAAGGCAACCCTTTCTGGTCTTCCTGATCGTGTTTTCATGAAGCTTATTGTTTGTGCGAAGACAGATAAAGTCCTTGGTTTACACATGTGTGGTGATGATGCTCCAGAAATAGTTCAGGTTACCATCTTCCCTTACTGTGTGGAATCACTTCTCAATATTTAGAATAAAAGAAGTTGTATATAAAAAAAATTTTATCATGGAACTCCAGGGTTTTGCTGTGGCAGTGAAAGCTGGCTTGACTAAAGCTGATTTTGATGCCACAATAGGCATCCATCCAACAGCAGCTGAGGAGTTTGTCACAATGAGAATTCCTACTCGGAAGATTCGAAGTAGTGTGCCTGAGGTATTTTTTTTTTTTTTTCCGGAAGGCCCCGCCAAGTAGTTGTCTCTTATTCTAGGGCCATGTGGTTACCTTTAGTCCAAGAGAAGCCATAAATCCTTTACTAAGTCTTCATGTTTGAGCTTAGTCATTATGATTTCAAGAGTGCTTTTTGATGAATATCTATTGTTTACAATGATGTTGTATATAGGAATAGGAGAACCTTTTTCCAAAGGCAAAGCCACCTCAACAGATTTGAGGCCCCTTCAAAACTTTGTTTCTATTAATCGGAGCTTTGGTCAGTCAGTAATTGAAATGGTGCTTCAGTTATTTTAGCTGATGTTTGTGGTCACTTACAGCAAGTTTGAAATTGTCTTTGTTGGAAAGCAGCAACTACTACTAGCTTAGAGACATTGTACTTAAATTGGTGGTTCTTTTTGGTTTCCTGTTCCTAGTTTTCATTATATTCTGTTTTGCATAGCTAAGGTTTTTATAAGCGATTCATGTTTTTATTCCTCAGGGAAAGGCAGACTCCGAGATTCAATCTACTGCCAGAGTTTGAAATGTAAGAATGGCAAGAAACTATTCCATCGCGTTGCAGTTATTGTTTTCATTGGGGTATGTACAGTTTCTCTTGATATCAATGCCATGTTTTCTGCTCTGGGTCTAAGTACAGTGTCTCTTGATATCAACACCATGTTTTCTGCAGTAGATCTAATTTTAAAAGTCAAGAATTGCCCTTCAGCTGCTTAAAGCTTATGTCAATATGGTGTTTTATGTTTTTTAAAATGCTTCGGTTCCTATGAATTTGAGCAAGTTTGGAGAGCATCAGTTTTGCATACCTCTGGTTACTGAATTAGAACACTGCCATGTTATTCTGAGAAATAGATGTAAATTCAAGCTATTTTCCCTCTTTGCTTTTGTAACTTTCACAACCAGAGGCTCCATTCTGATTTTAGCAATGAGCCATTCATAGCATTAGGAATCAATGATCGTGGTTTCTTTGAAAGCCAGCCATCATACATGCTTCTTAGGTTTTCTGATTTACAAATGTGATGAGATGTTTTCACTAAATGTCTGTGTTATGGGACCCTTATCATTCTCAAGCATGTGTTCACCTCTTACAATAACAAAATGTAGCCAGCAGTCTATTCAACCCTAGTTAATTTATCACCATTTTTCTTGCTGGTGACTTTATTTTCTTTCCTTGTATTTTCACTCTTTTTCTGCTAGTGTTTCGTTCTGTGTGGTGAATTCACTCTTTTTCTGCTAGTGTTTCGTTCTGTGTGGTGACCTTTTCCTTGTCAATGTTCAGCTAACCTGGGACCAAGATGGAATATACATCCCTGCAAACTGGGAATGTGAAACTCAAATCCAGCCAGTCTGAAACATGGTTATGGTCCTTTGATCTGTGGAGGGTGCACATATTGATATTAGTATTCACAGTGAATAGTGTACCTGAAATACGCATTTTGTGGCTGTTTAGGAGACTAACAGTTTGCTGAAGCCGGTGACGACTTCTTTGTTGAATGAGTTTTGTTACTTGTGCTCATGGATGAGTACATGTATATTTATTTCGAATTCTGTAATTAGGTGAGGTTTTAATAACAATCCAACAGAATTTTGCCTGTCACCGCATCTGCTTCTTAATTGATATGACATTTGTGCTTGTCACTATTCATTTCTGCCTTTCTATTGCTCTGCTTAGAAATGGAGCTTGAATGGAAATGTGATGTGATAATAGTATAAAACTACAAAGCACCACTATATTCAAGCGTGAATCATTTTTGCAAACCTCTTGTTAGTTGTTTGGCTTGTTTCAGGTGCATTAATTTTAGAACGAACCATCCAATCTCTAACTCCCAACTGTCTTTGGTTCGGATTCATTGTAGTTTGCAAATGATGAATCATTCTCCCTCCGTTCCCCTTCCAAAGAAAATGTCAATTTGCTTCATTTATGGCGCATGGTTCTTTGTAATTATTTCTGCGTACTTTGGTGCTCATCTGTGGTCGTTATCTAGGTCAAAGGTCCCGGATTTGCGCCATTATTGTTCAATTAGAGAGACACTTCTAGACTCCAGAGAGTACCGTCACTCGTTCTTAGGCCACTGTTATTGGCAAAATGGAAACCCAATGGACTCCACAAAGCCCACCTACTCACCAAGAGGCCACACATTCTGAGTTTCCGCCATTATTTATTTTGACGGAGGGAATATAGTTACACCTTAAATTAATTAATAGTCGTTTTAGAACAGAAAATCCCTTGAAATTTTGATGTAATCACTTTAAAATTTAAACCATCAGTTGCTGCGCCGGGACTTTTTTCTGTTTGATTAAAAATAAAAATGAATAGTGTGATGAGAAAAAATCTGTTTGAAGTCCAGATGGCTTGTTCGTTTTGCATCAGTTGCTCCCCCCCCACCCCCAATGTTACAGTGTCTCGTTCCAGTAAAACTAACAACGTTACATCACTGTATTGTTAGTGTTTTTGCATTCACCACTGATCAATTATTGGCTTTAGTTATGTCATGTCTGCACTCTTCCTTCATCAGTTTAATAAGGCCCCATCAGCAACCCACCCGTAAGACTTATCTACAACATGTTTGAATGACGTATCACAGTTGATTAAGACCGGGATTTGATGGTTAAATTAGAGCAAACCAATCAGGTCTAACAGAAATTAAGGAGGCCTTTGTTTTGTCACCTGGAAACGGATTTGGAAATGGATTAGGAAACGGATATGGATTGTTTCAAATTCTTACAGATTCAGGAATCCAACACCACCGTTTGGTTTAAAAGTTTGGATTGGATTATAATTAAAATAAAAAATAAAAAATTATTTTCACCCTCTCTGTTTTCCGGTCTTCCGACCATCACAATCACATACCAACCTAAACGAATCTTCTACTCTACCTCCTTTTTGCTCAAATCTTACTCCGGATCATGTCTTTATCCTTGCTGCCCATTGAAACTTTTGTCAAATTGTTGACTTTCTTGTTGATGTCAATCTTCTATCAATTGGTAATTATTTCACAGATTTACTTTTTATTGTTGTTGGTGTAGGTGTGCAGATCTGGCGACGGCGGGCGGCGGGAGATGATGGGACAGAAGTAATTGAATTAGGAAAGAGAGATGTTGGGAAGGGAGGTGGCAGGTGGGAGGTGGGAGGACGGAGGAGGGGGGAGAAAAAGAAAAAGAAAACTTCAATTATCCCACAAGCTCCATCTCTCTCCCTTTATGAATGCAATAACTTCAAATTTACATAAAAAATAGGTTCATCTTATGTATTCAGATTGTGATTTTGCTTATTTTCTAATCTTTGTGTGTGGGAGAGAGACCGTGAAATGGCTATGGTGGTGGTAGGTTTACGGGAAAGGAGGTGGCGGGTGGGAGGTGAAAGGACGGAGGAGGGAGAAAAAAGAAGACAGATTAAAAGAAAATTTAAAAAAAAAAAAAAACAGAAAAGAATTCAGAATCAAATGAAGGGGGGTGAGGTGGGAATGGATCTTTCGGATTCAGCCATTCCCGGGAATCATGAATCCAACTAACCAAACATTTTATTCAATTCTGAATCCAAATCCTGAATCCGATTCCCACTAAACAAACGGCTCCTAAGTACCATCATCTATTAACAAAGGGGGAGAATGGGGATGTTACATTTTGCTTTCTTTCTCTGGTTTGATTCCCAGAGCCTTCTTCAATTCATTCATTGAATGAAACTAAATAATCAGTTGATTATAAGAAGTTCAGTAAATTGATAAATAGGTATTCACGTTTAAATCTAGATAGATCATGAATTTGAAGAGTAAACAAGACCAAGTTGATGAAGATGAACGTGGATGTCTTTAGGGTGATCTTCCAGCCTGCGTTCAGCTTGAACCCATCTGCCTTCCTTGTTTACTACCATCCCTTTATTCGCATCTTGCCTCCAACATGGTGGAATACAATAATGATCCTTCAAGAAATCGCACGATTTATTAACCAGAGCAATGTCTCTTCCGGTTGCGAGCACAAATCTCTCCCCTTTTCCATGGTATCTGCATTAAAGTTTCCATACCCAAAATTAGAAAGGGAAGAAAAATGTCATCGCAAATGGGAAATTAGCCTTTTTCTTCTTTTTTTTTATAATTTTTTTTTATATGGGAAAGTAGCCTAGTCAACTTGATTAGTTTTAAAAGAAACGTGGTGAAAGAGAAAGATGAGTCAAGTCCATGGAGTGATGGAGATCTAATACATGGTCCAATATTATTCGCAATGGAAGCCTAATAATAAAGATGCTTTATTAAAGGTTGTAAGATTTTATGGAGAGGTTTGTCACTCGAAAGGATTATTCCATTATTGGTTTCGAAGATGAGGATAATGTACATATTTTTAAAATAATTATTAAAAAAAAAAAGCTGTTAGATTTTCTTCATTTTTTTGGGTCAAAAGGTTGTTAGATTTTCTGCTGCAATGTTTCCATTCATACCCCAGATTGTGTTCATTGAAGCACTTTCTGGGTTGTTTGATATCACTTGTCCTTTTCCTACACACGTTCAACTTGTTTTTTTGGGGACGAAAAATCAACCTGGAAAAGCTTATTCAGCCTTCACACACTCACACAGTAGTGTTTGAATCCAATTTAAGCCACAACTGTATTTCACTTCAGCAAGTTAATCACATTTGATTGCGACATTCAACCACACTAATTAATTTTAGGTTCTCTAAGGAAAACACTGAAAATCACTTGAGAATATCGGATTCAATCAGATGGACCATTTTTCTAACATGTTTTTCCTTCTTGAAGGCAAAATTAAGATAACCACATTGACGATACAATGAAAAAGATAAGTCTTGAAAATGTGCTATAATCATGTTAATTTGCTCAACTAGTAAGAACAGAAATAGAAACAATGGATATGATTTAATAGCCAGGAAAAATACTAACCCGTCAAGCAAGTGCAAGTGAGCTTCCAAGTTATGAGCAGCACAGAGATCGCCGGTGGGTTTCAGAAACGGCGAGTTGTTGTGATCCAGGGCGAGCTCAACTCCGACATGAGAGTACGACCACGGCAAAACTTCGGCCATCTTCATCACCGCCGGCGGGATAGTTTCGTTGAAAATCCAACCGGGAGATTTTGGTACAATGTCATGAACGTTAATCACTCTGAGCACTTTAAGCCCCAGCAACTCCAACCTTTCCTTGAACCTAACATTCCCAACTCTGGGACCGGAAAACGAGTAAACGCAGACCGGAACGGCGGTAGTATCCGGCCGGACGTTAATACCCGTTTCAACAATGTCGTATCCACTCAGAATCGCCAGAGCACTTCCCAAACTATGCCCTGTAATCGTAATACTCAGTTCTTCGTCTTTGTACATTTCCATTAGTCTTTTCACTTCCGCCAGAATTTGCTCCCGGGCTGAAAACCTGCAGAAACGGCACTTTTCGTCTTTGTCGGTGTAGAGGTCCAGAAACCCGGATTCAACCTTGACCCTTTTGTCGGGACAGGGGATCTTATCGGAATTAATCGGCCGGAGGAAATCCATCAAGTCGGCAATCCATTCCAACTGCGTCACCGTCCCTCTCCAAGCTATACTAATATCCCTTCTTCCCAATTTTTTCGACATTTCATCGTTTGAAACCGATATGTACCCGATCCAATTGGCGTTCTTGCTCCACACTTTAGGCCACCGAGATTGCTTGAAGAAATTGGGGAGATTAATGTTTGATGTAGCATAAAGATACCGGGTGACATCGTACCCGTACCGGGACATTCCGAGCTCCTCAAAGAACTTCCGGCGAGGGTACTTACAGCTGCCGCAGTAAATCGAAAACGGGTCGAAGTCGAACCCGTCGTAGCAAGCTTGGGCCATCTCTCCGTAACGGATTAGCTCTTTCCGAAGAAGCGGGTCAAACGGGTCAAGCATACCCGCCCAATCATCCTCCCCGTGGATTTGTCTCCAACGTTCAGCCAATTCATCATCATCATCATCATCTCCATCTCCACCAACCTGTAATAATGAACTACGATCTTGTTCTTCGTGATAATCGAAGTCAGCAGAAGCCACCAGACTGAATTCCTTCTGAAACTCTTTTGTGATGTACGAGAGTTGTTGGGAGGAGGAGTTGTCGATTTTGGAAGCAGCCCTTGTAATCAATGATGACTCTGATGATCTCATACTTCTTTCCAGGGGAAATCCCGAAACTCCTTTCCAGATTTCATCAGTTTGATGATGATGATGGATAGAAGTTTTGAAGGTCAGAGCAGCTTTGCAGAGAGAAATAGCCATTTCAACTGCAACTGAAATGAAGAAGTCAGACCCTCTGAAAACTTCTTAATAATGGCGTCTAATCGAAGTTATAAATACAGATTAATACACAGAGAAGCAGGATTCGATGTGGATTGAATTGGCTGTGGTTGAGTACACACTTTGTAAGGACAAGTAGATTAAATTAAATAAGAAGAAGTAAGGTCTCTGTATGAACTGGATCGCTCACCCCAAGGCTATCTCCTTACTGGACGGGAAGACTACTTGTATTTTGTGTATATATACAATTGCAACTAACATATATGGCGCTAAATTGTGTTGTGTCACTATGAGTATGTAACTATTTTTTTTTAATTTTTTTTTTTAGCATTTTTTAAGATTTTGTCCCGTATTATTGAAATGGATGGATTAAAACTTTCCTCCAATATTCCGCGCTTATTTAATTTCTTTGGTTAGTCTTTATCTTTCGAAAAAATAGCTCATATCATAATCTTTAGTACAGTTCAAGAATGCGAATTATTATTTTTGCAGGACATGAAAGCATTAGAGTTTAGAGTGTCAAACTTGTTCGGGATTTATCCAGAGAAGAAAACCCGACATGGAGCCCAATAAGTAAGATAAGACCCATCTGAATTCAAAAGCTCAAGCTGATGGGTTATGAGACCACTTTACTTATTAACTGATTCACATGTTCTCATACCTCCGATGTGGGATTCATAATCCTTGCCACATGACCCTCAACATTCTCCCCCTTCATGGGCAATCTCCACATCGGGCTTCCAAATTATCTTAACAAGCCCAAATCTGTACTCTATCTGAGTGACTGGGCCGCCTATCTATACGCTTCCGCTCGTAGTGGGCCTTTAACTGCCTGGGTTCAATCAAATCAACCGAAATAATTTGGGCTAAATCACCCACCTAACTGGCCCAACCTGGGCTCTGATACCACTGTTGGGGATTTATCTGGAGGAGAAAACCCGACATGGAGCCCAATAAGTAAGATAAGACCCATCTGAACTCAAAAGCTCAAGCTAATGGGTTCTGAGACCACCTTACTTATTAACTGATTACATGTCCTCATGCCTTCGATGTGGGATTCATAATCCTTGCCACATGACCCTCAACATTCTCACCAGTCATGGGCAATCTCCACATCGGGCTTCCAAATTATCTTGACAAACCCAAATCTGTACTCCACCTGAGTAACTGGGCATGACCCTCAACATTCTCCTCCGTCATGGGCAATTTCCAAATCGGGCTTCCAAATTATCTTGACAAGCCCAAATCTGTACTCCACCTGAGTAATTGGGCCACCCATCCATACGCTTCCGCTCGTAGTGAGCCTTTGATTGCCTGCGTTCAGTTAGATCAACCGAGATAATTTGGGCTAAATCACCCACCCAACTGGCCCAACCTGGGCTCTGATACCACTGTTGGGGATTTATCTGGAGAAGAAAACCCGACATGGAGCCCAATAAGTAAGATAAGACCCATCTGAACTCAAAAGCTCAAGCTGATGGGTTCTGAGACCACCTTACTTATTAACTGATTCACATGTTCTCGTACTTCCGATGTGGGATTCATAATCCTTGCCACATGATCCTCAACATCCCTCAACAAAACTAACATTATTTCGTGTATATGTAACAAAATTAATTTATCCAAAAGTATTTGTTAACTTCCACAGGCCAATTTCTTCTTACTTTTGAGCATTGGTTAACGAAGACTCCTCAATCCCCATCGGTCCACACATGGACACCATGCTGTGTTTCGTGGTGTCTGAAAGTGCCTCCATCCCAGCCTTTCCCAAGCTCATGAAACTCCAAAAAATAGTGAAAAACGTGCTATTTACTTCGCACTCTCTCAGTCGTCCGGGTGAAATTCCTGAACATTGGCATCTCAAGTCGTCAACACTCTATTTTTCTTCCATAACTTTTTATAAATATAAATAAAATTATGGGGTTTCTTCAAATTCGGTTAAAGCTGGAGCTGTGATTTATATTCACACTATGGTTTGACCAATTCCAATCGCTTTTGACTATTTTCTCATATCCCCTTCACCCCTGGTATGATCAATGTTGGAATGGTTTCTCCAAAAAAGATTATACATACTTCTTCCTTCTAATTTATATTCTATTTATTGCTTAGTTTAACAAGTTTAACAAAAGAGACAGAGGCACATAGGTGGCAGTTGGGAAAAATAAAAAATAAAATAAAAATACTCCATATTTGTTTTCATCTCTTGAGTTTTTTAAGAAAATTATATTTTGTCCTAGTTAACTTAATAATAATATTAAGTGACGAGTACATTAAATTATAAATATTCAAAATCTTTCTCCATCACTTTCTTGGGGTCTAACTCTACCCTGAAAATAAAGATCGAAAAGATATATAATGCACCACTTGTAAATATAAACTTTTAGTACGCAAGTTTGTAATTTCTCCTTTTTCACATAAGAATGAGCGAAATGAATCAATCAAGTAAGTAGTCAATACGTACTGTGTATCTATAGTTTACCGCCAATACTACAAATTTTTGGAAAATTTAAAATAAGTCGAATAATTACCCCATTTTCAGATAACTAACCAATTTGATCGGCCTAATTTATGGAAATACAAGAGACAAACCCCATTTCTAAGATTAAAATAATGCAGTTCATCAAAATTAATAATTGTCTCATTCTAGTATACTTTTTTTACATTTTTAATACAGTCAAATAAAAAACACTTAAAAATATACACTAAAAAATATCTAAACATACGAAACTCATGTGCAAGGGAAGGGAAGTTAATACTAATATTTAAAGTTTTAACCAATCTTGGTTTTTGCTACTCACTCTCACACATATATTTATAATTAGTGGTACCCGCGTTTGTCTCCAATTTGTGGAACTCTGGTGACAATCTGAGTTGTACTTTTGGTAGTACAAACTAGCATATTATTATACACAGACCGGTCCAAAAATCGGTCTTTCAAAATTATTTTCTTCAAGATAATGATTAATCTCGATCGGCAATCTTTTTAATCGAGTGATAAAGATAAGACAATTTGGGATAAATTAATATTAAAAAAGAAAAAACTATCAACTCGCAATTTCTATAAACCATAACTATTGTGAAATCTCATTGATTTATATCAGGAAGAAAAAAAAGATAATGATTTATGAAAATTGTACAGAGAATTTTAACATGAATGAATCATAACCACTTCTATTTATACCTTTTTTGAAATACATATATGCTCAGTCAAACTGTTCCTAATGCATGCACATGCATTGAATGGCCAAAACAATTTTTTTAATTTAAATATCGGCATTTTCCACGTGCTGTTACATATAAATTGTTTTTTCTTCTCGGTTATCCTCTACGGAGTAGTTAGACAATGCGCTGGCTTCCTGGATCTTTCTTATAGTAATTTGATTATCCGTGAGTATTTGTATTTAAGAAAATAAAAAGATATTTTTTAAAAAAAATCATTTCAGTAAAACATGAAGACTGAAGAGGTTTTGTCGTTTTCGCAGCTATCCCGATGGCAGTTTGGCCATTTCCTTGTCCCTTCTCCGGTTCTTATTATAAGTCATTTTGATTTTGTTCTAACTTTCTAAGTTTCACCTGAAATGTTTTTTTAATTGGAATAAAAATCTTAAAAACATTTCATAATAATTAGGATAATACAACGAATGCGAAAAATATATTTTTAATATTTTTTTCCAATTAAAAAGACATCATATGTTAAATCTATGACCAAATCAAAATACTTTATAATAAGGACCGGAGGGAGTATTTTATTTATCTACGTTGTAGTACCAATCTCGGGATGATAGTGTTCTAAACCAAAAAAAAAATTATTGGGATAATAATAATCATGATAGACGCTTAATAAATTTAATAGTGTGAATTGTAATAAGTTTCGTGTCGTTGTCACACCACTACAAAAAAGTATTCTGAATAATGAATTTAGACTAACCTTGTGATGGCTGGCTTTTCGGAATTCAAAAGAAAAAAAATTAAAAAGATTATGAAGATTTTTTTCGCTAATGAACTCCAAACACCTGCATACAGTCGCTAAATCTGTCTAATAACATACCGTACTTCCTTCTTGTTCAAGACTCTACTTTTGAAACAAGTAATTGAGTCGTACCTGATGGTTAGAGCATGGTACCTTTAACCGCGAGATTGAGAGTTTAATTCCTACCACGAATGCTGAAAATAGGCAACTGGGGGAAGAAACATATAGTCACCATCAACTAGCTTAAGTTGGCGGGAGGTCTGCCATCATCTGTCATGGAGGACCAGATATACCAAGCAAGAAGCGCACGTGAATAGAGTCTCTTCATAGTAATACTACCTCTTACCCATTAGGCTCAACACTCAGTTGTAATAGTTTAAGGTACCTCTAAAACACCAATAGGTGCAACATAAAAAAAAAGAAAGAAAAAGAAACAGAACGTAGTTTTTTTTTTCCAATAATCAATCCAGTTTTATTATAACGCATTTTAATTTCTCGTAAATTTTATTTATTATGTTATTCTAATTTAAATAAAATGTTAAAATTATATTTTCACATTTACTGTATTCTTTCGATTATTATAAAATATTTTTAAGGATTTATTTTCAATTGAAAACATACATATAATAAATAAAATTTAGGACGATGAAAATACCTTATAAAATAACGATTGGGAGGAAGAACTTCACAAAATTCATGAAATGTGCAGAAGAAATCTGTTGTGTGACGCTTCGTTTACATTTCCTCCTATTCTCCCCCGGGAAAATAAGAATCATCGTGAGGGGAGACGAAAAGATGTTTGTATTTTGTGATTCAATTTGATCCAAGCCTGTCCGTGATTAATGAGGCCCGTGTGTATGCGGTGCCAGAATGTAACATGGATTTGATATCTGGGCTTACCTTCACTTACCCAAACAAAAATTGTGTTCATGCATCAAATATGTGGGAACAACAACCGAAACAATGATTAGGAAAAAAAAAAAAAAAACAAGCCGCAAGAACAACATTGATGAGCGTTGAAGGTTTGATCATTAATCATGATGGAGTAGATATGTAGTAAATGCTTTCTAATCCGATAATGAATACTTCATTTTACCCAAAAAAAGAAAAGAAAAAAAAAAAGAATGAATACTTCATCACTACAATTAACTGGAGTTATGGAGTTAAGTTCAAATGACCATTCTGATCATATAGTATCAAATAGAGCTGATTGGAGGTGGACAACTTCACCCGAATGATAGCGGATCAACAAAGGCCAGTTGGAAGAAGTTGAAATAATCCTAAGAGATTGAATGAGAATTATATATCTTTTTTTTGTCACAAAATTATTCTAATTTAGATTTTCATTTTAAGTTCAATTTAAACTAAACATAAAAATCAAAATTGAACAATAATTTTGGGATGAAAAGAGTACAATTTTTTTTTTTTTTATTGGGAAGGGTTAATCTCAGTGGCATCTTCCATGTACCTATAGCAAAATTATAAATTTTAGAAAGAGTGTGAGATACACAAAAATATATAATAATATTACAATATTTTAGAAGTATAAAATTTACTAAAAATTAGCGTATATCTAATATACATAGATCTTTGATCCGTCACTCATGACGCCTCCATTTTGTGTACAATACGTGGCAGTAAAACGTATCTTGCTTAAAGGCTATTACATCTTTTTATTTTACATGTATGTTAATCAGGATTAATAATACAAAAAGTAATACTCCCTCAGTTTGGATTTCCATTTTTAGTTCAAACTGTATTAAAAGTGAAATCTAAAACTTGATACTCCCTACGTCCCATAATTATTGTCCACTTTGCCTAAAAAATTTTGTCCCAAAATTATTGTCCAATTTGACTTTTTTTGGATCAAGTTACACATTTGTCCTTAGTAAAAAATATTATCCATAAAATCTTAGTGGTTAAACAATTACTTATGTAGGGTATATGCGGTTGTTTAAGGTAAAATATAGTTAAGTTTGACAAAAAATAAAATCTTTCATTTTAGTAAAACTGGACAATAATTATGGGACGGAGGGAGTAATAATTTTGGGACATAAGAATTAATAAAATAAAATTCACGATTCAGTGTTTTGGTTGGGAATCAAACTAAAATCGAGCCTACCGGTTATCTATTTATTTAATTAACCTATCATTTTCTATAGCCAGGGCTTACGTGGATTGCAGGAGACATCAGCATCATCACATGTATCTTGTTCATTGGTCACTAAGCTTAGATCCAACAGCTAAAAATGCCACCTCATTTACGCCAAAAATTATTGGAACCTATCTTACCTATCAACCATTTCCCATAATTTTACCAGTAATCTTAGAAACCAGGATATGATTACGGTACAGTTATGTATCTTAAAAATACCCTCCCAACAGATTAATGGAGCAACCGTTCTGAATTATATTATCATCAGTAACTTCTACTCCCTCCGTCCCATAATTATTGTCCAGTTTGAGTTTTTATTTTTAGTTCAAATTTTACTAAAAGTGAAATCTCAAACTGGAAAATAATTTTGGGACGGAGGGAGTATTGACTTTTTTTTTTTTGGATATTGGAACCGCTAATTTTTACTCCTTCCGTCCCACAAAAATAGTCCACATTAAGTTTTGAATTTTTTACTATTTTTAGTACAAATTTGAAAACTTAATATGAACTATTTTTTTGATACAGAAATAGTAACATTTTTATATACCTGATTACGGTGATAATGGACCGGTTGAGTAAGCAGTATCCAATGTTATGAATCACACTATACCATATTCAAGGAGGATGATGACAACAGCTTGCACACCAATAAAATATATTGAGCTTTGCAGTATTATGTTTTTATTTATTTACTACTTTTTTCTTTTTTTTGGGTGTTTTTTCCTTTGACCAACAACAATTACATTAGCTGACTTCTTTTTCAGCCGGCCTCGGATTCTAATTTATTTCTGCTTCTCGTTTTCTTAATGCGATTCTCAGTAATTCCATTTCATCACCGGGTACTTTTTTCTTTATTTCTTTTTTTTTTTTTCCTAAATACCAAGGCGTTAATTGAATCTTTAAAATGTTGTTTTGGGTTTTAGTACTTCAATGTCGTCTTGAAATATACATGCAATAATTCTATTTACGAGATAAACAAAAGTTTTGGTGTCATATAAAAAGAACAAACGAAAAAGAGTATTACCTATTTGTAAGTAGTAGGTATATAAAAGTCTCACTTTTCACATAAAATTTTTATTACTAAACGTTTCTAAGTTGTGAATTATTTTATTCATAAACAAGGTGCGAATGAAGTGTGTGTATGTGTGTTTTTTTACAACGTAACGAAGTAATAATTTTTTTTTAAAAAAACACACTCCCTCTATTTTTTTTTATATGTCTTTATGGAGAAATCATCAAAGCCAATAACACATTAATTAATGTAGTTAAAATACAAAAATATCCTTATTTATTGTCTATACAATTCATCACAAACCAATAGAAATTCATTAGAAATATTGTTTCATTTTCAATGCAAGGGTAATATTGGTAAAAAATGGTCAAATGTGCATCTATTTGTGAAAACGACATATATTTTAAAAAAATTCACCAAATCCTAAAACGACATATATTTTAAAATGGAGGGAGTAACCTAAATAGAATTCGGTCATCACCAAATAACGATCTCCAAAAAATTATACGACTACTACTATTATTCAACTTAAAATTTAACCACCAAATAAAGATTACATTCTCGAAATACGTGTCCCTTAACCTTAAGTGTGCTTTAAAACCAAAGATTGGAGACAGAGAATAATAAGCTTGAAGTACGCGCTTCATACAATTGACATATTATTTCGGAGATGTTCCGGAATAAAAGCTACCATAATAAAAATGATGAAAGAAATGATTAGGCATAAATAGGGGACTAAACGTTTTTTGATTAGCAAGTTAGTGATTTTTATTATCATTATCTGCAATGATATTTTTTTCTCACTATTTTGACCAAGTGGTTCACTGAATGTATCTGCACTAGGCGGCACGCGCGAGATACGGAATTTAATCACAATTTAATCCGTATAATCTAGTAGGAATGATGTGCACGGCATGCGTAATATTGCATTGAAATGTAATAATATAGGTATTTTAATTTTTTTTTTTATAAAAATTATTTTCAAAACTTCTAAATATGAATACATACATTTCGGTTTGCAACTTTGCATAGAGTCAAATAGGCATAGTTATGTTCAGACCGAAATTCGGTCCGATTTGAGGATGGATTCTTGATTAACCCTCTTCAGTTCGTGTATTGTTGACTTGTTGTAAGTTAGGAGTTTTAAAATTTTTTCAGCAAAATTTTAATAAATAAAAAATTCAACAAAATTTTAATGAGTCATAAATTTTTAATCAATTTCATGTCACGTAAATTGCAAAATGAATAAGTCACACAATATTTGTGCATAACTTATATAAGTCTGCACTGTAATATAATTTTAGTTTTAAGTAAATTTTTTTCACATCTTATATTGCGATTCATAACATTATTATTAATATAAATTTCAAATTATAATTTAAATTTTTTGGCGACAAGAAATTATATCGTATAGTGTCACAATTTATTACTAGTATTATTACACATTTGCAGTTGGTCCGACCGACGTGGTCAACTTCAGGTAAAAAGCTTCAACCCGAACAGAATCAAACCGTGCGATCTGCATGGCGAGAAAGCGATTAAAAAGAGACAAAAAACCGCTCCGCGCAAATTAAAAATAACTTCAAAACAAAGGCGCCAAACCCCACCAAAACTCCCGCGTCTTTCCGACCGCAACCGCGCGCTTTATTTCTTCGCCGCTCCCCCCAAAATCTAAAGTCTTCCCTCCTTCTCCTCTGATCCAAAAATGCTATCTTAACATATTTATATACACAAAATGTAGGAGCCATTTTTTCATGCCTTGAGATTTGCCTTTTCTCTTTCTTCGTTTCACTGACCCATTTTTCCCCCACCCTGAAAAGTGAAAAATGCCCGCCCCTCAGCCACATCCGGTCACCCCCGGCGGAGCCACCACTCCGATCTCGGAGGCTATCAAGAGAGGTCCTAAACGTGGGAACTATAACTGTGGCCGATGTGGGCAACCCAAGAAAGGTCATGTTTGTAATATCCCCAAAGCCGCCGGAAGTGCTTCTTCCACCCCAACTCCGGTCGTCGCCACGCCGTCGAATGACTCCGCTTCTAGCGTTGTTCATCCTTCCCCTTTATCAATTTTCCGTCCGACGTTACCGCCTTCTTATCGGCAGCCCGGTTCTAATCTCCGGCGGGCGCTCTCATTTGACGACATCGATGTCAATGGCGGCTCATTTGACGAAGATGACGACGAGGAGCTGGAGGATGAATCAGATCTTGATGATTCCGGGAAGCTTCCGATGAGTTGCCTCTGGGAGGTGCTGAGGAGGTTGCCGCCTCCGTCGTTGTTGGCGGCGGCTAGGGTTTGCAAAGGATGGAGGGAAACGACTAGAAGGCTTTGGAGGGCGGCGGAGGAGCTGAGGCTTAGGGTTCCTGCTAAGTCCCAAGTGGGATTCGTTGGATCGGTGTTGCAGAAGTGCCCTGGGCTAGTTAGCCTCTCACTTAGAATGGAAAGGTTCGGATTAAAAGCAATAACCCAAGAAATCTATAGATTCGTAATTCAACTGGGATTTACTTGAAATTGACCTAACCGATTATCGTGAATTCCGAAAATAATGACTAATGCATCCATACAGTTGGATTAATATGTTAATCAAGTTGATCTAAGGAAGTTAGATCCAATGTTACTAAAACGGTTTTGGATATTGATTTGAAGTTTGCTGATCGATCTGTTACAGTGATGTGGATGCCACAGTCCTTGCTTGCATAGCATTTTCCTGCCCCAATTTGGAACGTTTGGAGATCTCAACATCGGGTGCTTCAGTCAATCGGATTACTGGGTAATTAGTCTCAACCTTTTTCTTACGAATTCAATCCATCCATCTCTGCCATGTTTGCAATTTTTTTGGTTGTTGAATTTGATTTGCATTGGTGGTTTGGACTTCTGAATGGGCAGAGATGCTCTGATCTTTGGTTTTTGACCAGCTCAAGCAGCTCTGATTACTTAACTGACCATTCCAACTTTCAGTTCCCAATGATGCTTATTTGCTTCATCCTCATTTGTAGTAGATGTTAGGAATATTTCACATATAAATGGATTTGTTCCTTTAGTATCAATTAGCCTTCTCTGTATCCTTTGTATTTAGAAAGATTGTTATTGCCCTGTGCAGGGATGAGTTGGGTCGGTTTGTTGCTGATAAAAGATGCCTTACCAGTCTCAAGATGGAAGGATGCTCTAATTTTGGGGGTCTTTTCCTTTGTTCAACCACTCTGTCAACCCTGTGGCTTTCAGATCTTCATTCCCTCTCTAAGACTGTAAATGCCTTTTCATCTGCCTTGTGGTTGCAGTGGCTTTTATTATGAAGTGTGTTCTAAATGTGGTATCCTTCACTTTGTAGGTTTTTAGCTGTCCTAATCTAACGGAGATTTCACTCAATTTTTCGCGACAAGAAAATGATAGCACCGACCTAACTACTTTGGTAGATGGTTTAGGAAGAAACTGCCCAAGGATACAAAACCTTCACATTGCATCAGTTAGACTTTCCCATTCTGTCGTGCTATCTCTGGCTGATGCTAACTTGAGGTATTGGACTCATGGACTCTTGTTACTCGTAATTTGTCGTTACTTTCTTCTAACCCTTGATAATTAATTTGAGTAGAATTCACAGAGTAATAATTGTGCTTTCTATATTCTCTTGCGAAAGAGTTATGATCCTAGTTAACAAAATGGATTTCCATTTCTATTTTAGGGGATTACGGATGCTTTCTCTTGTACTTGGCTCAGAAATAAGTGATGCATCTGTTGCGGCAATTGCTTCAAGTTATTCAAACTTGGAACTTCTTGATCTTAGTGGGTGAGTACTTCTGGATTGGTTCAAAGTTCTAATCATGTTTTACGAACCTCCATTTGCTCATGTGTGCGGTAATTAATGTCAATTAAGTTAGAGAATCCCCATTTTCCGAGTTAATGATGCCATTAGAGTGTAGTCCAGAACTTTGGCTCTGTTTTGATTTTTATGTTGTCTCTTTTGCTGTTTTCAGGTCCAGCATCAGTGATAGTGGTATTGGAATGATATGCAATATTTTTCCTGACACTTTATCAAGACTTCTCCTCGCGCTTTGTCCAAATATCACTTCAAGTAAATTTAATCTCCTTATATTCCAAATTTGTGCTTCATACTGTGTTTGAAGTGTATTCTAAAGCTCTACTACTTTTTTGAACTCAAAAGGTGGGATTCAGTTTGCAGCGGCGCAGTTGCCTCTTTTAGAACTCATGGATTGTGGCATGTCATTATGTCACCCAAATTCAGAAACCTCAGACATTACGGAGAATGGATCTAAATTTCAGAAAACTTCTAACCGTATGGCACACATTATTTATCAGAAGCTGATTATCAAGCACAGCCGACTAAAGAAACTAAGCTTGTGGGGTTGTTCTGGCTTGGATGTAAGAATCACTGCACTATTCATTTGCAATAGGTCACTACACAGTTCTAGTGTAACGTTCATGAATTTTGCATTGCAGGCATTGTACTTGAATTGCCCGGACCTGAATGATTTGAATCTGAATTCCTGTTGCAATTTGCATCCAGGTTTGTGGTTATGTTCTGTCTCTCTGTTTTATCAAGTGTTGTTTCATTTGATCTTTAGTTCATCAATAAGGATCCCTTTGAATGCAGAGAGATTGCTACTTCAATGTCCAAGTTTGGAAACTGTACATGCAACAGGGTGCCACTGTGTGCTAATTGATTCTATCCAGAACCAGGTAAGAACATGTTCTAGATACTGCAATGGATCTGTAGGACTCTTTGTTGCATTCAATTAGCCGGTCTCTTTCTTTATCCATCGACATTAATGTTGATGCTGCATTATTATACCGCGAAATGGTAAATGTGGCTGCCGCATGTTTAGGTCACTTCATATTTATTTTCGTTACTTTAAATGCCATAAACAACTGATAGACATTCCTTGATCTTTGTCTTGGTTTTTGCTCTTCCTAGATGACCAGTTACGATGGAGCCCTAGAAAATCCTTTCCTCAACAAACGCTTACCTGATGGTTCGAAAAGGGTTCAAGCGCCACATCTGAGCCCCAAGGTACCGCTAGCATCTCTATGGATTCTGCATTGTCTTTTGCTGCAAAGGGCTTTAGAAGGCTAGTGAAGTTCTCATAGTTCTCTCTCTGACCTTACCTTTTTTTGTTTGTTTGTTTGTTGCAGCCATCTGGTATTGAAAACCATTGGAAGAGAGCCTCAAAACGTCACTGTTCTATGTCTTTGAAGCTATGAATATGAACACAGTAACACTGTTATAAATTCAAAACATTCATTTATGATTGTGTGTAATATCGAAGATGCCATTTGGCCCTGGGTCGAAAAGAATTATAAAATCAGCAACTGCTTATAAAGGCACTGCAGGGCCAAGTGTTGCATCATGTAATTTAATTTGTTTATCAAACACCATCAGGATACTCTTGATTTCAACTCTGGGGGAAGTTGATTAGATCATTAGAAAGGAAATATTACATTTCCACAAAATTCCGCCCCCATTTTAATAAATTTGAAATTGGACTTTAGAATTTGGATTTGATAACAGTACATGTTTGTATGCCACCTTTTTTCTTTCCTTTTCTGGGAAATGTGGCTGGATTGCTGATGGAGAGTGTGCGTTTTCCCTTTGAAAAACTTTCTAAAGATTTGGTTGCTTATTTGAGGTTGGAACTTAAAAGAAGAACAACGTAACAACCATAATTACAATATACTTAGTCAATAATATAACAACCTAATTATGGTTATAAAATTATATTTACATTATCCCAAACAAAATAATCAATCTAAAGAGCATTCTTTTGTTGACTAGCAATTTTAGCTGATGTTTTTATCGTCACATTTCTCTGCGTACAACCGACAAACTCTGCAACTTGTTAGTGTGAATCTGTATTTTTTTTGGCGGGGGAGGGGGGTTTCCTTTATTAATCAATACAAATCTATTGCAGATTTTTTTGAAGCAAAGTTTTTAAATTTCCCGCGAAATAACACATAGGAAATTAAAAAAAAAAACATATTCCATTTTCCATCCATATGAACACGTTGACCAATTTTTGCGGTTAGATTGGATTTGTTTACACTTTTATTTGATGACCCATAACCACAAAAGGAATTAAACTAAGAGGGTGCAAATAAACGATGCAGCCTCGTTCAGTTCATTAGCGAAACTACACCAAATGTATACTTCCTTTCATCATACATTAAACAACTGGGTAAAATCCGACAAAATTTGAGATGGTTTGACTTTCTGCGTCCACATTATTAGTATAACAAAGTCCCTTAAATCACATGCATTATTCATAAACCGTTGACTAATCACCCCTGAAGCCAGCATCTCAGTTTAAGCCCGTTTGTTTTTTTCATTTTCCTGCAAAATAATGCAGGTTTTGAAGGGATAATAGTGAAGAGAGATAATCTGGGGTGCAATATGGCTCATCATCATTTAGCTGGAACAGGTGATAATATGGATGATGAAACAGCAGCAAAGTGGGGGGTGATTGATCGACTGACAACCCGTAAACGGCTGAGATCATCCCTGTTTGATGATGGTCAGCAGCAGCTTGACGGAAATAATGGCGACAATAACAAACGGGTGATTGATGTCACAAAACTTGGTGCTTTGGAAAGGCATGTGTTCATTGAGAAGCTCATTCAGCGAGTTGAGCTTGATAATCTTCACTTGTTACAAAAGATTAGGACAAGAATTGACAAGTAAGTAATCCACCATTAGTTTGTAATCTGCATCGTACAATTCATATAATGACCCAATGCATTTTAATCTATTTAGTCTAATTGTAACTTCGAGGACCGTTAGTGGCTGTTTAGATGTTGACAAAGGGTGGAAAATTTGATTTTGAAAAACAGGAGTACCATTTTATTAAGTTAGGCCTAATAAAGAGCTTAATTATACAATTTGAGTATTTCCTCAATTCCGAATTTCACATATTCCCGCTACTTCCTCTTCCTTCTTCATTCCTCTTTTTTTGCCCTCTCTCTCAAGCTCTGAAGTCTGAAAACCTCTGTTGATGTCAATTTTTTTTCATGTTCTTTCTCTGCGTAATATTCGAGCTTGGTTGATTTTTCACCGCAGAGTTGGCATAGAATTACCCTCGATTGAAGTGAGATATGATAATCTGCATATTCAAACCGAGTGCCAAGTTGTTAGGGGGAAAGCTCTTCCCACTCTTTGGAATTCCTTCAAAAGTGTGTTCCCGGTAAGTACTACTATCCTGAGATCCTATCCTACTTCCAGAATTCAGTTTCGATAATTTCATTCTTTGTGATGGGCTTCAAAGTTCAGTTTCATCAGATTATGCGATACGACGCCGATTTTGCCCCTCATTCTTTGATCACGTATTACGAATTTGTGCAAAAGTTAATTACCGAATGTTTTCCGTAACAATTCTGCTTCCTAACGGCGTGGTAAATCTTCTGCAACAGGACATTGGAAGGATTCCAGGTTTTAAGTCACGATTATCCAAGATCACTATCATCAATGGTGTCAGTGGTATCATCAAGCCCGGAAGGTATATGAAACTTTTCCACCCCTCCAAAAATGTCTTAAAAGCCTTCCAGATTGCTGATTTGATGTTTATTTTTTTTTTAATTTCTTCTTTGTAATGCTCCTAAGGAAGTAGAGGCAAATCTATAGGAGACTGTAACTTGAAAAATTTGGTTCAAATCTCAAGGAAAACCACCTAAACCGAGTTTGAATTCTGGAACTTGTAAGTCTGCATCATTATATCATGGAACAACTAAGTTCCATAATTGGTTGAATTTCAAATGCAGAATGACCCTGCTGCTAGGACCTCCAGGATGTGGGAAAACTACCCTATTGAGAGCTCTTTCGGGAAATCTTAGCAAATCGCTCGAGGTGTTCATCTCATCTTTTCCTTATCTTAACAAATGCTTGTACAAACCTATTTGTTCATGAGTCTAAGGCTCTAACTGTAATTTAGTTTTGAATAATCACCTGCAGTATTAATGACTGGTCAGTACATTAGAGCTTACCAGTCGAATGTCTATTTTATTGTCAGGTATCTGGTGATATTAGTTATAATGGATATGAATTAACAGAATTTGTACCTCAAAAGACGTCTGCTTACATAAGCCAATATGACTTGCACATTGGTGAAATGACTGTCAGGGAAACACTTGATTTTTCTCTATGCTGTCAAGGTGTTGGGAGCAGGGCAGGTATTTTTCTTGGATATTGATTGTCAATGAACATTGTGATTTACAAATTTATAGAGAACCAGAATTCTTATTAGTATCATCCTCTAAAAGAGATCCTGAAAGAGCTAATTCGACGGGAAAAAGAAGCTGGTGTTCACCCTGATCCAGATGTAGATGTGTATATGAAGGTAAAATTGGTAATCTTGCTGTTTGGTATGTCATGTTTTTGTTAAGAAATCAATTCTTTTCCCTACTCGATTAGTTTTTACGCCAAAATGCGACAAACTCTTGCAGGCAACTTCTGTTGAAGGACAAAAAACAACACTTCAAACGGACTACATTTTAAGAGTATGCTGTCATCTTAGTAATTTCATTCACAATTTTTTTTTTGCGAAAATAAGTTCAAAGTGAAACATGAAATGTTACTTAATTTTTTCTAGATACTTGGACTTGATACTTGTGCCGACACACTTGTTGGAGATGTGATGAGTAGAGGTATCTCTGGTGGTGAGAAAAGGAGATTGACTACTGGTAACTTTCATGTCCGCAGTCCATGTTATGCATTTGCAAAAGGCTCAACCAAATCAAATCAGTAGAAAACTAAAATTTTGTTCTTCAATAGTACCAACTCAATGAATAACGAACTTCTTATCACTTCCATTTTGTAGGTGAAATGATTGTAGGTCCAACAAGAGCTTTGTTTATGGATGAAATATCAAATGGACTAGATAGTGCAACAACATATCAAATTGTTGCTTTCCTCCAGCAACTATCACATATCACAGATGCTACCATACTTGTTTCTCTTCTTCAACCTGCTCCTGAAACATTTGATCTGTTTGATGATGTCATCTTGATGGGAGAAGGAAAGGTTGTCTACCATGGACCACGAAGCCAAGTCTTGGAATTTTTTGAAAGTTGTGGATTCAGATGTCCCGAAAGAAAAGGAATTCCAGACTTCCTGCAGGAGGTAATCATTTCTTTAAATTTTTGGACTTGCGTGTAAATTCTTTTTTTCCCTTTTTATGTTCGAATTAATTTGTTAGGTTCTCTGTAGGTAATATCTAGAAAGGATCAAGCACAATACTGGCATTCTAATGAAGATTCATACAGGCATATTTCAATTGATGCGTTTTCAAGAAAATATAGAGAATCTTCTCACGGAAAGAAGATTCTCGACGAACTTTCATCACCATTTCCAAAGTCCAAGAGCCACAAAGATGCTGTTACGTTTACAACTTATTCATTTTCGAAGTGGGAACTTCTTAAGACCTGCTCATCAAGGGAATTCCTCATTATGAAAAGGAATTCGTTTACTTACATTTTTAAGTCAGTTCAGGTTAGTATGAGGAGATCAACTTTTATTCCCAAACATTTTTACACGAAATTTCTGCCACTTTCAGCGTTGACTCAAAATTTGCTGATATTCATACGGTGGTGACTGGTGAATTTCATTTGCAGATTGCTTTCAATGCACTTGTCGTGATGACTTTGTTTCTGCGAACAATGATGAAAGTCGATCTTCTTCATGCAAATTATTATATGGGAGCTCTATTCTATGCAGTTACTGTCATTGTCATTAATGGATTCCCAGAAATTCCCCTCACTGTTGCAAGACTTCCAATCTTTTACAAACACAGAGATTTGTCTTTCTACCCAACTTGGGTTTACGTGATTCCATCGGCCATTCTAAAGATTCCACACTCATTGTTGGAAGCAGCAATATTTACATGCTTGACTTATTATGTTGTTGGATACACTCCTGAGGTTGGAAGGTACATTTTATGTTGGTGAAGCTTCTTTTCACCCCTAAAGTCTAGTATTTTATACTCCCACTATCTTATGTTAATGGTCTTGGTTTTGCTAGGTATATAGTATATGATTTTTGTAAGATTAAACACATAAGTTTAACTTTTTATTCAGTTTTTATCTTTAAGTTAATCGTAAGAGTAAACCACATATCATCATATTAGTAAAAGATTATGAATGAGAGACTATTAGTCTGAGATGTATGAGTAGTTTTTTCTTGAGATGTTTTCTAATAAAATGTATTTACAGAGTGAATTAACTAACACACTAAGTGTAATACTTCCCAGGTTCTTTGGCCAATTGGTGATTTTGTTCCTTGTGCACCTGGCATCTACATCTATGTACCGTTTTATTGCCTCTTTATGCCGGAATGTGATAGTTGGCACAGCCGCTGGAAGCTTATTTGTTGTATACAACTTCCTATTCAGTGGCTTCTTAATTCCAAGAAGTCAGACCTCTTACCTGATTCATCTTACTTTATTTTAATACTAATACTACAATAACACAATTAACTTGTTGATATTAACTGCAGCTTCCATTCCCGACTGGTTAAAATGGGGATTTTGGGCTTGTCCAAGCACATATGGTGAAATTGCCATTAATGTAAATGAATTTCTCGCTCCAAGATGGAAAAAGGTAACCAGGTTTTTCTATCATGAACTTCCCATTCATCTTTTTTTTTTTTTTTTTGTTGATCTACTAGTTTAGCTTAGTTGCTACTGCAGTTTCCTAAGAGCTTCTTCACCTGTCCACTTGTAATGCAACACAGTAGAAACATATTCATTGTTTCAAAGTTTTTTAGTTCGGTTGTTTGTCATGAATCAGCTCTTTCCTTTGACTATTTCTTCTTTCATCTGCTGCATAGATGCTTCCATCAAATATCACGACTGGACAAGAAATACTAAGTGTTCGGGGTTTGAAGTTCGATGAAGACTTTTTCTGGATTTCATTAGGTGCTTTACTAGGCTTCACTTTACTTTTCAATATCGGGTGGACCTTGGCCTTGAGTTTTTTGCATTGTAAGGCATGCTTTTCATTGCTTTGTTTGAAACAATGTGAGATCGGATGAATTAACTAATCAATTATTGGGATGCATTACATCTAGCTACCCGTTCTCGTCCTATTATTTCTTGGGAGACATTCTCTCAACTAAATAAAAGCATTGAGCTAGATGGGTTTAAACAAGCAGAGAAGCAATCACGGAGTTCATCTGTTTGCATTGTTCCTGGATCCCCAGAAACGGGTACTCATGCTTTCTTCCAAATTCCTGCTAACTTGTATACAACCCTGTTATGTTGTGCATCACTTTTATGAAGAAGGGAAACGTAAAAGAAACTTTTAAAGATGTCAATTTTGACATGCAATTCTCATAGTTTTTTCATTCACGTTGAGCATATTCATTCTAAAGCTAAAATGAATAACTTGTGTTATTGCAGGAAGCATGGTCTTACCTTTCGTTCCCTTAGCTGTAGTGTTTCGAAATTTGCAGTACTATGTTGATACACCTTTGGTAAGTATGTCTTAGATTAGGGCTCTATATACTCTACTGATTTCAAGTTGAGCCAGATAACATCTATTTTTGCGATGCTCATGCTTTTAGGCTATGAAAGACCATGGTGTTACCCAGAAAAAGCTCCAACTTCTTCATGATATTACTGGCACATTTAGGCCTGGAGTTCTTACAGCACTTATGGGTGTTAGTGGAGCTGGAAAAACCACTCTTTTTGATGTAATTGCTGGTAGGAAAACTGGTGGTGCCATTGAAGGAGAAATACACATTGGTGGGTTTCTCAAAGTTCAAAAGACATTTGCTCGGGTCTCAGGTTACTGTGAGCAAACAGATATACATTCTCCACAAATTACAGTAGAAGAATCAATCATGTTCTCTGCATGCCTGCGCCTTAATCCAGATATTGATTCAAAAACTAGATCAGTAAGACCTGACATACGAAGAAGCTACTGTGATTTATTTCCATTTTTGTAATACTTTCTTAAGTTTTATCTATAATAACAAACAATAAATAATGTGCATTATACTCGTAGGATTTTGTTAAAGAAGTCCTTGAGACCATTGAACTTGATGGAATCAAAGATGCTTTAGTTGGCATCCCGGGAGTCACTGGTTTGTCTGGTGAGCAACGCAAGAGGCTGACAATTGCAGTTGAACTAGTTGCTAATCCATCTATTCTGTTCTTGGATGAACCTACGACTGGATTAGATGCTAGAGCTGCTGCTATAGTCATGCGAGCTGTGAAGAATGTAGCCTCCACGGGGAGGACAATTGTTTGCACTATTCACCAACCAAGCATTGACATATTTGAAGCATTTGATGAGGTAACAAAAATATGCCTCAATTAAATGCAGGACCATTAATCCAAAGTTCGTAAAATTTAATCATGACTTCGTGTATACATTTGCAGTTATTGCTATTGAAATCTGGTGGAAGAATGATCTACTGTGGACCATTGGGTCTACACTCCAACAACATCATAAAGTACTTTGAGGTCCAATTTCAGAATTAGTAGAAAAAATCTATTAAAGCACCATCTTGATATCTTATTCATCATCTAATCAAATTAAATTTAAAACAGGGTATATCTGGGGTACCAAAGATACAGAACAATCGTAACCCAGCAACGTGGATGTTAGAGGTCACTTCCGTATCTTCAGAAGCTTCTCTTGGTGTAGATTTTGCTGATATCTACAAAAATTCTTCTTTATATGAGTGAGTCCAGCAATAAAACCTTACTATTGACGAACTTCACCGTGTTTGTAGTTAAAAGGATGCTAGTAATAATGTAATATCTATCCTAGAGATGTCTCGTGAGAAATGCAAGATTTTTTTTTTCTTTTTAACATCCATCGTTGTCTTGCTTTTATTCTTTTGTTACAGGAATAATGAAGAGCTCGCAAAGAGGCTGAGTATCCCCTCTATCAGTGCAAAACCTTTAGAGTTTCCAACTCACTTTGCACAAGATGGATGGGGCCAGTTCAAAACTTGTCTTTGGAAGCAACATTGGTCATACTGGAGAAGCCCTTCTTACAACTTGATGCGCTTTGTCTACGTAATCATCACGTCTATTGCCCTTGGGGTAGTGTTCTGGAAGCAAGGGAAGAAAATGTAAGGCCTCTTTCTCCAACAATTATACGTTCACTAAAGCAAAAAGTTCAACCCTTGAAAGTGTATTTTGTCACTTCTTGAAAGTAGATTTATTTGGTAGTATTAAGTGTATTTTGTCACTTATGGAGAGTTGCTAATCAAATGTTATAGTAAAGCATCAAGTGTAATATGTTTACTCATAAGATCAACTCTCACTTGTTTCTTTTTCTCCAAAAATGATCATTCATAATCTTGTCTAATATTAGCGAGGAACTTCTACCTTTCCTGTGGTTAAGGACTACCGTTTACGAACCATTGACATTCACATCCCATTAATTTTGCAGAGAAAACCAGCAAAATTTACTGAATGTACTCGGTTCATTGTTCTGCCCAACATTTTTTGCTGGCTTTATCAATTCCTCTTCAGTTATGCGATATGTGAGCACTGAACGATCCGTGGTATATCGAGAAAGATTTTCCGGCCTGTATGCTTCTTGGGTTTATGGTTTAGCGCAGGTAGATCTTTCATCTACTCAAGTTGATATATTCTTCATTGACCTTGATTAATGTAAAAACATTTCTTAACTCAAGTTTTAACTTTTTGTAGGTTACAATAGAGATTCCTTATATCTGCTTCCAAGTAGTAGTATTAACAGTGATTACATATCCAATGATTGGGTATTACGGATCAGCATACAAGGTTTTCTGGTATGTGTATTCGATGGTTTGTTCATTGTTGTACTGCATTTATCTCGGGATGATGATCATCGCGGTGACACCAACCTACCCATTGGGCGTAATTCTACTATCAGCTTGTTTTAGTGTCTTCAACCTTTTGTCTGGATTATTTATTCCTCAACCGGTAAGCACCTTTGAAAATTTGCTCTAAACTCAGCCAAACTTTTATTTTTCCAAAAAGTGAATGTTCATCGGTGTGTTTTGTGTTGTTTTCTAAATTGCAGCAAATTCCGAAATGGTGGATATGGTTATACTATTTGAACCCAACATCTTGGACCGTGAAAGGATTGCTCATCTCTCAGTATGGAGACATTGAGCAACCGATCTTGGTGTTTGGAAAAAACAGTTCAGTGACAGAATTTTTAGGAGACTATTTTGAATTCCATCATCACCAGCTGCCAGTTGTAGCTGCTATGCTGTTACTATACCCAGTTGTATTTGCTTGTCTCTTTTGTTTTTTCATTTCAAAGTTGAACTTCGAAAAGAGATGAAAAACTTGTAATCTACTCGCCTTATCAAAAGCTCCAATGGGGAAGAAGCATTAAAAAAAAAAGGGCGGGTTTAAATTGAGATTCAAAAAAGGCGAGAACCTGTACTGCATTATCGTAATTTTTTTTTTGTTTTGGAAATACTTTTGGATCTGATTTAATCAGATAAGAAATACTATACAGTAGTCTAAAGAATATATTGAAATTTTAAAAATCAACAAGACTATTAAAATGAAAAAGGGAATCAATTTATTTGTTAAAAAAAAAAAAAAAGAACTTCTAGGACTCTTTCTGATATGATTAACGGACTGATACTAATATGGATATATTGATAGATATTATCCACTTGACCTTAAATAGATATAAATCCAAAATGGTAAAATTGATAAGTAGTGAATGAATAATAGTTACTGCTGGTTTATTGTTAGACAGTCCCTCTGTCCCATAATTATTGTCCAGTTTGGGCTTATTGTTTAGTTTGAGTTTTTATTTTTAGTTCAAATTGTACTAAAACTGAAATCTCTAACTGTCCAGTTTGGGATTTTATTTTTAATTCAAATTGTACTAAAACTGAAATCTCTAACTGGACAATAATTTTGGGGACAGAATAAGTAAATCTTATGAGTGAGAGTATTAAGCTATAGATATTATCTACCTATAATAATCTTATTGGGATAAATCTTAAAAACAGGGGAGGTTTAAATCTTAAATGGATAAATATATATGATGTGGATAGATTTAGTTAAGTTTTTCTAGTACATCTCTTGCTGATTGTATTCGAAACTACTTGTTCAACTGAAACAGTCGAACTGCTTTTGCCTCATTGACTCGGGAAGAACCGAAGAAGCAAGAAACTGAAAACCGAGTCAGTCCACAAAAGAGGCCGCAAAATTACTCAGCAAATTGAGAGGGAAATAGCAAGGCAGAAATGGAGTTTATGTGTATCTCCGCTAGAACTGCTGCGCAAATCTATTGTGCGCCGCCTTCATCCTCAGGTTTTGCTGGCCCACGATCATGTTGTTTGAACACACCATTTAGTTGTCTGTTCTTGCATATGGAGCATTCAAATTTGAAGCTGATATCATATGACCTAAGGTTTTTTTTAGTAGGATTGGAAATGCTGGGAATACGTTTTTTTGTTTATTTTTTATTTTTTGAGATAGGGTTTGAATTGTTATCATTTTATGCAGTAATCATTTACAAAATTAGTATGTTCGATCATAGAAGAAATACTCTAATATGTTATCGAAGTTTTACTCTGTTTGCTTTCGGTGCTGAGTTCAAAGTCAGCATTTCAATGATAATTGTTATCACTTGATTTTTTCCATGCTTCATGTGCTTCACTTGGTATTTGAAATTGAATGGGTTTTGTATGTAATTTTTTTTCTCCAGAAAATCGCCTCCTAAATAGGACAAAATTCAATGCATTGGAACCTAGTTATCTATCCCTTTCTTTTCCAACCAAAAGAGACTATTGTCCGGTACTTTGGCAAAATGGATGTCAAGTTCAGAAGGAAAATCCTTTTAAGGTACAGCTTCAGATTGAGCAATTGTGCTTTACTGATTTTCAATTTACTTTCACCTAATCACCTTCATCTTCCTTGGTTAGATTTCAAGTAGCAGAGGAAGAGAGGCTTCTGTCGTTGAGGCTGGGTATGCACAGATTTCACTACACTTTCTAAGACTGCTAACATTTAATTTGCGCCATGGTCAATTCTCTGGTATTTGCATGAGTCATCTAATCTGTCTTGCTGTAATGTAATTAAGGTCTATGGAAGACATTTATGATACTTTGGCTGAACGTCTAGTTCCCAATGCAGCAGTGGCGGCCAATTCAAATTACAAGTAAGGCCCAGGGCTTAATATTCTATGCTTTATACTTCTATTATTAAGTTATATAGATTGTGGCCTCACTGTTAAAAATGCTTAACATCCAAAAAAGTATCTAGATTAGATGGATTGAGTAAACTTGCAAATTGTTTCCTCCATCCAGACATGTTTTACTCTTCAAGGGCTATAACTGCTAAAGATTATCTAGTTGTAGTTTCTTTTTGGGTCATTATCTTGCAATGACATAAAACGTTTATAATATCATTCTTTTCTCTCACGCTTTACGGTTTCTCTTTCTAAGAGTTTAATTGAGTCATGTTTGTAGGCACATTGTTGGTCTCGCTGGCCCTCCTGGTGCAGGGAAGAGTACGATTGCGCATGAGGTGGCTCAACGTATCAACAAGTTATGGCCTCAAAAATCCCTTCTCTTTGATTCTGAAGTTGAGTCATCGGAGGTTGCTATTGTTCTTCCCATGGATGGTTTCCACCTTTATCGGCACCAGCTTGATAAAATGGAGGTCTGCACTTAACCCTATGATATGCATGATTAGTATCATCTTGGAGATTTTGTCTACATTAATTGCTTGCAATAACTTGGCTTGGTTTGTCTGATTATCAATGTTACTCTCTAGGACCCAGAGGAAGCTCATGCAAGAAGGGGAGGTAGGTTCATTCTTTCACCCGGTCTTCCAGTCTCTATGAACATTTTTCTGTTTTTAGAACTTCAATCTATGAAAAGATCAGAGTCTTCTATAATGCATGTTAGTGTAATATGGTGAAGTTATCTTTTCCCTTTGTGAGATCTGATCAAATTTTGGGCTCCCAATGAGGGTTCTAAATTATTATTTTTCGCTTTGGGAAGTAGTTGCTTATGGACTCGGCTTTATGTAGGAGGTAAAGAACCTACCTGTGAAGCAATATCGTGCAGAAAACCCAATTTTGATTGGCAAATGTGTGGGAAAATGTTTCTTTTACACCTTCAGAAATTAGGCTAATGAAACAAGTGTTCTCTTCAATCTTCTTGAATTTGTGATTTTGAAAGCATGAGATTTTTGTGTCTGAGATGTTTGTTGTCACAGTTGCAAAATTAATTATAGCTTTTTGAAAATTTTGACGGTGAGTTATTTTATTTTTCTTCAGCTCCCTGGACCTTTGATCCCGAAAGGCTTCTTAAATGTCTCAAGACTCTGCGAGAGCAGGTAAATTGAGATTCTATATCATACACATGAGGGCTAATATTTCATATTATCAAGCTTTCATGTAGGAGGAAGAACTCTTTGCCACTGCTTAATCTTGCATTCTGTTTACCAGTTTTTTGCTGTTTTTCCTCAGGGAACTGTCTATGTCCCATCTTTTGACCATGGAGTTGGTGATCCAGTCGAAGATGACATTTTTGTAGATGTTAGGTGAACTTCTGTTTCTTCACGTTGGTACTGTGATTTTATATGGGTGTTTGCACTCTTTTAATATATCCAAGTTATTAAAGTTGCAATGCACAAGCTAGATGGAATGCTACTGTTTGCTTGCCGTTTTGTTGTTTTTCATTTATTACATTTTCCGAAAAATTGGAGAGATGTACAAGTCATTATTGTGTGAGAGATGTCAGCATGATTAGCTCTATAATTCTAGCACTCATTCAATGACGTTCTGTTGATTCTCTCTGTGCAGGCATAAAGTGGTCATAGTTGAAGGCAACTATTTGCTATTACAAGAGGGCATATGGAAGGATATATCAAGGAGTTTTGATGAGAAGTGGTACAGTTTTGGAGCCTATTCTTCAATTAACTATATCTAGGGAGAAAGATGAGTGTAGATATTCTTACTTAATGTCTCCATTTCTGTTCATGCCCCCACCACCTTTACCCTACTACAGCCTCTGGTCAATATATTATGAATAATCTCGAGGGGAGCATAAGAAATTCCATTACTGTGTGTATATATATAAGTTCACATTTCCTAGCTAGATGGTGTTCAATGCTTGCATCTATGCATTGCTTTCTGCGATTCAATAAGTTGATATACTTATCTGTGTATTCCAAAGGTTTGTAGATGTTGATATCAAGATAGCAATGCAACGAGTCTTGAAGAGACATATATCAACAGGTACTGTGTCATTCCCTAAAGGTCGACTTTTTTGAGTGCTATATGTTGACCAAGTCATCGCCTGAAAAAGATTTGTCTGAGTTGTGGTTGTTTACTAATGTTGTCGTTTTGCTTTGTTTAGGGAAGGCACCTGATGTTGCAAAATGGCGGGTAAGTGCTCAATGTATTTGGAGATACAGTTTTGTTTACATGGTTAAACTCTGATTATTGATAAAAACTGTGATTCTAATGATACAGATAGATTACAATGATCAACCTAATGCTGAGCTTATTATGAAATCAAAGAAGAATGCTGATCTGATAGTGAAGTCAATTGATCTATCGAGGTGACCTGTGTCCCTCAAACAAGAGAAAAGAAAGTGTTAATTGTCCAGGTGGATCATTGTGGCGTGTGAAGGAAGATACACTTATGAAAATTAGTCGATACTAAGCCGCAAAGATAATTGGTTCTATCCGAATCCAATTCAGGCTCAAAGAAGGGTAATGATATGTATCTCTACTAATTTAGAGAGTAAGTTAGAGATAGATTTGTAAAGATGTGTATCATTGCTCTTCAATTAAGTTTTGAAGTTTTGTCCTCAAATTGTTCTTTTAATCTTTTTGTTGGGGTATTTAAGGTTTTTGTCATGGCTTAGAATCTTGCAATTCTTCTTGTATTCACAGTTTGATTTATGGTGTTTGGTGATCCTTTTGTTTTTGGGGTGTTCAATCTTATTGCAGGAGATTGAAATATTCTTTACTCTTCGCAAAGAGCCATTTGGTAGCATTGTGAGGAATATATATATATATATATATATATATATATATATAAAAGCTAAACTAAACTAAACTAATGATCATGTTTGCTCCCTAATTAAGTGTAAGCAATAAATAAATACATGGATCGTGCGGATTGAGTTCCGGATTAACAAACAGTCAAACTCGAAATCATTGATCTGAGACGGAAACAGAACTATTCTGCACAACCAGATGCTTTAATTTATTAAAAATTAATTAACTAACCAACTTAACTAATTAATAAAATCGTGGACTTGCATTTGCATGTGAGCAGAATATTATAGTCTCACTTAATTTTTATTCCATCACTGCCGGCGAAAATTAAACTGGAAGATACTTGTGATCAGCTTTATATTTAATCAAAAAGAAATTGGAAGTAATTTCTGTTAGTGTCATTGCTTTACTTCCTCCTGTTCAGAGGTCATCTTCAACAGCATTTGGTCTCGAACTCTTTTTCTAAAAAAAAAAGAATAATTTTACAGTTCAAAATTAATTGTTAATTAAAAGCAAAAATTTTAAATCTGACAATCGTTTTGGAAAAAGAGTATAGTTTGGAAACAAAAGTTTGATACTACAACTGACGATAAAAATTTTGCATGAAATTCTGAAAATTGAAAGATTTGAGAGGAGAAGGAAGATAAGGATGGCCACGACATCTTCTCACAATCATCCAAAGGTGTAAATCTGTAAAGGGGACCCTGTTCAGCCGAAATGGGCCCAACACCAGACAGAGCTAAAGGACTGTAAGAGATCCTAACAACATTCATGGCCTCTGCCCAGCTGTTTCGGGTTAAGCAGATGTGAAAGCGCGTTTATCTCTATAACCATAAGAAGGGTGTGTTCAGTCCAAGTTATAACTAAATCCACGTGTGGTTAGGCCCACTTCTTACTCCTCTCTCAAAATGGTGAACTAGACACACGTGTGTACTACTTTTCCAATTAAATGAGATGTTTCTTCAGAAGACGCTAGGGACCTAAGCTATACTGACCTGTGATGGACCAAGAAAGCGGAATCCTCATGGGCTGCTGGTCCCTCGCCCCACCCACCTGGCCCATCCCCCATTTTCCACCGCTGGATTCCCCATACAAGAATGTTTTGTTAGTTTAGTTGCCAAAAATTACCGCTACAAACAAATGGCAACAACAATCGAATGATGCGAGGAAGGAAGCCATTGTTGTTGATATGATGAAATTTCAACTAAGAATGATGGAGTTTTGGTTACGTAAGTACTACTAATAGAGTCAATGTAAAAAAGCCACGTGTTTCACCTTTGTAATTTATAATTTTGACGAGATCAAACCCAATCATGCATATCGAAAATAGTGTTCAATAAGGTTCATAATCCCATCATAGATTTACCATTATCGCTTATAAGATTTCAATGTGAATATTCGTTACTGTTAGCGTAATTTAGGAGATTAATTGTGTCAATTTGATTTGATCATGTTCGGTAGTAATGCTATTGATTTGATAGGATTATATTTTTCTTGTATAAATAAACAATATCATTTTGCAATAATACACACAACTTTGCCTCTCTCTTTTATTTAGTCTCGATTAATATGTCTTGCTCTATTTCTGTTAACATGGTATCAGAGCCACCTTGATACCCTATGTTTTTTTGAGTTTCTGATCCTCCGAATCAGAGCCACCTTGATACCCTCTGTTTTTTGAATTTCTGATCCTTTGTGTTTCGAGTTTGTTCTCTGAGTTTTTGATTTATTCCAGCCATGTCTTTCTATTTTTTTATCTCGTTCGATTTCTATTCCTCATTTCCGGTAAAATTTTCTTTAGAATCTGAAATTTGCTTCTATTATGTTCTGTGGACGAAATTTGATCTATCTAGAAATTTCATCAGCTCTATTACTGCCAATCGGCTTCTCAGTTTCCCCCTGTAATCTGCCTCCGATCTGCCTCCTGTTCCACCGTTGGATATTTCATGTGTTTGCCGGTGTTCTCCATCATCATCTACAACTGTCCGTCTTGCTTCTTAGGTTCTGCACTGCCATCATCAGTAAATCGAGTTTTAGCCGATATGTCCCTCGATTTGTCTTTTTAATTCTGTTTCTTCAATTTTGTTCCGCTGCTGCTAATCTCTGTCCTTTAGGAATCTGCTCTAATCTTCTAAGCCATGTGTTTCCTCTGATTTGGTCATGCTGCTCCACTCTAATCTGCTTTATCCGTCTGTTTTCTGCTCCCTAGGAATTGATGCTCCTGTCTGTGTTTTCTTAATTTTGGTGTTTTATCATCAACTTTGGCGCTCTCTGTTCTTCACCAACAAGTTTTATTGTGTCTCATTTGCCCATCTTGTGCTCTGTCTGCTAATCTTCAAAGATAAATCTTCATATTTATCTTTGATCATGTTTCTCATTGATTTCTTCTAATATGGCATCATAGCCGGTTCACCGGTTCTGGACTATGTTTTAGGAATTCTTTGTCACACGATTTTCTTTGTTCTTGTTCGGCTAGTGTCTTCACTCGACTATGTGTTCTCGTACTGCCTGGTTTTCTGCCTGTGAATCTCGATGAATCTCAGATCTAATTGCTCTGCCATTGTCTTGGATATCGGCTCTCGATTTCTGTCACCAATATGTTTGCACAACTTTGATCTAGGTGCTTCATGATCAACTCCACCAAGTTTGGTTCTTCATGTTTCAAAGTTCCACACATCCTCTTTGGTGTTTTGTTCTTCATTAATTCTGCCGGTGTTTCGATACTTCCTCATTTAGGTTCTGCATTCTGGATGTTCCGCCACCATCTGAGTTTTAGGTGTTCTGCCACTATCAGTTTTGGGTGTTTTTCCATATATAATTCTGGGTGTTTCTGACTTCAAGCCTATGACTGTGTCTTAACTCCGATTTGTTTTTCGTTTTCTTTTTGTATTTTCAATAAAGCAAACTCAAGTTTTTACCTAACTTGAGTTTGAGTGGGGTGTCAGCGTAACTTAGGAGATTTGATTGTCAATTTGATTTGATCTTATCCGGTAGTTAATGCTATTGATTTGATAGGATTATATTTTTCTTGTATAAATAGACACTATCAGCCTGCAATAATAGACACAACTTTGCCCAAATTCTCTGATGATTCAGTCTCTCTTTTTTCTAGTCTCGATTAATGTGTCTTGTTCTATTTCTGTTAACAGTTACAATGTTGTGGTACTTCCTACATTATATAGTATAGGGAAGGAAAGAAGTATTTGACTCATTTTTTCGCTCTAAATGATATTCGTAAAGTCATATAGTATCTGTTAAAGATTAATGATACACAACTCACATAATTGATCTCGCTATTGTATCTTACCTTACATGGTTCTCAACCGTATCTCACCTTACATTGTGCCTCTCCAATTTTAGAATCAATGCGGAAAGAATAGCAAACGAGGATAAACATGACATGCAAGTAGTGAGTTGTGAAAAGGACACAATATTACTCGTATTTTTCTTAAAAACAAAAGACTGAACCTCAAAACAAGTCATCAACCTTTAATATATTTCCACTCTAGGTCATCAATTAAATTTATTTGTAGCACAGGTTATCTTACTAAAGTTTTAATCCATTTTAGATTATTCTGTTAATTTTGGCCGCTAAATAGTGACTGAAATCCATTTTTCACATGCTTTTAGGCTAAGGGGTATTTTTGTCATTTTCTTATTTTTATTTTTTTTTAATTTTTTGATCTTTTAATTTTATTTTTTTTTTACAATTCTTCTTCTTATACTTCCTAACTTGTATACACTGGTAGTATAATTCTAAATTTTAAAAATTTATTTTCTTTTTGTATTTTAACTTCTAGATTATAAAATTTTTTTAAAAAAATTTAAGAAATGAAGAAGAAAAATTCGAGTTAAAGTAAACATGAAAATTAATAATTTACCATTTAAAAAAACACTAAACGAATTAGCTAAGACAAGTTATTTCTTCTAGGTTATTTAATTTTTTTCAACTCGATTGAATTATTTAATTATTAATTTTCATGTTTCTTATTCCTTTTTTTTTTTATAATCTAGAAGTTAAGATACAAATGAAAAATAAATTCATTTTTGAAAATTAATTTTTCATTTTTATATTAACTTGTCGATTATTTAAAAAAAGGAATAAGAAACGTGAAAATTAATCGAGTTGAAAAAAATTAAATAACCTAGAAGACACAACTTGTTTTAGCTAATTATTTTAATTTTTATTTTTGTTTAAAATAGTAAATTATTAATTTTCATATTTACTTTAACTCGAATTTTTCTCCTTCATTTCTTAAATTTTTTTTAAAAAATTTTATAATCTAGAAGTTAAAATACAAAAAGAAAATAAATTTTTAAAATTTAGAATTATACTACCAGTATATACAAGTTAGGAAGTATAAGAAGAAGAATTGTAAAAAAATAATTTAAAAGATTAAAAAATAAAAAATAAGAAAATGACAAAAACCCCGAACCCAAAAACATGTGAAAAATGAATTTCCGTAACTATTTAACGATCAAAATAATAGAATAATCTGAAGTGGATTAAAACTTTAGTAAGGTAATCTGTGTTACAAATAAATTTAATTAATGACCTAGAGTGAAAATATATTAAAGGTTCATGACTTGTTTTGACGGTCACTCAAAACAAAAAGAAGAAGAAGAAGAAAGCAATATCACATGCATCTATATAACTTTATGGAAGTACGACATATACACACACTCGGCCGTACTGGCGGCATTACGGATGAGGCCAGTGTGTGTATGGGTGGGCAAGGATGACTGTAATAATACTGGAGCCACAATTATTTCCACGAACCACCAAAATGTATACATCCAAAAGCTCATATAAGTTGTCCAAATTTTCGATTGAATGGTTTCTTTAAAAAAATAAAAAAATTGCGCAATTGATTACTAATTCGGTCAGTCATTTGTGAAATATTAGAGTATAGAACAAAAATTTAAGTAAAAAATATACTCCTTCTGTCCAAGAGCTGGTTTTATTGAGATCCGGTTGGAGTTAACATCTTCAATTGAGAGCTGATTTCTTCCAATTGAGTATTGATTTCTTCCATTCGAACTCTCTGTTTTGAAGCGAAAGCTCGTATCTCAGACAACTCCGCCAATCGATTCAACCCGAGCTGTTGCTGCTTGTGAAATTCATCACTTATATTTGCCGGAGATTGCGCAATCACCGTCATTCTCAATCAAGAATCGGAAGCTCTGATACCAAGTTGTCAGGAACGGAACCTAGAGTTCCCAAAATTGGAGAATAGAGGAGATTAGAGATAGAAGCAGAAGAAGGAAATTCATTTATTTTCGTCGATAATTCTAATTGACCGGAAACGGTTACTTTTATGCCGTCCGTAAATCTCAAACTATTACATAATTGTATACTAAGTCCCTAAACTTGTAATTGATCTATTCAAACCATCCATTTCATGACAGTTTACAACCCCAAAATTATTCCACCAAACTAACTTTAGTTTGTTAATACGGGCGGCTTTCCTAATTGGATCCACATGCTCCTCCAACATTAATAACAAAACTTGACTTTAAAGTTGATTACGATCTTCTGAACCTGTGAAACGTTTAAACTTCATAATTTTCTGTCTTAAACTCACAATGAGAACGTTAATAACCAACCTTAATGTAAACTCTATCTAGTTTACAAGAATCAATTAATTAATCTTGTTGTAAAAAGAAAAAAAAAAAGAAAATTTGTCAGCGTCGATTGCTGATGATTGACAGATCAATTTCATTTACTGTACTACTCATTAAAATGTAACAGTGTACAAGGTACACTGCTGATTGTTCCACGATCAAAAATCAAGATCAATGTACAAAGTACTGTACCACGGATGCATTGTATTTGTATGCACGCCCACACGAACGAATGGCCAAATAAATACTACTGTGAAAGTGACAGGGGAAACAGTGGTTAATTTGTCACTATTTTTTCTTTCATTTTCCTCCCAAAATAGTAGCATCACAGAATATGCATTACTATTGCACTCTCCTTTAAAAGAAAAATAATACATATCCATTCCTTAAAAATAATTGAAGAATATAATGATTACAAATAATACACAATTACTTGCTCTTCCTTGATTCATAATGACCAAACATAATGCATTTTCAGAATCTAAAATCGAAAAATGTTGTGACACACTAATTAGTGGAGTGTATATTAAAAAAACATGTTATTGACCATTCAAACGATCAGATCATTAACTCACACATGCGAATCAATTTGAATGCTCTTTGTTGGTGATCCAAAACTGAACCGACTCATATGCACATCTATTCTCTTACACCTTTTAATTTTTTTGGGAACAAATCGATTTATATTCGATTTGTTTTCTGGGCAAAAAATATTGCCACTGTCTCACTTCATTAATGATGCGCATGCCTTTATCTAATCAATTCAAACGGACTCAGGCATATGAGGGATTGAGGATAAGGTTTAAAACTCAAGGATTGAAATAGAAAATTAACTGCCTTCAATCGGACCACAAACTAAGACATTGAGAGATATCTGTATCGGGCAGAGCATGCTAGTTGAGAGAGATTATGACTAGTATCATGTTACCGTACTAGAATGTATTCTCGCTACGTCTGAAGATGATTATTATAAGTTTTTTTTTATAAAAAATTTATCGATAGAGTTGATAACATAAGAAATAGAGTTGATAACATAAGAAGAAAATAAGGAAAATAATCATATTCAGTGACGAAACTAGGCAGGGTGGTTGGTCAACCTCCGGCCGGCTAGATTTGGCTAAATTTTCTCTTAATATGGTATCCGTTAGTTGAAATTTTGTTTGACACTCCAGTAACGACTGAATAATCTTATTTTCAACCCTGTGATTTGAAAATTTTTGTTCCGTCCCGGATCATATTCGTTATTCCTCTAATACACTTGTTTGACCAACCTCTAGAATTTCCCTAACTACTACATGCATGTAACTTTCACAACCTTTTATCTCACTCGTTCAGACTACTCGAGTGATATTAGAAACAACCATTTTATTGTGACGAATACATTTACTTATAAAGTGCTTGTTAAACTCGATGCATACACAAAAGCTGGAACGCATTGAGGATATATCTTTAGAAATCATAATCCAAGGGTTGTCTATGCTCAAAAACACAAACCATCATACTATCTCACATGTCTATGTATAAACCATTATTTCACAAATTATAATTAATCAAATGGACATATTTTTCCAAAAAATAAAAATAAAAATTATTAGGCCCCCCTGACCTCTCTTTATCATAATAATCATCATCAAAATTCCAAACTTGAGCAACCGACACGGTTGGACCCATTACACATGGGCTGCCCATTTAATCCGTCGCCTAAACCCCACCCTCCATCATCCGACGATTCCCATTTCCCTGAGATCAATTGACCAGATTGAACGCATCTTGACCGTCGATCCCGGGCCACAGCCTTCAAGTCCCGGCGGTTGAGCCTGTCCCTCCGGTGTTCCCCGGGTCTACAACAGAAGACCCGGCCCTGCTCCTCATGTGACAAACACACAGAGCTGTTAAACTTTAATACTAATACTAATCCGTGGGTCCCGACCAAGTGGGTCCAAATGCAATGTAACCTTCCTCCCTTTCCGAAAAGCGCATGAACCCACGTAGCGCGTTTCATTGACACATAAAACCTCATTTAATGAAGAAGTCGTGTTAGGGAAGCGTGTGAGTGATAATGTCCTGAAATTCACGCACAAACAGAATAATTTTGCCCAGATTTTGTCCCTCCAAAAAAAAAATAAATAAATAAAAAATCAATAATAATAATAAAACCCCCTTAATTCCTAAAGTCATCCTGTATAAAAGTCCATCTTCACCCCCTTCATTTCTCCGTCACAACTTGCAACAACAAACAAGTTTTCTCAAGCATTCGTTCTTTGTTACTTAGCCGGAATTCATCGCAACGTCATCGGAGTTTTCTTAAGTTTTCCGATTCAGTGAAGTATATTATTCTCAGATTTGTGAAGAAAAATGGATATTATTGGGAAGAAGTCAGCAGCTTACGAGAATGATGATCTTAACCTGGAAGCTACTGAGTTGAGATTAGGATTGCCCGGAACCGAGGAGAAACAGAAACTTGAATCATCATCTTCTGCTTCGTCTTCCAGCCTCGTAAAACAGAGCAACAACAAGAGATCTTCCTCAGAGATGGATAATTCCTCATCTGACAAAAGCGAAGTTCAAGATTCAGCCCCTGCTCCCAAGTGAGTATATATACCATTCTTTTCTACCCATTTATCTATAATACCATATTAATCAAAAAAAAAAATTTATGAGTTGAAATTGAATTAAACTAATGGGTATGAACATCTGATTTTTTCTTTTCAGGGCACAAGTAGTTGGTTGGCCACCAGTCAGATCCTTCAGGAAAAATGTTTTCCAGCAAAAGAAAGCAGAGGATGGATCTGGGATGTACCTAAAAGTGAGCATGGATGGAGCTCCTTACCTAAGAAAGATAGATCTCAAAGTATACAAAAGCTACCCTGAATTGCTCAATGCCTTAGAAACCATGTTCAAGTGCACCATTGGTAAGATTTGAAATCCATCCCCCCTCTTTTTTTTAAATCTTTTCATACTCTGTTCTTTTATTTTGGATCTGTTGCAGAACAATCAAATCTTAATGAGATCTGTTTTTTTTTTTTGTTTTGATGATAGGTATGTATTCAGAAAGGGAAGGATACAATGGATCTGATTATGCACCAACATATGAAGACAAAGATGGTGATTGGATGCTTGTTGGTGATGTTCCATGGGAAATGTTCATCAACTCTTGCAGAAGACTCAGAATCATGAAAGGATCTGAAGCTAAAGGCTTAGGTTGTTCATCTAATTAAATTTAGATGATCATCATTTTATAAATATGCAGTTTTCTGCATCCATTTCCTGCAATCTGGAGAAAGGGACTTCTTCAAAGCCTCTTGTATAACGAGCATGGATGAAGTTCGTCATCATCATCATCAAATATGAGAGTGATTTTGAAGCTCCAATTTTATCTGTACAAATTAATGGAGGGATCCCTTCTTCATTTTGCTTTTCATTTTTTTATTTTTGACTTTTTTTTTTTCTTTGAAAGAGATTTGTAATTTCGGATGGAAGAATATACATTGCGAAATGTATATAGAAGAACTACTGGTAGATTGTTAAGACACACAGGCAGGCAGACTTTCTTAGGCAAGAAAAGTCTGAAAACTTAGGAAGAATTTTTCATTTTCCTTAGTACACCAAATATACACACTATATATTAATTTCCTGGATATTGAATTCGTTTATTTTGTGTATTTTTTCCTCATTCGGTTTTTTTTTTTTTTTTGGTTCTTTTATATTGCCTTAATTCCACTTTTACGAATTTTATTCATGCACCCTGCCCATTTTTGTTAATAGATCTAAAATAAAAACATGAACTGGCTTCCTAGATCTAAAGTTTTAGTTAAAGTGGAAATAAAATAAAATAAAATGGTCATTGACTTCTTCTTCTTCTTTTTATTTATTTTTTTTCTTTTTTTGATTTCCTAGTAATGTAACTAGGCATTCCAATGAGATTAATTAGTTTGAATGTAGTAATGTAACTAGGCATTCCAATGAGATTAATTAGTTTGAATGTAGTATTTTTGGTGCGTTTTAAACCCCATTTAATCATTACCATTAAAAAGATGGTATAATATTTGTTTAACCTTTTCCTGAAAATTAAAACTGGATCTAATTAAGAATTGGAATCAAGTTTGTCCATTTGAAAAAAGAAAATGAAACAGCTAGACATGCATTTTTTTTTTTTCTTTTGACTGACACCTTATCATCAAAGAATGTAAAAAGTTTGGTCAACATGATTATTTTGAGTATTGTATTCCAACTACTAAACCTCGATCAATATGTTAATATCATTGCAGATCTGTAATGTACAAAGCTAGCTTTTCTTGCCGTTGTTTCCGTGAACAAAATTTAGAGAGAATGTCAATAATATTCATCTTATTTATCTCCAACAAGGCACAAGTTAGACAGATGTAATGAGGCAACTTTAGTGCAAATGGGAGACAATATAATAATTCAATTATTATTGTGACACCTAACGAATGATTCCCGTCTGACCACGGGGTATGGGCTTTGGAAAATTATTCAGAAAACCGGATTCATCGACCTGAGGCAAATTTTGTGATGTATCCAGCACATACCTTAGCCATACATACATTATGCAATGAGAAGTTGTTAGTTAGGTTTCAATTATCTATTCTTCCTAATGTGTAACGAAATTTCATCAATGTATGTTTCAACCAAAAACATAAATGGATCCATGCATGAATTGTTTTTACTTATATCTCCAACAAATATTTGCCTTTGTTGTTACTAATCTATAGGTATTCCTACACCTAAAAACATAATGGTCACTCATTATGGTAATGACAATCCACCAATGTAATTCTCGAATAATTTTATTCCTGGGTAAAGTCCCATCGGGGGAATGCCTATATAACATATTACCTCAGTCACAAAAAAAATAGTTTAAATTGAGTTTTGAAATTTGTACTAAAAATTAAATTTATGAAATAGATAGTGATTAAATTTGTGGCATGCTATTCTTCTATTCAAAATTTTAAATAGGTATTTTAATGTAAAATCTAAAATAATAAATCAAATTTTTTTTTTTCAATTTGAACTCATTTTTTTTCTTCCACGGAAGGAGTAACATTTTTCATAAATGTAATTGTTGAAGCAGCGTTGAATGGCCCATAATAAGTGAACTTCTAATTTTAGTGGGCCTTTTTTGTATGTAAACGGGCTATAAGTTTAAAAATAGTTAACAATGGTTTCCAAGCCCAAAAATATGTATCAGCGAAACTTCAACCCAAAAACAACTTCAATGGGCCATGTCAACTAGTGGTCTTGTGGAGGACACGCGAACAATGCACGTGTGGAATCCACGCGTTCGACTCTTCCCAGAGAAAGTAGCGAGTGGAAGTATAATCCTCGACTAACCTGAGTCATTTCGTTTACTCACATTTGCAGGCTCCAGGGAGCGCCGTTCACCGTCGAATCATTCCGACCGGCTTCATCTCCGATAACCGGAAAACCAATCTAGTCAACCAGGAAAATGCTGGCACGGCTGGCTTCTCAACGCCTTCGGGAGATCCGTCAAGTTATCCGTCAAATCCCGCAGGTCCGTTCTCATTCTCACTCTTCGATTTATTCTCGTATAATCACTCCTTATTTTTTAATATAAGAAGAAATTTACTCCAATTTGGTTCTTTGTATTCGCCAGACTACTCGATCACTCTCCACTGCCCTTAATTATGTAAGTCAGGATTTTACCATCCATGATTTCCCCCTTTTTTTAAAATCTGAAATGTTTATTCCGTTTGAATGAAAGAATTAATTTCATTTCGTTTTCTTCTGAAGCATTTGGATTCGCCTGATAATAATCCAAATAATCCATGGGAATTCACCGAAGCTAACAAAACAAAGGTTAGCTACACTTTTCCCCCCTTTATCTTCGCTTTATTTATTCCACCATTATTTAGTTTTCACAGCCTCATTTGTAGTTAACTCACTATATGTCTACTTACATTCATAAGCTGGTATTAAGTTTGTTTGGGAATCGTAGACAGCAAATTCTAGGGCTGAAGTTGAATGTTATATTTTATCGATAGGACACCATGGATTTTGTTCATTTTTTTAAAATTATGGAGTGGAATGAAATGCAAGTGCTGCCAGTTATATCAATCTATACTGTTTAAAGTGTTGTCTGCTTTTAACTCGTGTTGTTTACAGTTTCTGTTGAAATACTCTCCTTGCCCCTTTGATTATGACTCTAACCTTTCGTCTATACATCAGAATTAGTGGACGGAAAATGATAGGTTAGAGTTAAATATTTTGGTTTCATTCCGGAGCCTAGGATATTATTCAATCTTGTAAAATATGGGGCGTAATTGTATATGGATTTATAAAGGTTTCTGCATTTCTCCTTTTCTTTAGAGTTTGGGTTCACTCAGGAAAATAATCCCTCTATCTTCACAAACGAGTCTTGCTCTAGAGGCTTTTGCCGAGGGCCTCTTAATGCAAGGCGCGGAATATAAAATAAGCTATTTATTACATTTTCTTTCATGCCTGTGAAATTTTAAATGTTAACCGCTTTTAACCATAAAGTCAGGAGTTAAAGATTAAAAAAAGAAGATATAAATAAATGGTATGACAAGAGGCTCTTATTTAATGATGAAGGGAAGTTTAGCAACCTCTCTTTTCTTTTCTGCTATGGGGTGGGAGTGGAGGGAATATGTTCTCCCCACCTGCTTCTAGTGACATTCAGTTCCGGTTGCAGTCCTTTCTTGTGTTAGCCGGTGGCATGTGTTTGTGGAATCTTTAGGAGACTAGATATTTTGTTGACTATCAAGTTCCTTCTTGCATAGGTGAAGGAGATCTTGTCTCACTATCCATCAAATTACAAGCAATCAGCAGTCATTCCATTACTGGACCTTGCACAACAACAACACGGCGGATGGCTACCTGTTTCAGCTATGAATGAAGTATGTAGCTACACCTTGGTTGTAACATCTTCCATCAGTTTTATTTTGTTGGTGCTATATACGGACAGACACATATACACACACGAACAGTAAAAGTTGTTGCTAGAGCGAACCTACTGTCAGATGTCTGAATGTTCTTCCACTATTGAATAAAATGTTGGATTTTGTGTTGTTGATTGCTTGTTACCAAACTTTAGAGGATATCTAATAAAATTTGAATAAAGCATGCACCTGATTGCTAGATACATATCTTTTCCTATGGAAAATTGGATTTTGCTCATAGATGAAGCTCAGCATGTCAATGATACGTTGGGCCACTTTTTTTTTTCTTCCATCTTTAATTATTGGTATTTTGTTGCTTAAATGCTTGTTTATGAAATACAAGGATTCTTTCATTTGGGCAATTTTGTCAGCTCATGATTTTGATCCTATGATTACTTGGTACTGACCAAAATAGTACTTCTAATATACTGCTTTCGATGACTAAGGTGGCAAAAATTATTGAAGTTGCTCCTATTCGTGTATATGAAGTTGCAACCTTCTACTCAATGTTCAACCGTACAAAGGTGAGAGGAGTCTGCGTAGACAGTTTTAGTGAACTATACCTTTTATGCCTGAGCCTTCTCTAGGAAACTGATTGGTTATCCTGTCAGGTTGGTAAATACCACCTTCTGGTCTGCGGTACCACGCCCTGTATGATCCGTGGTTCAAGAGAAATCGAAGAAGCATTACTCAAGCACCTAGGGGTAAAACGCAATGGTAATTTGTTTCAAATTTACTTCATTTTTTCTGTAATATGCTAGAGGTTTTTATGCTTCTTCCTGTGCTCACTTGAATTACCATGTACAACTTGCAGAGGTGACAAAAGATGGCTTGTTCTCTGTTGGAGAAATGGAATGCATGGTATTACTTTTCTTCCTAGTTCTGATTCGGTGCTTTATTTTTGATGTTCCCTTGTAATTTATTAGCTGGGCGATAATACTGTGATTACCAGGTGCATGCAAGTTGCTTTTCTTGTTGGAGATGGCTTATGTTTCTTACGTGATATCTAATGAATTAAATAATGAGTTAGTGAACTGTTTTGCTTAATTTAAATATCTAAGAGCTGCGAAACAGTGCAACAGGAGAAAGTGAAAACGTAGATGCTTGCTTTCAACCTCGGGTTGTATTTCACATGTAAACTTATGATGACTTTGCCCATGGGGAGTGGGTCTATGCACAGTAGCAAAGTAGAATTGTAAAACTGCCGGTAAACATGTGATAATTGCCATCATCAATATACTGCTTAAGTGTTTAGTGTCGTAGCACCTACTACCGGTATTCGGTGAGTGAACATTGTCACTGCAGTCATTATGGGAACTTGTGAATTTTCATAGATTGAGTTTAATGACAAGCATGATGCTATATGGAGTTGATATCTATTCAGGGATGCTGTGTAAATGCTCCAATGATTACTGTTGCCGACTATTCTAATGGATCTGAAGGATACACCTACAACTATTATGTAAGTAGACATATTTCCTTTTGCATTATGCCATGTTTACTCCCAGAATGTAGATATAGTTTCGACTCTTGTTTCTCTTAATAAATTCTTTGTGCATGTGGTGTAATTGCAGGAAGATCTCACTCCAGAGAAAGCCGTGGAGATTGTTGAGGCCTTCAGAAGGGGAGAAAAGCCACCAGTAAGGAAATCAGTTACCTATTACTCTGTTATCTTTTTTATTTTACATGGATCTGTATGTAGTGATAAGTTCTTCTGGTACTTTCAGCGTGGAACACAGAATCCCAAAAGAATCAACTCAGGGCCCGAAGGAGGGAATACTACATTGTTGGGTGAGCCAAAGCCTCCACCGTGTCGCGACCTTGATGCCTGCTAAAGTAGTTAAAATGTCTACCAATAACCTCAAAAGTTTGGGATCCTTCAGTTCTAAGCTCTGTCACCCTTATTGTTTCAAAGTTTTCACTTCTGCACTGTCAATTCTCAAACAAGTAGGGACCAACCTGGTGGATATGATTGTTTTATGATAACACAACCTCTCCATGGAGTTGGTTGTACAATCATCGGATGCTTAATAATGAATCCCTGTGAGTCCACAACGGCCTGTAATTTTAGCTGGTATGCATAGGTCTCAAAGTGAAACTTCGAATTTCTGGTGCATTCTCATTGTGGATTTCATTCATAATTCAAGTGTTTGCCACAAATGGAATTCAAGTTTTATTAAGTCTCTTGTGCACTCTCCTCGTTTGGCCTTTTTATTAAGTCTCTTGTGCACTCTCCTCGTTTGGCCTTCATTTTAACGTGTGTGAGAATTAAACAGCTCTTCAAAAGTAACATTGTTGAATGGCTGCACATTCTGATTCTCTGTCCTGCCAAAAAGAAAAAGGAAACTGATCACTCTGCTTTCTTTTTCTAATACCTTTCATTTGTTTTTCCCTTTACACCTCTCGTATTTCTCTTCGTATCCCGCATTGTATGCCATATACTCCGTATTTTAGAAGGAGATTTTGGTCATTTGATTTAAAAAACTTGTTTTCACAAAAGACGAGTATCAATTGCAATAATATTTATAACTTTACAATTTAGTGACTATTGCGGTCTCTGATAAAAAATGAGCACTCAGGTAATTGGACTGAGCAGCGATCCCTCACTAAGGAACGCATTTGGGGGTGGCCAACAAGGGGGGAAAAAAAGGGACAAAAACGAAGGAGAAGAGTGTGGGAGTGGAAGTGTGATCCTACCTATCCTCTCTCTCTCTCTCTATCTATCTACTGTGTGTGTGCGTGAGAGAGGAAGAGTGGTAGGAGTCGGATGGGTTGATTGATCATGGATGGGGGTGGGGGTGGGGTGATGGTGGTGCACCGGTGGAGTAGTTGTGAGCCATCTATCTACAACAATACAACAACTAATCCCATCTACTACTAAATACTACATGATCATCATCATCATCCGGTTGATCTGGTTCATTATCCATGACTTATGACAAAATATCCACCCACCACCCAACCGCCACCCCTTTTTCCACTCCCCACCTATTGCTGCTGCCCACATCCTCCCAATTTTGATGCTCCTTTTTTTTTTTTTTTTTTTTTCTGCCTTTTTTTTCTGTCCTCATCATCATAATTGATATTTCACCCCATCTACCACCACCGTCGCCACCGACACCACCACCACCACTGGCCTACCCGGGTAACTCCCCTACATCCCTATTGCTCTGCCCCCACCTCCCTCACTATCTATTATCTTCCTTCAATTTCCATTTATAGCCAAGCCCACTTGTTTCTTTGATCCCAAATTTCTTTATATCTCTTCCCATGATGTTTCATTTTTGCTTTGCCTTCACCTTATGTAACTAAATGCAGCTCCTACGAAGTTTTATCAACTAGTTCTAGTACAAGACAAGTTTGAATTAATTTGCAGAATTTGTCTTCATTGCTGGCAGGTATGTAAAGTGATCAATTGAACACAACTACTCCGTGTTTTTTTGTTTTCTTATAAGTTTCAGTATCCGGTGAAGAATGCATTTTCAATTCTGTTAATGGTTAAGCTTGTTACTTGTATGCGTTGAAACATCGATTGACCATTGATACTAGTATTACAATTTTGAACCCTTAAATCTGTTTTTTACTCATGAGCTCTGTGTAACATATTTGCTTTGCTTAATGTTGCGAGGGTTGTTAAAAATATTGGGTATAAGGAAAAGGGAATCGTTAATTTGATACTTCTATAGCCTTTTGTTTTGTTTTAAACTGGTACACATATTTGTGTATAGTTCCTTTTAGTTTCAGTTTCAATCACTTAGTAATTAATTTCTTGGTTCTTTTGCAATATCTTTCAAGTTTATGAGTGTTGATTGGAGTCTGCATCTCGTGATCTAATTTACATGGCCCCTTTTCTGCTTTTGCATTCCATATCCATTTTTTGTCTTGAGGGGCTGAATGTAAAACATTTGAATGTTGTCTTCTCAGGCTGTAAAATTACCTTTCAAATATATGGATTGGATGAGAGTACATCGTATATTGAAGCAAAATATCCTTCCATTTTATTCAAACAACAATTAAACTACCTGCGTCGAGAAGATTTTTGGCTTGATACATGATAATCTGAAGAAAGAAATATCTCCTCTTTCGGGTCAATGCACTCAGGTTGGTCTCTCTCTCTCTCGCTCATGGGTGGAAATAAATTTATTTGCTCTGTTAATCCATCCAAGTGCTAATTATTTCTGGGAAATTCATTTGTTCTAAAATTGCCACTTCCATTTTCCTTCAAATGGTCCTTGCCTGGCTACATTTGATAAGAACCCTCCAATCCCCATTTTTGCTCCTTGGGTTAGCTCAGCCAGTCTCCTTAGTATACTCTGATTTTTATTTATTTATTTATTATTATTATTTTTTGGGCTTGCAAGGTGACGGTAAAGCTTCGACTTTGTTTGGAATTTGGTTCTAAGTATGTCTACCGTGATCGCCGCCATCTCACCGTCTGCAGCTCCGGATACTACTGCCATCGAGGTCGTTGAGAAGCCTGTTCGAAAATTTCCACCTCCGTGTTGGACCCAAGAGGAGACTTTGGCGTTGATTGACGCTTACCGTGAGAGGTGGTATGCCCTTCGCCGGGGATACCTTCGGACGGCGGACTGGGATGCTGTGGCTGCAGCCGTTACCAGCCGTTGCCCAGATGCTTCTCCGGCTAAGACATCTGCTCAGTGCCGACATAAGATGGAGAAGCTACGTCAGCGCTACCGTGCCGAGAAGCAGCGGTCGTTGACTTACCCCGTCGGCCGGTTTTTCTCATCTTGGTTTTTCTTTGAGTATATGGATGCTATGGAGAATGGAACCACTGTTTCTGCTGCTGGATCGAATCAGGAGTCGGAAAATCTCGATGTTTCTGGTAATGAATCTCGGCTGAAAACATTTGTTGATCAGAATGTAGTGAAATTGAAGCTTAATTCTAAAAAATGGTCAAAACTTCCTAATGGTATAAGTCCTAATTTTGGTTTAGGCCATGGGTTTAGAGCTAATCAATCCTCCAAAAATGTTGAGGTGAAGGTGAATACTGATTTTGTGCCAAAGGCTCTAAATGGATATAATGGTTTTCTAGACCCAATATCTGATAAAGGTGATGAAGGATTGGGTTTTCGTGTTAAGAGTCTCGATGAGGGTCTTGTGGGAGCTCCAGTGTTTAAATTTAAGAACTTTGGAAATGCTTTTGCGAATTCAAGAAGTGGTTTTGATGCTAGTAATGAGTTCACTAAGAAATCATTGGGTGATGATAGTTCCATGCCACCACGAATTAGATTGAAGAGAAAAGGGAGGATAGATGGGACTCTAAGTGGAAATGTTAGCTACGGCGTGGTGAATAACGATCATGATAATTCTAAGAACAGACTCTGGGTGCCGGTTGGGACAAGGGAAACTTACGGTGGAAATTTGGAATCTGACCTGTGGGGTGTGAATGGGTTTCGGAGTTCTTCCACGATGGGATTTGAGAAGCGAGTGACGGGTTGTGATCCCTTGAGCGAGGGTAATAGATGGAGGAGCGCAATTGATGAAATGGTTTCTGCAATTAAAATGTTGGCAGAGGGATTCATGAAGATGGAAAATATGAAAATGGAGATGGCAAGAGAGATTGAGAAAAATAGAAGGGAGATGGAGGTAAAGCGGAATGAGATGATACTCGAGTCACAGCGCCAGATTGTGGATGCTCTTGCGAAGGGATTATTTGAGATGAAGAACAAGAAATTGAAGAAGAATACCGCAGTTTCAGAAACGCAATGAAAAATTGGATCCTTCCGGACATATGATTTATTGCTATCTCCCTTGAGCTTGGGAAATGTGATCACTACTTAGTAGCTGCTATTATTTTGGTGGCTCTTAATTCTAATTTATCTGGAAGAAATGTAGATGTATTTAGATGTTGAGCGTTATATATAGTTCTTTGCATAGTATTTCTTCTCAATACAGGATGTGTTTCCACAAATACTTTATTTATTGTAAATAATTGTAATATGAAGTGTGAGGCAAGGAAGTTTAGATTTAACAAAAAAAAAAACCCCTAAGAACAGGTGGAGAAACATTTAACCGGAATGCCGCATTGCAGCGTCTGTTCCTCTTAACAACACCTCAAACTACTCAAATGCTCTCTATTCCTCTTTGTTGCCACCAAACACACGCATCAATAATTCTTTCTGGAAATTTTAGCGAGAAGTCAAAAACTGCTTTTGGGAACCAACTATCCCACTACAAAACATAAGCCCCCACAAACAATTGAACTTAGTTGGACTACAAATCCAACTTTCTGGGGACAGAGCATTTATCCATTCTAAATCTGAATTCCACTAGAGCTGAAAATCATTAGAAATTAGAATTACATCACAAGATCATATGTGCAAGTGCAATACAATGCTGCTCTTCTAAAAGGGTCCCAACACCCACTATCAAAATGCTAGCTCCCCACTACAAAGGTGCTTTCATCATCTACCACTATTCTCATAATGTCACATCGTTTGATTAGATTAAAGCACAGCATATCAAAGAGAACTTTGACATTTCCTTCTCGGCTACTACAATCTAGCAAGAAACAACCTGTACCTTCCTATTATTTTAGACATTATAGACAGACACAGTCCCAAAAAGAGTTATAAAGGCGGCAGAAAGGCGCTTTCATGGAATCTGACTTAGATTTCAATCAGACAAAAGCAAAACGGATTGCCTTAATGGTCAAATAAGTAAAAATAATCACCTACAGGCCACGGGATTGATGTGCTTTCAACAAATATTGCAGCATCCCAATGGCGCGATGTTGATGAGATTTAAGGAGGAGAATTTGTTTCAGGCTTCACAAGGATGGAGGCATCTGGTGGCTGTGCGTGACAAATAGCTGAGGCAAGAGATATTGGCATAATGCATAGAGCTTTTGATTGAAGAAACTGCATTGCTGCACCGACATTTTCTTCCATCAGCTTTGCTACCTGACGTTCAGTGCCATCACTTGACCATTTATCCCAAGGTGGTTGCGCTCTTCCACCTTCACTGCCATCTTCCTTTGAACCACACAGAAATTGGATAAACAATACAGTTAAAACAAGAGCTTAAACAACATTAAACAGCCTGATGTTGTTTACCTTAACAGATGTTAGTGGCATATCCGCCACAAGTGGTGCCACAGCACCAGCTCCCCCCAATCTACTCATGCTCAAAACCTGTAACGTGACAACCATAAACTCAGCAACGTTACAAAATGGATGCTAGGCAGAACCATTGGCTCAACTTGTTTAGAATCCAATGTATCCACATGCATTCTATTCCAAGAATCAATAATCTATTAAATTTTAAATAGGAATAATCAAACTACTAAATAGACGAAAAAAACAAACAAGAATGATGGGAGCTTGTGGCCTATCTATCCCATTGAAAACAGATGTTGCTTGGTCAACCTATAAAACCCTGATGTTGCGTGCATTGCACATCAGGAACAGATGATGGTTGAAACAAGAGAGTGAATTCATAAAATCGCAGTTTCAAAAAAAAAAAAAAGAAATAATAAACAAACTTAACGCACAAGGGTGAAAGGTATACAATGCATAAATAATTGTCACTCAGATTTATTTGAATGGTATTGCAACTATAAAGACAATGGACATTTCTGAGTTTGTTTAACAACCATAAACACATCCGCCAAAAGGCCTTCAATCTTGAATCTACAAGCCTACAAGAAGTCATGTCATGCTGCAATCATTGCAGAGCATTCGTCAGAAGAATTACCTTCACTTGGAGCCTGAGGAACTTCACATAATCGACAATTTCATCAAGCATTGCAGCCCTGTCAGTCTGTAACCAACCACAAAAGAAGAGAAACTTTGAATGAAACCAAAGAAACATTTTATTACCATAAAGATCGTCAAAGTTGGTAAAATTATCCAATTTCAATAATATCACATTAATTTTTTGCAAGACATCACACCAGTTAAGTTGATAGTAAATTGGAATGTTCGCAGCCTGCTGAATTTTGATTTGTTGCTCTAACACATATTCCTCCAATTTCCTCAACAAAAAACTATACCAACCTTATTGACATTTGGAACCAACTCTTGCAATGCTCTAATCCTCTCTGCTATTCTTTCTCGGCGTAACTGTATAAACAAACAGAATACAAAATCAGTTCATCAACATTTGAAAAAAGAATAAATATGATATATTATACAGCATGCTATCAGTATTCTGACTAAACAGCATGCTCTTTTAAGTTTTTAGTATCAGAACTCAAATTTTAATTTATAATGAAGTCCACATGATGACAGTTCTCCCCTACCGCAGTAGTGTTCTATACACCAACCTCTCTTGATTACATAGAAGTTAAACAAAGTCATTAAAAATTTCACAAAGTACATTAGGAAGCATACCCTCTCAGCAATACTGTGGGGATCCGTCGCTTGACCTCTCTTAGCCCGCACCCTAGGCCGCATAGCCGGTGGATGTGGAGCCACCGGAACTGAGTTTGGCAATGGTTGTCCATGAAAAGTCTGGGAAAAGGAACATTACAATCGGCAGGGATGATGATGTCACAAAAAATCACATTGGAAGTTTCAGGTTGTGTATAATTCCTTCCTAACTCATATGTAACACAAATTCCTTCAAAATCAACAGCATGCAGAGTCCTTTTATTTCACACCTAAATGTTATCAAAATTTCTCCAGGAGAAAAGAGAGAGAGAGAGAGAGAGAGAAGAAGAAGAACTTTTGCCATTTCAACTGAAAACCGTTGATACTACGTGCATGTTCGCCCAAAACACTCAATTTTGATTTGCTCTTCTTTTTCCATTAGCTGTTTTTTCCGAGAGTAACAAAGCAATCAAACAGAGACTTCAAAATCATTATGACAGAATATCAACATCACAAAAAATAAACTTACAGGTCTGCCGATAGAAACGGCAGCTCTGCCGTCGATAACCTCGTCGCAGAATCTCCTCCCACTCCCACTCCCAGAAGCTTCATCCATCTTCATAAACCCTCCCTTACTTTGATCCAAGCTCAAGCCCAACGGAAAATTACCACCGTGAAAGGAACCGGCACCGCCAACCCCAAGACCAACGCCTATGCCAAGGCCGACCCCGAGGCTTCCGAGGTGATGCCCGGAGCCGTCGCCGGAGCTCAGTTGGAGCATCATAGTAGGCGGTGGCGCTCCAGCAAGACCAGAGGCTTCATTTCTTCCCGGGTGTAGTGCTAAATTGGAGCCGGAACCTCCGGCGTAGGCAGGATATCCCAAAATTTGATCGAGGAAGTCGTCGGAGGAAGGCTCTGTGGGATTATTAGCCATGAAAACGAGTGTGGAAATGGTCGAATTCTGATGAGAATGAATGAATCAGAATAGAATTTGTACTCCCAATTGCATCAAAATGTTGAACGTTTTGACAACATGCAAAGATTAATCAATTGTAAAAGGGAAAAAAAAGGCTTGAGATATCTCAGAACAGAGAATTCATCACTGAGAAACAGAGAGAAGAGAAGTTGAAGGGATGAATACGATGATTTTTAACACCAACAACATAATACAGAGTAGAATCCAAATGCTCTCTGCTGGTTGGTTTTTATTCTATTCTGTTTTATTTATGCCTTTACGAATAATAATTTACTAATTTCCATATTGCTACTTCTTTTTATGCCTTTTTCCAAAAGCCGCCCCTTCAATTTGCAATTTTGCAGCCATTTGTTGCACACCATATTTTGATGTCGGTTATGCCAGGAATATTATGGGATGTTTTTACTGTTTTATACTAATATATAATAGTTAAATTACGTTATACATAGATTAGTTAGTTATAGCCTTATAGGTTGGATAATTATTAATCACGTTCTTATTTTATGGATACGTTTTAGAGTAGTGGGTAGTTTATGGAGGTTGTACTTCCTAAGTTTTAGAGTCTATATATTTGTATGATCAGTTCTATTAAGGTAAGAAGAAAGATCATCGTTAATATATTTTATTACCTCCGTCCCAAAAAAAAATAATACACATTAAGTTTTTAAATTTGTACTAAAAATAATACAAAACTTAAAACTTAATATAGACTACTTTTATGGGACGGAGGGAGTAAATCTTATAAAAATTGTGTATTTTTTTTCTCATTGAGAGACCTCATGTATATTTATGGGGAGAGGAAGAAAGGAACAACAGGGTTTCTAGACGATTCAATGGATAGTCCTGCTTTTTTTTTTTTCATCAAGTTGGGAGTTTCAATCAAACTTCTCAATAATCATAGAGCAATCAACTGATTGCCTAATGGGCCATGGCAAAGATCAATACAACTGGTAAAAGAAAAGGATCACACCAACATGCAAGCTCAGACCTTAACGTCAATGTGCTGCAAAGAATCACCAGAATGCACAATGAATAGAAAATGGAATGAGATTTCTAGAATACAAAAATCCGATATATATCACAGTAGGATGAGACTTTCAAAACACAAATATTTTTGTCACCGAGAGGGCGCGGCGCATGTAAAACTGCAGAAAAACCCTCCAACTTCAACAGCGAAATAAAATACAAACTGCATGCTTCTTTTTTCCAGAAATAGAAGATAATGATCTCACAAGTCATTTACATACCCGCTGAAAGTTTTTATTCGTCACTTATTAGATTCAACAAATGCCAATAGAATTCCTAAAGAAGGTTAACTATACAGAATAAACGAAAAACAGATGCATACAACTTTATGACAAGATTGTGGGCGAATCCAAATGAATCAGCTAGTGTCTTCCTCATAGCATATCCATGTGAATCAGTTGACACAAGTTAACGCCTTCCTGATGCCACAGATTCGGTATTGAAGAGGTACTTCACACGTGAAAGTACAGAGTCGTGTGCGGGATCATAGGGATGGTCCTTGGAAGGGATTTCCAGAATCGCTGGAACTGGCTTGTTGTAGCTATCCACTAAAAACCTTATCATATTTGCGATCTGAAAATCATGCCAGGAACAGATACTGATCAGACAAAATCACCAGGAGAAGAGAATCAGCATGTAATATAGTTTCAGGGTGGACTAAATGGGTTTAGTAAATAGACCATATTAATCAAAACTACACCTATGGTAGAAAGATTTTATTCTACCAATTCTTATAGAAACTTTGACAAACAGTATCACCATCATTGGAAAAACTTACATATTGGCTGAGTAGTACTACAGCAACGTCTTCCCGTGAAGTGAAATCCTTGAATGCATCTTCGATCTGTTTCACAGTTGTTTCTGATTAAAAATAATTAACAGATTAGCACACACACAGAGAATGAAACCTAAATACACAAATTGTCGATCAGTTTTTCAGCCAAAGCAAAATTAGAGGTAACATTTTTCCAATTTGAACAGTTACAGAGAAGGAACCGATTCTTACTTGAGTCTACAATGAGGTAATTAGTTTTCCTCCTCAAGTCAACATTACCAACTCCAGCAAGTAAAAAACCGGTAACAGTGTCCTGCATATACAACATTTAATCAGAGAAAGAAAATGTTGTTTTTACAGAAAGGAAGTTGAGTTTTGGATCCTCCACCAACAGCAAATTGCAAGTAAAATGAAGAGACATGCGACAACATAACAAAAAATCTGTATCCTTAGCTGCATACTTTACTTGCAACACATTTTCTTTGCAAGGATGCAACTCTCAAAATTCATTCAAATCAAGCAAATCATCAACTGACTCTCTAGACTAGACTAGATTTCTATTGTCCTGCCATGGGAATCAGTTCAGAAACAGATGGAAAATATACAGCATCAACAACAACAACAACAAGCCTTTTTCTCACTAGGTAGAAACAGATGGAACAGATACGATAGGAAATTAAACCACATATCTCACTGGATGTATGAAACCAGAAAGACAGATTCATGCCAGGGCCAAACGTAAACAGGTCTAGTGAGAAACTTGAATAAAGGCAGATTCATTACAAACTGAAATAATGACGTTATTTACCTCATCAGCAATCATAGCAATAAGAGCTGAGTTTATTGTTCTAATCGGAGTTCGGCCAGCCATCTTTGAACCACCCTGTATCCAAGCACAAAAGATCCCTCAAATTAGTCTCTTTAGATTCAAATGATAAAACAAATTCAAACCCACACAGAAGCTCAAATTTAGTTAACACAAAAAAAAGATCCAGCAAATGTGCAGACTGATAAGATCATAAGAATATCAAGGTCCAAGACGATGTGACTTGAAAGAAATATTGAACACTACAACGTTATTTATTATACCAATCCTGGCCAATCAGGATCATGAAAGTATGCCAATTCCCATAGCCCAAGCAAATCCTATTTTTATTTAATTTTTAAGTTTGCATATACATCACCTAATTGACTTCTGAGATCAACAATACGTGTAGTCTGTTGAACTACAGATCACAGCACTTTACACAAGGTCCCTTTAACTGATGGAGGGGTGTGAACCCCAAACCGTCCTCAAGAAGCATCATTACCTAAATGGCTGATTCACTTAATGGATTCAAACCGTATGATATGCGAGGATCAAACATAAAACCCAGAAGGAAATAGCAAAAAAACAGGAGCCCAAAACCCAGGAAGGAGGAGGCAACTGCCCCAATGGTGAGCTCCTTAACAAGACTAAATACTACATAAGAATTGAGCTGCAACGATGACCCAGAGATTGATTGAATTTTCCGATTAAAGGGCTCAATTGAAGAATAATCTAGCTTAACAAAAATCAAATTACAACACCATAAGGGAAGAAAGACACTATTATTTCGATTCAAAATAGCCAGGAAAAACCCATAATGAAACACGCGAGGAACTAGAGATAAAATTACGAGCGAAAGCCATAAAAGAGGGGTTTCCGGGTCTTAGATGGATCTCACCTGGAAAAGTTTCTTCAAGTCGAGTCCGGAGTCTCAGCAAGAAGAGATCGGGATGAATCGTGACGAAAGATGATAATAGGAGAACTGTTTACTCAATTCCAATCAATGATGGTGTGAGAAAAAGTTGAAACTTGAAACAGCCCACTTAGTCGTGTAAATCTCGGGTTTGGATTTATGGTTCTGAACTGGAACTTATGGATCGGGTCTCTTTATTAGTTTACAAATCCTAAGGTCATTGTTATTTTCTTTCTTTTCCTTAATTATGGTCATTTTTTTCCATCTATCTGTATCTATATCTATCAATCTATGGAAACTGTGATAGTTTTGTACTTGTAACGTAAGATTAGTAATTTTCTCTATTTTTTATTTATCAAAAAGGAAAAAAACATATTCTCTCTATCTCATAAGTTTGAGTTTTCATCTTTAGTACAATTTGAACTTAAAATGAAAATTCAAACAGAACAATAATTATGGGATGGAGGGAGTATTTATTTTCTGTTAAGAAACTTACGCATGTCAATCTCATTGGATTACATTGTAATCTTCTAATCTGATCAAATCGTTTTTCAATTTTAAACACTGAGTCTTGATTCATCTTCACTTACTCGTGAAACCGTTATCCGAATACTCTCTTATGAGTCAATCATATCCATATTCGATGGACCGAATATCCATCTTCATTGAAGTTCGATCGGCAGATTCAAACTTAAGAGAATATCCGGCTAAAAGTCTATCAACGCAACCGATAATAATTCGAGGCGGACTTCCTTCATCCGAAGCTGATATTTTTAACGTTGATACAGGTCCAATGAAGGTCAAAACCAATAGGAAGATTAATGTTCGAAGTACTCAAAATTTGGAAGCCAACGTTTGGAAGATATCGTGTCTTGCTTTTCTTCAATTTAATTGAGGTTTTTTTTTTTTCCAGCAATTATTGCTTTTCTTTTCTCCCTTTTCGCAGTGGTTCTTCTTGAGTCTCCAGTACAACAACTCCCGTTGATGATGATTCAATGGTCTTTTTATTGTTTCAAATGGTACGGATTGTGTTTATATAATTTTGCAACGAAATCTGTTATGATTTGAATAGGATGAATTATTGTAGCCCAAATAATTATGATTCATTTGATGCTTTCACAAAGTTCTTACTCTGACCACATCATATTTTAAGTGTTCAGAGGTTGAAGTACCCTTCAGATCTTCATTAAGTTTCAAGGATAATGAGTTAAGAAAATTGATTATTGTTTTTATTTATTTTGCAATGTATGGTAACCCGATTACCCGCTGCTCCAATAAAATTCAAGAAAAATTGCTACCGTAACTCACAACCTTCAGTTCTGAAATGCACCACGAAAAATGGTATATGCTCAACAAACCTTCAAATAGTAATCTGATTGCAATGGGAATGATAATTTTGTAATGGGCATATGGAGGAGATTAAAATACAATCCATATTACATATCTGATATGATGTCAAGTTTTTACTTAGTTTACACAAAAACAAATAAATACAAGAAAAAGTGGAGGAGAACAGAATGATTTGGAATGGGAAAATGATGAACAATTCCCAACTTCCATTTAACTGAATAAACAACTCATTTATCAATTTGTACAATTTACTTGAGAATAATAGGAAATGGCATAAAATGGATTAATTGGTTTTACGAAGGAAAAATCTCTAAAAGCAAGACGACATGAGTTTAGTATTCTCACCATTATAAAATAATCGAATGGATGTCACTACTCTAACAGAATGTTAAAAAAATAAAATGACTTATAGATTGAGTAAAACAAATAAAATAGGGTAAATTGAGAAGGCGACTTTTATTAAAAACAAAAGTTGAGAATCAATCCATAGAGAGATTAAATGAAGAGAAAAAAATGAAGTAGATAGAAGAAATTAAATGAAGAAAAAAACTAGATTAATATTTTTATGGAAAAAATCATACACTTGCACCATTAAATTTTACATCAAATAACTAAAAAAAGAGTAGATTAAGGGAAGTCGAATTAAATGGAGAATCACTACAAGTAAAAAGTTAACCAAAGACATATTAAATAAAAAAGAATTGAATGATATTACTAAGGAGAAAAGTAATTATTCCAATAAAATATAATACATAAATATCCCGTAAAATGACATTAAGAAAGATTAGAAAAAGAGTAAAATATGTTAAATGATATTACTAAGAAATACAATTAAATCTTACCATTTAACTATTGGAAAATTCTAGGGTCCCGTTGCTTATTTTAAGGGTATGATCCCATTAAAAATTATTCAATAGGGAAGTGACACATCACTATGACATTAAATTTATCCAATTTTTAAATTTTTTTTGTGATATTTGGGGAGGTAAACTTACCATAGTATCAAGTAAACTTACCCAAATTTTTAAAAATGAATAATTTAGGGAACTTTCAACATTCAAAATAATAAAAGCACTAATTAAATGTCCCTTTTTACTATATGTATTGCATAAATATTCACATACCATTGCACGTTATTTTATAAAACATTGCACACCTAATTTAATGTCATAAGTTAGGAAACTTGCAACATTTTAAATAACAAAATCACTATTTAAGTTTCTTTTTTTAACTACTAGTATGTGTCCCATACTTTGCACGGGTTTGTCAATGTTGAAAATTTATCTTCCAAAAGAATTAATTAGATAATGTAGTTATTAATATTTCTTAAAACCGTAAAATTTTTTTGATTAATCAATTTTAGATCAAAATGAGAGGTATTGATATTATTTTTGAGATGTATATTTGTAAGATCTAGCAAAAAATATTACAACAAAAATTTTAAAAAGTTGTATAATAAAAATTGTCACCACTAACTAATGTTATGTTTGGATTAAAAAAATATATTAAAAAATACGTAAATTAAGTCTAGATGCCTATGGCTTATTTATAGGTAAGGGGATTTTGGGGATTATACACCATTACTCGTCCTTGAAAATGTAAAATCAATAAAATTGAAGACAAAATAACACATAAATAGAACTTTAACGGCTAAAATGATAATAAGTTAAAAGTGATGTTTGATGGTCTCAATTAGCGACATATGTCGATTATCTTTCTTTCCTTTAATATATATAATGATATGTATTGCACAAATACTCATGCTATTACACATTATTTTATAAAATATTGAACACCTAAATCGATAATTCATTGCACCTTCTGTTATACATTTTTTTATTTTTATAGTAACTAAATAATAAATATCCAGTGCACTTTTGAGGATGCTATTGCATATTGAATAAAAATACAGTGCACTTTCATTTTCAAGTAATTGCATTATACCAAAACTTATCATAATTCTTAATTAAGTCTCCTGATTTTATTTTTACATTACAAAAAGTAAATATGTGTGATTGTATATTTGCTCATTAGAAATTGCATCTATATTTATCAATCATTGCACATTGGCTAATAAAGCATTGCACCATTTCTTATATAAGTAGTTTTTTTAGTAATTTCACTTTTTTCTTTACAATATTACTTATAAACCTTACTAACAGATTATTTAGGATTATGTTAAATAATAGAAATTTATTTAAATTTACTAAGATTAAGGATTATTTTATTTTATTTTTTTTAGTGTCGTAATAGATATACAAACATTGCACCTTTTCGGTTTGCGAATAGATATAGTGGACTTCTTTTCGGTTTGCGACGGTGCTTAGAAATGAGCCTTTTCAACGTTGAAGCCCGAACTGACAATCTCGTTCTTGCATCTCTTCTCCAATCTGATAATGATTTCCCATGGCGATTCAATGCAGCTCTTCATGAAATTAAGTTCTTGCTCCTGTGCCTAAACAATACAATCATTTACGTCTACCGAGAGGCTAACGCCGCAGCTGACCATCGTGTTAATATAGCCCCCTCAGGATAGTCCATCCGCTTCCAAAACTATAGAGACCTTCCCCCAGTTTTGAATTGTCATAGATCAGCAAGGCTTTCCTTATCTCAGGACACGATAAGTTGTGCTATCATGTACTTATTTCTTTTTTCGACAAATTAATATAACGGTTCTATCCCCATCAGGTTCCGTCCTGGTTTTAATCCAAAAAAAAAAAAAAAACATTGCACCTTTGAGCATACTATTACAAATTCAAATAAATTGCACTATGTAAACCAAAAGAAAAAAGAAAAAAAGATTGCACTCTCAAAACTTATTATAATGATCAATTAATATTATTCGTTGCATATTTGGTCATTAAAAATTGCATAAAAAGATTGATACATGATTACAAACTACCTAAAAAAAATTGCACTACCTCTTTTGTATTTTCAGCACATGATCAACAATTAGAATTAAGTTTAGTATAATAATAGATACAATTTTTTTTTTGACAACTTTAGATCACAAAGAAATATATACTAAACAATTACATAACCATGCATGTCTGTAGGAAAGAAGAATCATAATATATCCTCAAAATTGTTTTGTGTAGTGATATTGGAAAAATTCTAAAACAAATCACATCATAGTCTCATAAAAAAAACACACACACAGAGACGATTCAAAAAGAATTAAAAATAGAAGATTTTAGGAAAAGCATGAATCACAATTAACAAGAAATTAATTTTCTTTTTTTTTGAATGACGAAAACTCCTAAAGAATGACAAGTTGACAACGAGGTGCAGTCTAGTGGTAAGATGCCTTACCTTTGACCAACAAGTCACGGGTTCGAGTCACACCAGGAATAAGAGTAAAACCACTATTAATTCTCTTTTGAAAAAATAAAAATAAAAAACTCCTAAAGAATAACAAAAATGAAAAAATGAAACAGCAGTATAAGTAAAAAAAGAGAAATAACGGAAGGGAGATAGGAGAATGACCAGATGAGGAGAGAGGGAGAAAAGTCTCCATTAAATTGTATTCTATATATAAATCATTTGGCAACCTGTTGCCTTTTTTATTTTCTTAAGCATTCAATGTAAGTTGTATAGTTGTGATAAATTTATACTAATCTAAAGGTTATTAATTAAATAACGGGACCATACTATTAAAATTAAGAACGGGATTGTAGCTTTACCCTTAACTATTACTAGATGCTTGGCCCGAGCAAATGCTCGGGCGCCCCTCTACTTTAATTTTGTGTTAATAGATAAATGAATTCTTAATTTAGAAAAGATAAAATAGCTATACATTTGGTTTTTTTTTCCTATTTTTAGCCAAAAATAAAAATAAAAATAAAAATAATCATTCGCCAAATGAGAAAAAATATTGA